AACTGCGCCGGCTTGCCGATACTGCCAAAAAACGACTCACTCTCCCTACAATTGCCCCGCTAAGCACAAAGGCGACAAGAAGCGCAAAACCCAAGTGAGCAGAACCCACCACCACTCCGACCCCGAGTCGGACACCGAAGAGGTGCTCCCCTCGTACAAGCACCATGCCACAACCAGCCAATCCAAGGACGGTTTCATCCCAGTCAGGTCGAACACCCACCGATCCAAGGACCCCAACGCCCAACCTGGCGACGTCAGCATTGTGCGCAGGACCAGCTCGAGCGCTGAGCAAACACAAGCCTCACCCGCTCCGATCAGCAGCACTGCTAACGGACGCACAAGCCCCGATCACGACCCGAGGAACAAGCGCTTCTGTGGTGAAGACCACAGGAAAGACCCTATTCCAGTGTCAAACAGCTATGCACTTCTGGCGAACGCTGATGACTCACACTCCACTTTCGAACCGACCACCGTGCCCGAGGAGCCTCCGGGGGTCGCGATGGACACGAGCCAAGAATGACCGGCCTTCTCTTCGCAACTCTAAATGCGCGCTCCCTCTCTGTAGGGGGCAATGCGCCCCTCCCCTTCTTCTCCTCCTCCTCCGCCTCTCTCATCCATGCACTCTCCAATCCGGCCACCACCTACAACGGCCGCCCAACTCCTCCAACCGTCATCCTGCTTCAGGAAACCTGGCTCACGCCAGCGACCGAAGCAGCCGCCTCCAACCTCTTCCGCGACTACACTTGCTTCTGGAGCTCCGAGCCGGAACCCAAGCACGGGGTCGGCATCCTCATCAGGAAGCCGGCACCGGGCGACACCAACCCCGCACTCGCGAGCCCAACACTACTCAGCTCCATCCCAGGGCGAGCCCTCATCATCACAGCAAACCTCAACAGCAAGCCAACCATCATCTCATCAATCTATGCCCCGGCATCTGGCTCACAAGCTGACAAAGTGGCGTTCCTGGACCAACTCAGCGACCTCATCAAGTCAGCCACCCAGCCAAACGACGACGAGCCAAGGCTGCCCGCCATCATCGGCGGCGACTTCAACAACACACCCAACATCAGCCCCCTGTACGTCCAGCCAGAGCCAAGCCAAGAGCCTAGGAGCGCCACACAGGCAAACCACGCTCTCAAGGACTTCATCAACAAGCACGCACTCGAGGATGCCTGGCTGCTCAACCACCGCGCCGATGACCCTGTCGAATACACACGATGGCCGAGCAAGAACCAGACACACCGAGCCTCCCGCATCGACCTCATGCTCCTGTCATCCAACCTCCCGCTCACAATCAAGTCGACCGCGACCAGGATTTACCAACACTCGGACCATCGAGGCGTCTGTGTGAACCTGGTGGCGCCGTCCGCGGAAGACAGATGCACTCCACCCTTCAAGCTGAACGACACCATTCTCGAACACGCTGGCTTCTGCGGCATGGTCCTCAACGAGATAGCAGAGCTGGCGCGCCGCCCCGACCCCGAGAACCACTGGACTGCTTTCAAGGCCGACGTAGCATGGCTAGCCCAGTGCCTGTGCGGCTCCATTGCGAAAGACCGGGCGAAGGCTCTGGCCCAAGCGAGCCGCAAGCTCAAAATCATCGAAGGCAACCTCCTCGCAGCAACATCCCCCGCAGAGGCAAAACTGCTTGCAGCCGAACGAGCGGAGCAGGAAGCCCGTGCCAAAGCTGAGCTCGAGCATCGCGCGCAAGGAGCACGAGTCCGCTCGGCCAAAAAGTGGCGCACCGAGGGCGAACACCCCACCTCCTTCTACTTCTCGCTCGAAAAGCAGTCCCAAAAGGCGACGCACATCCCAATGCTCCTCGTCGACGGCAAAGAAGTCACCGATGCGGCCGGCATCACGGACGCCCAGCGAGATTTCTACGCTAAGCTCTATGCGCACGTACCCATTAACCCAGCAGCTGCCCAGCACATCCTCAGCCATGCAAAGCCCAACGAGATGCTCGACGACGAGGACCACGAGTTGATGAGCAGACCGCTGGAGGCATGGGAGATCGTCCACGCCATCAACAAAACTGCATCTGGCAAGTCCCCAGGGCCCGACGGGCTGGGCACTGCGTTCTACAAAAAGTTCAAGCACGAGCTGGCCCCAATCCTCGCCGCCATCGCCAACCGCTCGCTCGAAAATGGTCGCCTTCCGGAATACATGCAGGACGGCTTCGTCAAGCTGCTGTACAAGAAAGGCCCGCGCTCTGACCTTGGCAACTACCGACCAATCTCGCTGCTGAACTGCGACTTCAAACTCCTGACCAAAGCAGTGATCGCTCGGCTGCAGCTGGTGGTCAACGACATCATACCACTCAACCAAAACGGGTTTGTCACCTCTCGGACCATCGATGGCTGCGTCCATCTCACCCGAGATGTGATTGATCTGTGCAACACCATCAAAACCCCTGGAGTGATTGCCATGACAGACGCGTCCAAGGCGTTCGACAAGGTCTCACACGACTTCCTGTATGCTGCACTCAGAGCGTACGGAGTCGGGCCAGGCTACATCAACATGATCAAACTCTACAACACCAATGGCCGCTCCTCGATGGTGTACCAAGGCCGAGTCTCGGATCACTTTTCAATCCAAAGGTCGGTGCGCCAGGGAGGCTGCGACTCGCCGACGCTCTTCGCGTTCTACGCCTGCGCCATCGTAGACTACTATCACCCAAAAAAGTTTTTTACATCGCGTGTTTTTTCCACTCCTCACCCCGCCCTGCGACCGTTTTGACCACAAATCTCCCTTTTCCCTCTCTACTGCATGTATATATGTACCTTCTATGTGTTTAGAGTGAGAGGAGCGGAGGGGTGATGACTGGTACGACGGGGGAAGGAGAAAGGATGCAAAAAGGGACAAAACGCGATCGCCCAAAAAAGGGACTTTTTGGCGTTCTTTTTTCAACTTTCACAAACACAACACCATACGGACGCATGAGCCCCACCAAACCATTTCAATACTTGGTATAACCACCATGGGCATCCAAAACTGCTTTGATGCGGCGCGGCATGGATGAAATGAGCGAGGTGCAGACCTCGACGGTGAGGACCTTGTGGTAGACCTCTTGGAAGCGCTCCCAGAGCATATCTTGGTTTGTGATCTCTCGCTGCTTGTACACAGCGTTCTTGACCATGTTCCACGCATGCTCGATGGGGTTGAGGTCGGGGGAGTTCGCAGGCCACTCCAAGAGGGTGAGGTTCTGGTTTTTGAACCATTTCATCACGTCCTTCCGCTTGTGACAGGGCGCGTTGTCCTGCATGAAAATCAGGTTTGGGTCGTTTCCCCAAGCGGCCAGACTGTCTTTCAACTCCTCATTCAGAACGGAGAGGTAGACGTCGCCGTTCATGCGGTCGCCGAGCTCGGAGAAGAAGGAGATGCCGTAACGCGAAATCGCTCCCCACACATTGATGTGCCCTCCTCCAAACTTGACAGTGCCCTGGACCGACCTGTCGTCGAGCGGTGCACCCCACACACGCCACACACGGCCAGAGTTGTTGTTCCTGTACAGGTAGAGAGCGGTCTCGTCGGAAAAAACGACGTTCAACCAGTCCTCTACGGTCCAATTGGCGTGAGCGCGGGCGAAAGCAAATCGGGCGTCTTTATGACGCTGCAGCAGCCTCGCTTTTTTTGACCTTCGCCGCACAAAAAAGACCCTCCCGCCGCAGCACGTTCCTGATCGTCTCTGCAGTGACATCACAGAGCCTCCATTTGCGCATGGTGGCGGCGACTTCGGTAGCTGTCTGAGACTCTCCGGTCTTAATCTGCTGCACGATGTTTACAGCGGCAGTCGAAAAAACCTTGGTCGGACGTCCAGATCGCGGCGAATCCTGCGTCCCGCCCCTCGCCGAGTAGCGTACATGGATTGCACGCACTGTGTGCCAAAGGAGACCGAGTTGGTCGGCGATCTGGCGGTAGGAGAGGCCGGCTTTGTGCAGCTCCAACACGTTCGACCGAATGACCTCCCTACTCGGCTTGATGACAGTGGGCTTCGGCGGCGATGGTGGGGATACATTGCCGCGTGTGACTCGCTTCACGGACGAAGACGGCGGGGACGAGGCACGAGTAGAACGAGCCATGGGGGCGTCGAACTGTGGAAATGAGAGAAAAAGGCGGGAAAAATTCAATCCAAAGCGCGCGCTTTTTTTCGATGTTTTCCCGCATCCACGCGGTCCCCACACGCACACTTCTCTTCCCGTCCCCGCTCCTCATCATTTTCCGATGTAGGGTACACCGACGCACACCCCACATGTGAAATAGGGCGAACTAACCGTCGTCACACGGAGATGGAGACTGAATTAACCAAAACAAATCGCGATGTAAAAAACGTTTTTGGGTGATAGTACAGCACAAAGTAAGCTCGCACTTTCCAACAAACACTCGCCCGCAAACCGCAACGTCGAAGTGCTGAATGGCGGCGGTGTGCAGATGGATGGATCCCAAAGCACTGTTCCAGATAGAGGGAGACACGCGGGTCCATCACACCTCGTTGTAGCGCGCTGCCACTGCACCTGTGTGTCCACTCCAAGCGCTCTCTTCCTGATCACTTCCACTCTTTTCGTCTAACAATGTGCGTCATCAAGAGAGCGGCGGAAAAGGGACGATATCAGTTCGATCTTGTCAGCATTGGAAGATCTTAGTTTTTTCTTTGTGTGTTTTGTTCGTTTCTTCGTTGCTTTTCTATGTTCCCTTGCTTGTTCTATTCCGTCGCAGGACACGGCTGCTCCTCCTGCCCCTTGTTCTGCTCGGTGCTTGTTGCGTGCTGCAGCAAAACACATCATCGGGTCAGCGCGCGAGAGAGACAGCGAGCGAGCGGCCAGGAACGAGTGCAATGCATTGTGTGCTGATCGCTTAGGGCTTAGACTCAGCTGCACACCCGCTCTATCGCTGAGCAGTGCAACTGCAAGATGAACCGAAACTATCAAAGAAGAACAGCGGGTTGCTCTTTGGATTTGATATGCGCCTTGACGTACCTTCGTTCCCAATGGAGCACCGACAAAACCCAAAAAAAAAAAAACGAAAAAAGAAAAAAAAAAAAGGATGACAATCACCCTGATTTGTTCGACTTCCATTTCTATGAGGCCTATTTCATTGAATTTGTTTGGAACGGGACCATATTGTCACTAGTCTTACCGCATATTGAAATTGAAGTGTGAATCCTTCTTTGAAGACACAATTTCACCTGAACAAACAACCAACTTGGGTTTTGCAGTCAACTTTGCGCAATCAAACTTGTATCATTGCCCATCAAGACGAGGAGCACAAGGCAAACAGTCGCTCGATCGCGGCTGATGGAGAGTACCAAGAATAGCCTTCTCGCACATTCGTTCGAGTCGCGACTCCTACTTTTGAGCAAGTCATCAAGCAAGGAAGTGTCATAAAGCAACATCAACTGTCACACCTGAGAAGGAGCCATAGGTAGATATGGAGTAAATTAAGCACTGAGCTAACAGAAATGGGTTGGGGTGTAAGGAGAATCACAGCGCGACCAAGACGCACCGTGCACCAAGAAACACATCTGCACTTTCACAGCATTGCACCAATTTCGCGAATCGTCGTCCCATCCTGAAGGGCTGTCAGAGCTTTGACAAGCTGGGCAAAGGTCGGTCGTTTCTCAGGCGACATGTCCCAGCAGCTCAGCATCAGGCTAAACAGCTCCGCTGTACAGTGCTCCGGCCTGGGCAGTCGACCCCCAGCCTCCACATAAGCCAGAGTCTCCATGGCTTTCATCGTGCCGTACGGCGTTGCACCATAACTAAAGCATTCCCCTACCAACATGCACCAACGCACGTGAGATGCACGCACAAACTTCCCGATGGGAATCGGTTGTACTATCCCCCGAAAAAGTTCGTGAAGAATGGTAGTTCACTATGTTCCGGCACCCATGCCCCACCCTCTCCCCCCTACAGTAGTTGGCAGACCTTGTGAACATACAAAATACACTGTCATTTGGAAGATTGAGCTCCGTCAGAGAAGGAGGGAGGCCGAAAAGAAGAAGTTTTGGCAATTTTGTTTCACGAAAAATTTGCCACTTTTCGATCAATTCATGCTTTCCACCACCAAAATCACGTCATTCCACTCCACCCTCTACCCGCACACTGCACAAGTGCTTAGCATCACCTCCAAAACCCAACAAGGCGTGTTTGGTGCCGTTGATGGAGGGAAGGCCGGGCCCTGGGATCATGTGTGTTAACGTGAATGCTCGATGAGAGTACAGCGTCCCTCGGCCCGCCATCGCCGCCCAGATTGGTCTGAAGTACCGAAGAATGTTCAGGTACATTCGTGTGTGCAAGGCGGGCGGCAGGTTTGCAACTAAGCCGAGCTTTGGCTGAAAACTCGAGGTTACTGCCCAATTTTGCCCCCTTTTTCCAGCTCAATTTCAGTCCGGAGAGTCCCCCATTGCCTCTGAGATCGCCGCTTTTACCCTCAAAATGACGACGATGATGTCATCTACAGCTTATGCTCAAAAGGAACTGGGTAGGCGGGGGTTCAAGTACCGAGTCAAGTGCGAAAAGTCGCGGTCGCCGAAAATGCGAGCAAAACAAGATTTTTGCTTCGCCAAACGGCATTTGCATTATGCCGCCAAGCAGTGGCTCAACGTCATTTCCTCGGGCGACACTGCTGTCCGGGTATAGCAACGCATGTGTTCAAACATGTGCGCATGAAACCGGGCAGCTGCTCGACCACAGGGTCGTCCAGCCGCAGGTGAAGTGTGGAAAGGTGGCAAATTGACGATTTTCCAAAAATTTCTCGTTTCGCCGTGTCCCACTTTCGTGAGGTCGGAGACCGCATAAACTTGCTCCCCTATCTCTCCCTTCTCAATGATGAGTTGAAGTACGCCCGTCGCACATTACCAGAGGGTAAAAACTTCTTATTCCATCGAACCAATGCGCCCTGGCACAAGAAAGAGGTTGTGAGCAGGTGGTTGAAAAACCACAAAGTCGACGTGCCCGACTAGCCTCCCAACTCCCCCGACCTGTATCATATCGCAAACTCATGTACCATGGTCAGGAAAGAAAACTACCAAGGTGTAGAGGCGACGGACCAAGTCGTGGTTCGAGAGTGCTTCCGAAACGTGAGCGACAAAGTGCTCAGTCCATCACATTACATCCGCCTCATAAGCTCTATCTCCGAGAGCATCCATGCATTTTATGATGTGAGTCATGATTATGTTTGTTGTTAAAGTGGTTTGGTTGGATTGAAATGGGTGGAACGGGCGGTTATACCGCAAATTTTGAAAAAATAGGGAATTTTCAGATTTTTTTCCTCACAAAAATCGCAGTTTTTCTCGTCTCCTCCTTCACATGCACATTGGATGAGCCAGATTTTTGATAAAGTAGTGTGACCCACACAGCACCCATTTATTAATAAAGCAGCGGGCTCGCGTGGAGGCGGGGAACATGGTGAACTAGCACTCTCTACGAACTTTTTTTGGGGATAGTATTTCGGCGGCCTCACTTCACTAGCATCTGTGAAAGCATCAGATACGCGAAGGATATTCGGTCCGATTTGCGGCCAGTGAAGGCATACCCGCTGGCGAGGACAACTTGGACGTCATTGCAACCAAAGCTCGATGGATGTGACGCTTTCGGAAGATGAGATAATTCCTGCAACGAAGTCCTGCAACAACCGTTCGTGTGTAGGTATCAAATCCATCAGGGCCTCATGGACTTTTCGCCGATCCTGCGCCTGACTTTGTCACTTTTCATGGGAGAGAGAGCCACAAAAATGTATTTGAAACACTTGAGTTGAACCTTCTCCGAGCTCATAAAGACGAGCATTTCAAGCAGACAGTGTAACACTTGACGAAGACGCTGCCTGCTCGTCCGGTAGGGCAAGGTACCAGCGAAGGACTTCGACGGGTGGGACATCTTTGGCATAGAGGACATGCTGGCGTGCAGATTTGGTCTCCGACCAAGAGACGGTCTTGGACTGGCCGATCTGTTCAAGGAAGAAGTCGCGCAAGTCTTGTGCAGTTCGAAACTGTCGCTGTGTAAAGTGCTTGTTGTGGCGGCTTTGGACAAGCAGGTATGCCAACGCCATGCAGACGTCCTGCGATGGACGATTTTCAGTCGAATCACACGAGTAGAGGCTGCTCGCGATGTGCGTGGCAGGGCTGAGATGCGGGTCAAACGAGTAGGCGCCTATTGGGTCGACTCGGAAATGAGTGCTCGTACACAATTTTCACCACTCTCAGCAAACACAAAACTTACTCTTCACAGCCGTCTGGAAGCCTTGAGCAAATGTGTCCAAGTTTGCACGCTGGAGCACCCATGAATGCTTTGGTGGAATAGCGTTTGCAAATCGAGCAGTCGACATGACTCCGACAAGGACGAGAACGTCATCTCCCAACTTATAATCCGCTTCGAGTTGCTTGCGGGCCTTAGTTTCGAGCGATTCGAGCGTAGCTTGGCTGGTGGGCAGAAGTTTCATATGAAGCTTCATTTGAAGCCCAATGACTGCGCGACGTGTTTTCTCATGGACCGTGCCAGCCTACACCCATGTGACAGTGGTGAGCAACGAGCAAACCCGTAAAATGGCAATGCGAGTGCTTTGCGCAATATCATCTTACTTGCTGAACAACGTCAACATGCACAAAGCTGTCAATGCCTGGTTCGGTCGAAGATAAAGGCAATGTCATGCAAGACTGCTCGGTCCATGATGTCGGCGACAATCGAAGTTGAACTTCGGCGCATTGCTCGCCAAAGGTGACGCCCGGTAGCACCCGACTCAGCGGCACATCAATGAACACCGGCACAGAAATTGTTTCTGTTGCGGCATCTGGCATTGGCAACAATGCTTTGGCGAGACACGCGGTCACGCGCACGTTAAAAAGGTGGACCAATAGCCGCTCCCACAAAACAGAGTCCGCAGGCGGATTGCCCATGTCTTGCTTGATGTTGTTAAGGAAAGACACCAAGGTTGTCGCAAGATGACGACAAACTGGATGGACCTCGCCCTGAATCTGATCTGCAAACATCTCAACGAGGGTTGCGGGTGAGTACATGAAAGCGACTTCTCGATTCACAATCACAACAATCACAACAGCGCAATTTCACAAAGCGCACCAAGGTCCATCTCCCCGTGCAAGTTGAACTGCAAAGACCCTTTGTTGTCCTCTCCCCACGCTGTGGTTTGTCATCAATCAGTCAGCAGGAGAAGGAAAGAATCAGTATGGCAAGCAAGTCGTTTCCAGCATCTATCAAGTGCATGCACAGACAACTGACCGACGAAAGCAGACCCAGTGCCAATCCAAGCGAGAAGTTGGGACGTCAGATTCAAACGGTCGACAGCAGAAGCATCAATTGCACAGTAATGCACAAGCTCAATCAATGTGCGGCAGCTGGGTCGAAGTCTCGCAATCGCACCATTTCCCCTGACTCCAAGGACATGCTCAATGTGGCGTGGCAGACCACCAGAAGCGCAAAGTTTGCTCACGAGCGCCGGCATCAGGCGCCAAGTTAGATGAACTGAACCCGGCTGTTGATCCTGCTGGGCCGCTACAACGGCGTCAGCGAACTGAGCAATGTGTGCACCGTCAAACGGTTGCATGGGAACAGTATCGACATCCAAGTTGCTCGAGTCAGCTTCGTTGGATGGAACGGTGATGGCAGGCTCAGTCAGACCAGCAGTGAGGTGTTGCGGCAAAGTTCCAGCGTACAGTACACAGAGGCGCTTTTGGGGGGACTGAACAGCCTCCTTGAGTGAAGAAAGTGTATTCTTGAGCAACAATCGTCGTTGCTGAGCAGGACTGAGGTCAGAGTTCTTGTCGGACTCCAGAGAGACCAGTAATCTATTGATTTCATCAATTGCGATGGCAAGCCACGGCAGTTGATCTTGACTCGTGGGCTGCCGACCGCCGCTACGAGCCGAGTACTCAGACTCTTGGATGAACTGGAGCGTAGCAGCGACCTGGAAGCTGCCAGTTTGTGCAAAATTTTGCTGAAAAAAATTGGCGGGAATTCGAAAGTACGCAGCCAGAAGGCGAATCGACAGAGCGTGCTCTGGATTGGCTTTCATGGTGATTGTCCAGTCGTTCTTGGTGAAGCCCGAATCGCCGTTGAAAGTCACGGATAAGCAACACGGAACGATGTCGCGCTTGGCGAAAACGGCGGGGGCAATGCGATCCACAAACTCGGCACATAACCGCGTTTTTCCAGCACCCGGCAGAGTGGAAGCAAGAAATGACCGAAATGCAAGTCGATTCGTGCCACTCTGGTTCATTTTTTGAAGACGGTGTTCCAGTAGCGCTGTGAGAGAAGCGGTTGCCAGTTTCAGGTCAACCAGGGGGTAGTCGACGACGTCCTGAAATGCAACCAAATGAGACCAACGTGGCAGCTTGATCATTGAGCTGTGTTGGAAACATACCGCGCTTTGCTGCTTTCGTTCCAGTGTGATCAGACCTTTGAGTGAATCTCGGATCGCGCTTGGCGTGGTTTTCAGCATGCCTGTTGTTCATGCATTGTGCATCGTGAGTGAGAATACACACACACACACACACACACACTCTCTCTCTCTCTCTCTCTCTCTCTCTCTCTCTCTCTCTCTCTCTCTCTCTCTCTCTCTCTCTCTCTCTCTCTCTCTCTCTCTCTCTCTCTCTCTCTCTCTCTCTCTCTCTCTCTCTCTCTCTCTCTCTCTCTCTCTCTCTCTCTCTCTCTCTCTCTCTCTTTCCACGTCAGTTCGTACCTTGGTCCATGGACCACTGCTGGACCCAAGAAAGGAACAAGCTCGTCCGCGTGGTTTCAAGATCGTCGACCTTGCCGTCCTTGCCATTATTGGCATTGATCTGGTCAGTCAACGTACGTTTGCGAGCTTTCACTCGTTCGGCAATTGTCGCCACTGGGGCACGAGCAACGTTCCCGAGCTCTCTCGCAAATACTCGTCTGGTTGTCGCTTTGTCGTCTTTGTAGTTGTTATCATCGCCAGGCTCGTCAGCAATGAACACTCTGTAGTTGAAGAGTTCCTTGAGCAAGTGGTTGGAAAGGTCGGGTGCCGTCCATTTCACATCTGTCACGTAGTGCATGAGTCACTCAACATCTAGCAAGACCAAGAATCCACATTACCGACCGACTCTTACTCTTGAAACAAATCCGTAACTGCTCAGGAAGCGCGCTGATCATCTCTAACTCCTGCTGTTCACATAAGACGCAGCTGTCAGTCCATGTCCACTCGTTCATTTAGAAACCCAGCATGTGGATACTGACTGAAGGGGGGGCTGCCTGGCTGCTGCTGCTGCTGCTGCTGCTGCTGCTGCTGCTGCTTGCACCCTGTTCGAGCAGAACTGGTGAGTTTTCAAAAATACCGAATCGAAACTGCACTTGTTTGTTTTCACTCACCGAGGTAGCATTGGAGGTGTCCATTGGAGCCACATCGTCGGTAGTTTCGGATTTGTCGTTGTCCTCCTGTTGGACAATCAAAAGTAAAGGTTGGACCTTGAGTGCAGCACAACCGCGGTGGCAAAACCAAAAAAAAAAAAAAAAAAAAAAAAAAAAAAAATGGCGCGCAACTGCCAAGACATCCATTGCGAGCAAAGTTTGCTCCTCGCCACTCCCCGGCCCCACAGAATCAGTTCTTTCAAAGGAGCTTGTGTAGAAGACGAGAGGGAACACCGGGGAGGCCAGGACGACGACTCAAGAGCCACATGTAAAAGCAAAAAAGCAAAAAAAAAAAAAAAAAAAAAAAAAAAAAAAAAGCACGCTTGTTGCACAATGCTGCTGCCCACGCTCATGGCCGAGTCGACAGGGCGGCGGCTCGGTTGCGCGACGCGAAGAGAGTGGTGAGAGTGTTCAAGAAGAGCGACGCAGAGGCAGTTGGGAGGAAGGCACGCGAAAAAAAGCCAGGGAAAAGGAAAAGCAAAAAAAAAAAAAAAAAAAAATTCAAACCCAATGACAGACAATGACAGGCAATGACAGGCAATGACAGGCAGGTCTCGGTCCACTTACGGTTCTGACACGCTTCTCGTCGTGACCTCCAGGCGAGTCCGCTGCTTGACGCTTGGCCGAAGAAGAACCGGCCGAACTCATCGCAAAAACTGAAAAACAAAAACTAAAGACTGATTCAACCTGTCAAAGTGATTTTTTTTTATTTTCGACATCGCGTCGTGAATGGTGAGTTTGGTTCTTTTATGAAGCTTCATCATGGCAGAAGACGCTGTGTTGAGATGACAACTTGCTGATGTCTTCGCTTTTCTTTTGATCTTTCTTTTGTTTTTCGTTGCGATTTTTGGTTTTGACTTCAAATGCAAGCTGGAATCGAGCTCCCAGGCTGCGCTCTGTGCTCTCCTACTTTCTCGATAAATCACGCAACGACATTCCATCAATAACCATGGTGGTATTGGTGGGTAGGGGGTGAAAGGGGCGCCCAGTGCCGAGCACGCTGAAGTCGTCTTTTTTGTTTTTTTTTTTTTTTCCTTTTTTTTGCGTTACTGTGCTGTTTATGGTCATGCTTTTGACAAGAAGGAAAATAAAAATCAATCGAGAAAAAGAAAACCATTCAACCCACCAAGAAAAAAAAACAAAAGGAAAGAAGAAAAAAAGCAACACAAGTCGACTCACTCTCCGCTCCCTCCCCCTTCACTACGCATGACAGATGGATGAAGCGCGTTGCATCACACGAAAAATGCAAACGCCGACACCAGAATACGACGATCGGGTGGCGATATTGGAGTTGAAAAAAAAAAAAGAAAAAAAAAAAACACGAAAAACAAAAAAACAGCAAGCAACAGAAGAAACGCGGTGTCCGCACCACTCGCTCTCCGCTCCCTCTCCCTTCAGTACGCATGACAGATTGATGAAGCGCATTGCACCACACGCAAAACGCAAACGCCGACGCCAGAATACAGCGATCAGGCGGCGAGATTGGAGTTGAAAAAAAAAAGCAAAAAAAAAAAAAAAACTTAAAGACCGCCGCCAAAGCAATCAAGAGCGAGCGAGACGGCTACGAGAGAGAGCGAGAGCGAGAGACGGATGGGAATGCGTTCGATGAGATGAGAAAGAGAGAAAGAGAGAGGGGGAGAGAGAGAGAAAGAGTGAGAGAGAAAGAGAGAGCAAGACAGAGAGAGGCTCCGCGTGCGATCTTACAGCGGGTAGCGAACAGGCAACAAAAAAAAAAAGAGAGAGAGAGAGAGAGTGAGCACAAATAGAGCACAAATCATAATAAGAGGGGGAGAAAAATGCCGACCGCGTGATTGTTCGCCGTCAACGAGCTAACTTACCTCCATTCATTCATTCTGTCGGCTGATAAGTTTGACATTGCGTGGGTTGAGGGGACGCACTACCCCGAACTGGTTTGGGGGTTTGTTGTTCGTCCACCGCGTCGCGCATGGATGTCCTTGTCCTCTTGGTGTTGCTCTGTAGCATGGGGCGGCAACCGAGATCGGCAGCAACCGAGATCGGCAGCAACCATGACCAAGTGGCGTCTTATTGTGAGGACGATCCTCATAAGTCGCACCCATCCACAGTGCGATCGCACCATGCACTCTCAAACACGCATACACGTACGCACACGACGATCGTGTGTGCTGGTCTGCTGCTTGGGGCTGAGCGACGGCGGCGTCGTTTGAAGCGGCTTTGTCATTTCATCTTGATTTTTATTTTATTATTTTGACAGCTCCTCCATTTGAGCACTCTGTTGAGGAGGGCGGCATGAAATTCCGTCAAAAACCGCTCCTGTAGCACCGATTGGACCTTGCTGTGCCCATCAAATCGATGACGATGAACGTTGGTGCTGAGGAGGGATATCGATCAAATGCATCCAATCCAGCCATTCGTCCGCCAAAAGACACTCACCTTTGCCCTCGAGCTCCACGATGCCACGTCGTCAGAGTCGTGCACAAGGGCCTGATTCAACAACAAGAGCACTGCTTTGAAGTGTGCAAGCAAGGACTCTTTCCACTTGTCTCCCCTTGTGTGGGTGCAACTGCTGAGCATTGTTGAAATCCTTCAAGTCTGCTCTTTTGCTCTTTGATTGATGGTTTTGCAGTTGTTCTTCATTCCTTCGATTTAGATCTACTCTTCATTTTTCTTTTCTTTTATTCTCTTCATTCCTCGCAATGGCACTGCAGCAGTCGCAGCACTGCTTGCATTGAGCATTGCCGTCCTCAGCGCTCACGGTGCGTTTTGTTGTGGCACACTTCATCTCCTCCTCCTCCTCCTCCTCCTCCTCCTGCTGCTTGCGTCTTTTATTCTGCTTCTTTCTGTCTTTCTCTTGCTTTGATCGATGCGCGTCATGTGTGCTCTTGGAGTGGCAGCCAGAAGACCGAGCTCTCATCGTCTCTCCTTCCTCTCTCTCTCTCTCTCTCACTCTCACTCTCTCTCGCTGCTTGCTACACGTCGCATGTTTTCACTCCCCACACCACGAACGCGCGTCATCGCTGTGTGTGCCTCCTGAGCCTGAGCCTCACTCATGATACCTGCCAATGGAGACCGACTGTGATCCTCTCTCCCATCAGCTTTACCCCAATGTCACGTCACTCACTTGACTCGCTCTCGATCATAGTGTCGCTCTGATTCACAGTTTGACTTGTCGCACACAGCGGCTCAGGTGTTTGCCACGTCAAGTCGGAAGTGGCTGCTGGCTGGTCTAACATTGCCGCGCATCGAATTCGCATCGCAACCCGCTCGTGCCTGCAGACCAGAACAGCCTCGACCGACGTGCTGTCGAGTTTGACTTTGCTTGCAACGCATTCATCTCGGTCATCTTTGCCATCAAGCAGCGCAACACGGACGCACTCGCCTTCAAGCTCAAGGCGGTCTCTGACCTCGCCAGCGAGGACTATGGTACAGTACAGTCCACCATGCGCATTCTAGACCACGGACATGGTCAAAACTGACCGTTTGTTCGCCGCGCTCGATCTATGACTCCTCATAGGCAAGTACATGACGCGTTGAAGAAGTTTGTCGACGGCGAGCCAGACGCTGTCAACGTTGTCACCTCGCTCATCCTCCGAAACGTCGCCTACCGCATGCCGGCTGCCAACGACTATGTCATTGTGGACAAGATGCCTCTCGCAGTCGCATCAGAGCTCTTCATGTGCAATGTAAGTGCGGACGAGGCTCTCTCTCTCTCTCTCGCCAAGCACTTTGCTGAGTGCCTTCTTGCAGCTTTCTGACTCGACAATTCCTTGAGCAGAAACCTACAGAGGCTGGGAATTATCCATTCGTGGTCTGTCGCAGTCATTCGAATTGAGTCGAAACAGCTCGCAACCTCCCTCCATACTGATGAGCAAGAGCAACCCTCCTACGAAAGCAGGTGGGGAAAGGCTTTTGAAATCCGGTACAATGAACGTCTTTCCACGCAACTGTTTGCCCTCGCGTACACCTAGTACCCGCAAATTGTGCGTAAAGCGGTGTCTTACGACAGTGTGCTGTCCCACCGCCTGCCAGCCGTCTACTTGTTTGTGAACCGAAATTTCTCCGTTCTTTTTCTTTGTTTTTCATAATCAAAGCTTTGGCCGATTCAAAAAAAAAAAGGGAACAAAGGATGGGGTCGGAATACCAGCGTTCATACCAGTGTTGCTCAATGGTCAAACTCAGCATCGGGGAACAGAGTGCGTGGAACCAAAAATGGATCATATTGTGGAACAAGGAAAAAAAAAAAAAAAAAGCAGCCAATCCAACTTAAACAAAAAACCCACCCCCGCGTCAAAAGAAAAGCTCATGCAGCGGGCTTGATCGACTTGAAAATAGAAGTAAGAGCAGTTCGGAGACGCTCGAGCTGGGGTTCGCCGACAATCAGCGGCGGAGTCAGGCGCAGCACGTTCTTGCCGGCTGTGATCATGACAATGCCGTGCCGCAAGGCTTCCTGCTGGACTTGCTTGGCAGTGTACTCGGCAGTCAGCTCAACACCGCGCAGGAAGCCAATGCCGCGCACGTCCAGCACGACCTTTGGGAACTGCTGACGAAGCGACTCTAGAATCTCATCAAAGCGCTTAATGTTGGTCTGCATCTTGGGCAGCAGTTGCTGGACCTCGCCAAGCACGGCGCGGGCAACGTTGCAGACGCCAGGGCCGCCACCAAAAGTAGTTCCGTGATCGCCAGGCTGCCAGAGTGGAATTGGAAAGCGAACAAACAGTGAGAACAAAAAAAAAAAAAAAAAAAAAAAGCCAAACAACCAAAATAACAACCAAAACACAAACCACCACCCCTTGATATCGCCTCCAATCTCACCTTGATCAGCTCGGAAACACGGTCGCGCACAAGAATGGCACCCACGGGAAGGCCGTTGGCAAGAGGCTTGGCCAGGGTCATGATGTCGGGCTGGACGCCGTTGAACTGGGGAGCAGAGTGCGCCCAGAGATGGCCGGTACGACCAACACCGCATTGGATTTCGTCGAAAATGAGCAAGGCGTTATGCTGATCGCAGAGCTTGCGGAGGTGCGCGAGGAACTCGGCCGTGGCGGGGTAGACACCGCCCTCGCCCTGGATGGGCTCGACAATGACGGCGCAGGTACGGTCAGAGACCAAGTCGGACGCCGACTGCAGATCGTTGAAGGTGCCCACGAGGTTGTTCGGGATGAGCGGCTGGAAGGCTGCCTGGTAGGCAGGGTTGTGCGTGGCCGAGAGCGAGCCCATCGTGCGGCCGTGGAAGCCGCCCTTGAACGCCACGATTTGGTTTTTGTTGAGGGATGGGTCTGCCGTGTTGCCCCACTTGCGAGCAAACTTGAGGGCGCCCTCGTTCGCCTCGGTGCCGCTGTTGCAAAAGAAGGCCTGCAAGTGGTGTGACAAAAAAAACAAGCGACAAGTTAATAGTCCGATGCGAATCCAAACCCCACAACAGCTCATTGCGTGTGAGCAATGGACAAACCTTGTCGGCCCAGGCGGTCGAGGTGACGAGCTCCTTGGCGAGAAAGATGGCGGGTGCCGAGTGGAAGAGGTTGCCGAGGTGGAGCAACGGCTGTGCCTCAGCGAGGGCGCGGTTGACGATCGGGTTGTTGTGGCCCAGCGCGGTGACGGCAATGCCTGCGTAAAAGTCAAGGTACTCTTGCCCTGCAGAGTCGAAGAGCGAGAGGCCCTCGCCACGGACAAAGACGACGTCGGGGCGGTCGTACGTGTTCATGAGGTACTTTTTGTACATTGCGACCATCTCGGGGACGGGCGGGAGGATGCTCTTGTTGGTCTGGGTGGCCGATGAAGAGGATGCTTGGGCTTGAGTTTGAGATTGAGCTTGAGCAGCAGCAACGGCAGTGGCAGCAGCCGCGTTGGACGCGAGTGCGCGGGTGGCCACCTGGCGAGGAGCAGCGATCGCCGCCGCCACAGCGACCGACGACGCGCGACCTGTCGTTTCAGTTGTGCATTCACATTGGGTTTTGTAAGAGATCATGCAAGCAAAAGGCAGAAAGTCACCACCCCGCGGTCGAGCGGTGAGATGACAAAATCGCGCACAGATGGATAAGAGCTCTCTCCTCAAGTCAAGTCAATGCGATTGCTTTACCAGCAAGGCGAGCTGCAGCAAACATGATCAGAGTGGCTGTTTCAAGTATAATACTGTACTAATGACAAAAAATAGAGTGAGCTTGTCATTGCGAAATAAGGAACTGTGAGACGAAATGTGCATGATTTTTTTTTTTGTTGCTTTGTTTTCACATCTCCCAGCAGAGCAGCGCGACGAGATAACACACACGATCAGCAGCGTCTCTGTTCGAATAGATTCGATGAGAGAAAACCAGATCCATGCGCTTGTCATCAAACGCGAAGAGTGAACGAAAAAAAAAAAAAAAAAGTAGCGAGGAATAGTGAAGAGCTGTCGTTGTTTGGCTCTGAAACGCACTCAAAGCCACACAGTATTGAGCGGATCAAAGCCAAAGTAAAATTCGTTTTGCTGGGGTTTTTTTTTTTTTTTTTTTATTTGTAACTTTAATAATGTGTCGCATGCTGATTTTGCTTGACAGGCGTTTCGTTTCGTGTTTTTTTTTTTTTTTGGTTTTTTTTTTTTTTTGTTTGACTGTTGGGTTTTTCTGGGGTCCGACCTCGACTCCCACTTTGCCTATGCGTTGCAAATAACAGGTAGTCGCACTGCTCGCTCTGCTTGCTCTCTGCAGCATTCAACAGCAGTGGAAATGGTAACACGTGCGTTGAGTGCATTGAAGCACACTTGGCAGTCTTTTTTTTTTTTTTTTTTTTTTTGATTCTCGTTGGATTCGTTTCTGGATGCTCGCTGCTGTTGTCGCGCGCTCGTCCTTCGCTTCTGCCTCTGCTGCGGTTGCGCCGGCATGCTTTGCCTCGGTCGCTGCGGTCACTGCACGCCGCGCGGCTTCCGGCTTCGCTCTCGGCTCTGATCAGGTAATACCAACAAAAAAAAAAAAAAAAAAAAAAAAAAAAAGAGACCGAATCAATGCTCCGCTTCAACAAGTGCAGCTCGTTCAGTTTCTCGCAGCAGGCAGGCAGGCAGGCAGGCAGGCAGGCGGGCAGGCGAATCTTAGCATCATTGCGCCAAAAGCACGTCAAAACAATCGCCCTTCTTGTTCACGTCGGCTGTCCTTTTGATTATCTTACGATTTTTTTTTTTTTTTGTATTTTCTCGTTTCGTTTTGGGATTTTCTTATCACTTCATATTCTTACCACCGAAACCAACCGTGATGATGATGATGATGATTCTCATGCAAAACTTGTCACTCGTCGTCATCGTCATTCAAGTGATAATACAAAAAGAAGAAAGAAAAAAAAAAACAAAAGCTCACTCGCTTGTGGTAAACTTGTTTGCACAGTCGGTCATCTCACAGTGGCTCAGCGGTGCTCGCGATGTGAGCGACATCCAGTACTTCCTCAAGCACTTTGGCGAGTCTGCTGCTGCTACAAAGGATGCTGCTGCTGCTGGTGCTGCTGGACCCAAGACCGCCGTCATCAAGATTGGCGGTGCGATCGTCGAGGAAGAAATGCACATCCTCGCTCCCGCCGTCTCGCTCTTGTACCGCTTGGGCATCTCGCCGATCGTCATTCACGGCGGCGGCCCTCAGCTCAACAAGCTGCTCGAGAACGCCGGCATTGTGCCAGAGTACCAGGACGGCATGCGCGTCACGGACGCCGACACACTCAAGATTGCCCAGCGCGTCTTCAACGAGGCCAACAAGCTCACCATCGAGGGCCTCTCCAAGGCCGGCATCCCCTGCGCGCCGTGCACGTCGGGCGTTCTGTACGCCGATGTGCTCGACTATAGCAAGTGGAAGCTCGTCGGCAAGACCACTGGCGCCAACAGCAAGCTGCTGAACGAGCTGGTTGGCAAGGGCATTGTTCCCGTCATCACCAGTCTCGCGCAGGACAAGACGGGCCAGACGCTCAACATTAACGCCGACATTGCCGCCTGCGAGGTCGCAAAGGCGGTCAACCCGATCAGCACCGTTTTTTTGAACTCGACCGGCGGCATTCCCGGCGAGAAGGGCCAGATCATTGAGACCATCAACATTCACAAGGAGTTTGATCACCTGATGGGTCAGGCATGGGTCAAGTACGGCACTCGGCTCAAGATCAAAGAGTTCAAGGAGCTGCTCGAAGACCTGCCCAAGGCCTCGTCCGTCACCATCACCTCGACCGATCACCTCACCCGCTCGTTGCTCTTTGGCAAGTGCGCCAAGGGCACGACCGTCTCGCTTGGTCGTACCTCCCGCGCTGCTGCGGCTCTTGGCGGAAATGCTGCTGGTGCGCGCTCCTTCTCCACATCGGCTGCTGCCGCTGCTTCCGCTGCTGCTCGCGCTGCCACCAAGTCGATTGGTGTCGGTATTATCGGAGCGCGTGGCTATGTTGGTCGTGAGCTCATTCGTTTGCTAGGAGACCATTCAGCGCTCGAGCTGCGCTGCGTTGGTTCCCGCGCCAATGCCGGCCAAAAGTTGGCCGACCACATTCCCGAGTTCAAGGGTGATTTGCGTTATGAGGCCCTTCCCCCAGACGACATTGCCAAGCACGCCAACGATGTTAGCGTCTGGGTGCTCGCCCTGCCCAACGGCCACTGCGGCCCGTACGTCGAAGCCATCCGCAAGCTGTCCGCCTCGCAGAAAGACCGCAAAATTGTGACGGTCGATCTCTCGGGCGACAACCGCTTCACTGACGAGTGGCAGTACGGTCTTCCCGAGCGCTTCCGCGAGCGCATTGCATCTGCGAGCTTTATTTCCAACCCCGGCTGCTACGCCACCGGCGCTCAGCTGTCCATTCTGCCCCTCGCTGACGTCCTCGCCCCGAACAACCCGCCCGCAGTCTTTGGCATCTCTGGCTACTCTGGTGCCGGCACCACTCCTTCCGAAAAGAACGATGTCAACTACCTCAAGGACAACATTGTTCCGTACTCGCTGGTCAACCATCTGCACGAGCGTGAGGTGTCGCGCCAGGTTGGCTCCAAGGTGAGTGATTTGGATTGGAGGGGGGGGGGCTTGCTGAAGCAAGGGGTGATTGGGATTGCGGGGTTTGGAGAAGGGGTGATTGCAGCCTGAATTTATGCGAAAAACTCGCTTGGAGCGAGTCGTTCTCATTCTGAACCACGTTCGCTGGTCTACTCGCGTCAAACACAGGTGAACTTTATGCCCCATGTGGCCCCATTCTTCCAAGGCATTACTTTGACCACCGACATCCGGCTCAACGTCAAGCTCACTCGCGAGCAGGTCGTGCAGCGCTTCCAGGACATGTTTGGGAAGGAGCCGCTGATTGAGATTGTCGCTCAGAAGGATGCTGTTCCCGTCGTGAAGGACAATGCGCAAAAGCATTTTGTTCGTCTCGGTGGATTTGCGGTCGATCCTGCCACCAACCGTGTCGTCGTCGTTGCCACCCTTGACAACCTCCTCAAGGGAGCTGCCACCCAGGCACTTCAGGTGAGCTTTTGTTGTCGATGTTGCTGGTGTCAGTGCGTCGGCATTCTGTTGAATTGAGCGCGAAAAGGGAGGGTGGGTTGGGGTTGGGCGGCGAAACGCACAATCATGGAACTTCATCGTAACTGCGCAAGTCCTGCAGTTCTGCATTTGCAACATGAATTTTTGATTGGATGTGGATGGTTGGTTTTTCTCTTTTCTCTCATTGGGCGACGGTTTTGTGCGTTGGATTGCTGGCTAACCGCGCGCTCTTCTGTGTCGCCGCTTCACAGAACATTAACATTGCCCTCGGTCTGCGCGAGCTGGACGGAATCCAATCCGAGTAGACTCGGATCTAACTAGCGGGCCGTTCGGGACTTGACAACCAAGCAGTGCCTAATAAACAGTTTTAATTCCGGTTGATTTTCACAAAGGGGGTTGGAGTGCATACAGAGGAACAGATGGAGCCATGGTTCCAAAAAGCACACCTCACAACACATCGCCGGGCTCAAGCGAAAGTTTGGTGAGCATGGCCATGCGCGCCGCTTCCTTATCTTCGTCGGAGCTCACCCGGGTGACTCGCGACAAGTCGCAAAAGACGGCCATCATGGTCTGCGTTTTCTTCTTGTTCTTGGAAACCTTCATGTAGAAGCCGACATGACGCATCAGGAGATCGTCGTGCCTGTAGCCTGCCATGGCCATTGTCCGCGCGGCCTCGCAAATCGCCTCTTGATTGGCCGGAGATACTTGATTGGAAGCCCATCGAACGCGTCTTTTTGAGGACCCGCAGAGCGAACCATCGAGCACCGCGCCCCTTGCAACACCTCAATCTAATTCACAAATATGATTCTTTGTGCATTGGACTCCTCTGGATGGTGGATTACTATGCGACAGCCACTTGGTTCGGCGCCTTTGCTTGCCCACACACTCGAAACCACCTCACGCGTTCTCCAACTCACAAGGACACCCCTTGGTCAAAATATTCGATTGATGACGTTTTTTTCTCACTATTGAGGTGTGTTGTCGGCGAATCGCACAAGCTTGACTTGGTCGACCGTCGGGACGAGCACGACGGCGAAACTGACAACCAGCAACAAAATTTTTATGATTGTGGCGTTGGAAGCGGTCACAATTTCGACTATTATGCCCGTTCTCCTGATAAATCAACCTAAAGGCTTGAGACGTATCATTTTACGCAGGTTACCATGTCCGAACACCGCCACACAGCGAGAAAGGGAGGTACAATATGGAACTTTTGTTTTGAAACCCGAATTGCCGAACAACATCCATCGCGAACCTCGTCCGATCTCCTTCTGCCCACGCAGTAGAGCTACTCGAGGGCACTTTCTCGCTTGGGTTTGCAACGGGCGACCACTCAGCGGCCTCGGGTTGACGCTGTGGACAAACACGGTGCGCATGGAACATATGGCGGAGTTTCAGCAAGCGATTGTTGGTTTTGACCGGCGTGAGCACTCTTTACCACCAGTGCACATGATGTCATGATGATAAACCTTGCCGATAAGCTTGTCGTCGAGCTGAGAATGAGTTTCACTCACTACTCGAATCACATATGCACTGCCCCATTGGTTCATTCGTAGCCCGATTAGCTCAGTCGGTAGAGCGTGAGACTCTTAATCTCAGTGTCACGGGTTCGAGCCCCGTATCGGGCTGGCTACTTTTTTTGCTCTTTGAGGTTTTTTTACTTTTTTTTTTTTCGATTTTGGCAGTTTCGCGCTGCATTCTCCTCCTACTCCAAGACGCACTTTCACAGTTTTAGTCCTTGTTTTTATTCACAAGTGTGGTTTGTGCTGCCAACGAGTCGAGCGAGTCGAGGAAGGGGCGAACGGAGCGTTTTCACACTGTTTTTTTTTTTTTTTCTTGATTCACTGACAATTCCACTTCAATCCTATTCTACTGCGAATGGTCTAGTACCATCATACTTGCTTGGGTACCAAGCGGCTAAGATTCTTCTTCTGAATGCCATCTGCCAGTCTTATTCTTTTTGAAGCAACATGTTCGGCAACGAGGACGAGGATGAAGCCGCTCTCGTCGCTCCCGTCTCCGTCCACTTGCAAATCGTCAATCTGCCGACGAACAGCGACACTACTGACGCGCACAACGGCACAGGTGCATCATCTGCCGTGACCGTGGACGCTGCGAGCGACGACGACACGGCCATCGAAGCCCTTGTCCACGACGGTAAGCTCCCGTTTTCGTCTGAGCCTGCGCTCGCCACGCCCGCTCGTTCGTCTGTTGTGTGTGCGGCATCCACTGTCATGCAAACTGGCTCAGCCTCAGCTGAGGCTCATGCGTTCATGGGGCTCTGTGATTCGGGGGGGGGGGTCGTTCTGCGAACGGTGCAACAATCGTGGAACCGCATCGTTTTTTTTTTTTTTTTTTTTTTTTTGACTTCGTTCGTCGTTCCTCCCCTCGACTTGTTCTGTTGCGCCGGGCTTTGTTCTGTTGCGACATGGCACTTGCATTTCCCCCCCCCCTTTTTGGGAGCTCAATCTCATGGCTCGATCTGGCTTTTGCTGCTTCTCTCTCGCTCGGCTTTTGCACTCAGTTCGCAGCAGCGGTTTTTGAACTGGAACGCCTTTTCAAAAAAAAAAAAAAAAAAAAAAAAAATTCCGGTTTCGAGCCTGCTCTTGTTTTTTTTTTTTTTTTTTTTTTTTTTTTTTTTTTTTTTTTTTTTTGTTCTCAATCTCAATTCGCGAAACCCAATTGTGTTTCGACGTCTTTTCGTCCACGCACGTTGCATTCACCATCACTTGAACAAAACTCTTTGGCTCTGCCCTCGTCTTGTTAGAATCTGGAGCCGTCGTTGCTTCGGGGATTGTCGACAGCCTGATTGGTGCGGACGACCTTGCCAACTTTGACGACCCGCCGCCAATCGTCCAGTCCATCGTCGACGCTGCGCTTGCTGGGCGCGGCGTGTCGGTCGTTGCGATCGGAGCCACCGGCACTGGGAAGACGACCGCGTTGTTTGGATCGGCGGCGCATCCCACCCACCACGCGTCGTCTGGACTCGTGCACCATGTCGCGCATGCGCTGCTCGTCCGGCTGGCCACACCCGACACTGTGCCAGTCACGCCAGTCACACCGCGCGCGTCGCTCGTGGCATCGCCGGGCCGCCCATTATCCACCTCTGCGTTGTTTGCACCAACTCCTGCGGTCAGTGCCGAAATCAGCATCTCTTTCCTTGAGATTTTCAACGAAGGATTGCGCGATTTGCTGGCGCGGAATCCGGACGCGACTCCCTGCGTCATTCGCGAACACCCAGTCACAAGCGTCCATGTTGATGGCCTTTCTTCGACCCGCATCACCTCCCTCGATGCTGTCCGACAACTGGTGACGGCCGGGCTTCGCGCACGAATCTGCAGCCTCGAGCGTTTCCCAGCCACCAGCCGTCACTCCCACGGCATCTTGACCATGAGCGTTCGGCGAGCTTCAATTGTCCCTGGCGACATTGAGACTGCCTCTGAACTCGTTGGACGGGTTGTTTTTGCTGATCTCGGCGGCTGGTACGCGAACGTGCGAGCGCGAGTTCGTTTTGTGCCCCGCCTCGAGATTGCTCACCTTGATGTTGTATCTGTTGCGATGTTCTCTTTTCCGATGCGTTCCTCACCCCCAGGGAATCCACCTTGCCGTCAGTCGAGCACCACCAGGCAACCGCGTATCCGTCCCGACTCGAGCATTCACTCAACACACTTGCGACCGTTATTGACACACTCTCCGCGCGCCAATCACTCTTGGCATCACACGAGTCAGAGAGTCTCACGAACGGTGACTCGGCTGTCGTGGACGCTCCCATCATCCCTCACCGTAGTTCTGCGCTGTCCTGGCTGCTAACTGATGCATTTGGAGGCAATTCAGTCACCCATGTCATTGCAAGTAAGCATACAACGTGCAAGCCGGGTCGCCTCGCACGCTTTGTTTCTTTGCTTCTTTGCCCCTTTGTTTGGCTCGCTCATGTTTTTTTTTTTTTCTTGTTTTTTTTTTCCCCCCTTTTCCTTTCTCGCTTGTCCCAGCCCTCTCTGCGACCGCGGAACAAGCACAACAGTCAGCACATACACTCCGCACGGCAAGCTTGTGCCGTGCCATTGTGAATCGCTCCACCATCCTTCTTGTAAGACTTCTTCCGTCCGACCAACGCTCTCTGCTACTTTTGCTCGTGATTTTGGGTCGACCCTGCAACTCACTCGTTTTGATCTTATCAGGGGCCCGAACTAGCATGCATTCATGAGCTTCAGTCTGCCATCACGGAGCTCCAGTTTCGGCTTGAGCAAGCACCGGGATCTGGCGAGCTTCACGACAAGATTGTCGCCAAAATCGATCGCAAAATGGCCAAATTGGAAACAGCGTCGTCCGAATTTGAAAAGACAGTGCTCACGGCCCCCGATCTCGTCGCTGCCACGTCCACTGGCAACGCGGAAGCCGAGGCGACGGTTGTGCCGATTCGCATCGAACCATCCACACCCCACCTTCTCAGCTGGAATGACTCGTTGCACGCCTGTGGCGCGACATTCTGGCCCATTCTGCCGAGCGGTGTCACAACAATTGGGCGGGATCCAAAGCGGCACGTCGGCATTAGTTACGACCCTGGCGTGCTTCCTCGGCACGCGTTTATTGATGCCGCTGCTGGAGTTTTCACGTTTCATCCGCAATCAGACTTGTGTTTCATCAATGGCCGGCCGCTGCACTCAAAGCCAGTAATTCTTCGACACGGTGAGTCAGTTGCCTTTTTCAAGTTTTGAATGGCGTGTCTGCTTTGGCCGATTTTCCTTGTATTTATTGTCCTCTCAACATGCTTTCCGTGAATGGCTCAGGCTACATTGTCGAGCTCGGCCATCATACGACCTTCCGATTCAATGATCCCGCGGAAGCTGCAGAGCTTCGGCTCATGGGGTTGCGCCCTGATCACGCATCGCTCTGCCGTGCCATTGTGTCGCCTGCTCGCGCATCTGCCCTGGCAAATCTCGCATCGTTTGAGGATCCGTACGGAGCCGAGTTTTCTCACCCTGCTGTGATGGAACGGCTTGCTCAACGGCGAGCCCTGCTGACCAAACCTGCGATTCAGGCCGACCAGTCGACTCTCACTGTCGATGCTTTGAATGCACCGTCACACGTCGAGGCTAGGGCTGTTACTTCTTCCGTTCACGAGACCTCGCGCCTGGACGAGACTGCAGCAGAGGCCAATGTCCACGCACCCCACCTCCACCTCGCCAATGGATTTACTTCACAGAATGTGTTGGTGGACAATGCTATTTTCGAGCCGGTTGCCGCGTCCGCTGTTGAAGCTCCTGTCCAAATCGCCGCTGAGCCTTCTACCGATCTGGCCACTGAAGCTGCTCTTGAACCCGCGACCGAGCGTGTTGTGGAGTCTGAAGCCGGCCAAGCTGCCGAGCCAGCTTTTGAGCTTGCTGTCACCGAGCCTGCTCTTGGTGAGCCAACTCCGAAGTCGGAGCTCGATGCCGACACGGTTCCCGAGTCTCTTGCCACGGAGCACGCTTCTGAACTTGCTGCTGCTCATTCGGCTCTCGTGCCTACGGCTGGTTCCGTCATTGTCGAGCCAGTTTCCGAGACCGCAGACGAGTCCATTTCGGCGCCTGTCGTGGTCGAGCCAGTTTCCGTGTCTGTCGTGGCCGAGCCAGCACCAGAAATTGCAGACGAGTCCATTTCGGCGCCTGTCATTGTCGAGCCAGTTTCCGAGACCGCAGACGAGTCCATTTCGGCGCCTGTCGTGGTCGAGCCAGTTTCCGTGTCTGTCGTGGCCGAGCCAGCACCAGAAATTGCAGACGAGTCCATTTCGGCGCCTGTCATTGTCGAGCCAGTTTCCGAGACCGCAGACGAGTCCATTTCGGCACCTGTCGTGGTCGAGCCAGTTTCCGTGTCTGTCGTGGCCGAGCCAGCATCAGAAATTGCAGACAAGCCCGTTTCAGAGTCTGTAGATGCCGAACCGGCTGCCACTGAGCCGACTCATGAAGATGCATCTGAGCCAGCGTCTGAACCTGCATCGGAGCCGGCCATCGAGACTGTCGAGTCGACGCTCATCGAGCCCGCGTCTGACGTTGTTGAAGCTGCTGCCGAGCCCGATGACGCCCCTGCTGTTGCTGGAGGCGACGTCGACCTGGCTGTTGACTCTGTGATTCCCCAGTCCGTTCGTGATGGTGATACCGCCGCGCACTTGACCGAGACTACTCACTCGGTCGTCGAGGAGGCTTCTGTCGATCCGGTCGAATCATCCAACTCGACTCCTGAGCCAACCGACAGCTTTGTCTCTTCGACGCCAGAGTCGGGTGTGCTCGCTGAGCCAACCGCTGAGCCAGCCTCTGACCTCAGCGATAAACCTTCACCGGGCGCTCCTGCGGAGCTTGATACTGCTCAGAACGGCGAGCTTTCGGATGATACGACCGACATGTCGACAGGGGAGTTCATCTTGCCGAGCGCCACTGTAGAGCAGTCCTCCTCTCTGGGTGATACTGTCGACACTGCCTCGGACTCTTTGGTGTTGATCTCGTCTAACTCCTCCGGCCCAGGTGCAACGGAGGCGGATGGGGAAGCTGGCTTTGTTGTACTTCCTGCACACGCTCAGCCGACAGGAGACCATGCTACCGACCAGCCCGCGACGGACGCTGTTGCTGTCGCTGCCGTTGACAACGACCCGAACAACCAGTCACCCTTGGAGCGCCATGCTTCTCCACACAACCCGTTCTTGATGGTGCCAGACGCGGAGGAACCTGAGGATCACGCTGCTGTGCCCTCTCCCAAAAACCCCTTCTTCAAGTTTTACTTTGACAACTTTTCTGCCTTGCACGACTCGTCGCATGCCTCCTCGCCTATGCCGGCTGACCAAAGCCCTTTGTTCGGAGGCGATGCGCACCTCGTGGATGAGAGCATGGCGAATCCCATCCAGACTCTCAACGAGGAGAACTCGACTGACAGCGAGCACACTTTCGTGTTGGTCGACGCAGAAGGGCCGCACGATGAGAATTCGCAGGAAGTTGCCGCTGCTGCTCAAAAGGCAGCACAGACCTCTCTGGCTTCTGACCATCCTAGCGACGAGCACGTTGCACATGGCGACGGAACCGAAGTTGCTCATGCGGCGCCGGAGCAGGAGCACGCCGATGGTGCTCACAGCTCCCAAACGGCGGAGAGATGGGCGGCTGCCGCATCTGACGGTCATTCATCATCCGACGCTCATGACACCATTGCCCAGGAGCCCGTGTTTGAGCCAATTAGTCTGACCGGCGAGGCCCATGCGGCGGCACTGCTCGAGTCCGCACTTGCCGCCTTCCCCGAAGATCCGCTCAGTGGAGATACTGAAGTCGACGAGTACGGATTTGCCCCAATCCAAACAAGTTCGGCGCAAGCAGCGTCGCTGGCTGTCAGCTTGTCGAGCCCGCATACCCCGGAGCAGCCACTCACCGTGGAAGCCGAGCCATCCTTTGAACCAGCTGCCTTCGAGCCGCAGTCGCCTGCAACCTTTGCCAATCCGGAACCCCAGCTCGACCTTCCGCAAGCAACGATCACGCATTCGGCTGAACCTGCCCAGCCGCAAACTCCGCCACCGACCATCACCACCGCAAGCGGCGCAGCGTTTTCCGCTTCTGCCAACTCTGCCTTTTCGACCACCGTCACCAGCTCTCCGATCACTCCCAACAAACGAGCGGGCCGAGTCTTTGATGAAGAGGATGCGAACGACCCGGATGCGCCCTTCACGCCGCTGGCGCAAGCACGTTCGAGCTCGAGCTCAACCGATCACTTTGGCTCCCTGGTTGACTCTCGACGAACGAGCGAAAAGCAAGCGCTGATGGCCGAAGTCGATCGTCTGGGCCGTCTCGTGCTTGGCTCGCGCGACGAAATTCTCGAGCTTCGCGGGCTGGTGCCGAAGGCGTTGCAGACTCCTCCTCGCAAGTCGCTGATTGAGGCGAGCCCGATGAAGCGTCCTTCGCGAGCACAAGCGCTCCAGTTTGGCGGCTCGATGCCCGGGACTCCTGTGGCCACCCCCACCAAACCTCCAGTTGTTGTCAAACAGCGCCCAGGGGCGCCCATCCCGCCGCCACGGCCGGCTCACCTGCGCGACAGCGTCAGCATTTCGCTTTCCAACAACAGCGACAGCAACAGCAACAACAACAACAACACCATCAACGGGTCCGCTGCATCCGCAGGCGCTGCCGTCTCGGATCTCGGTGCGCAGAATGTTGAGCAATTCACTTCGTTGATTGAGCTCCGCGCGCGGGCCCAGCTCCTTGCCGCAGCCATTGACAAGAATGAGTTGAGTCCCGCCGAGATGGAAGAGGCCCAACACGATCTTGTTCTGCTTCGTTTGCGCGAGGACGAGCTCAAGCGTTCGGAAGCGATGGAGCCAGACCGTGACGAAGTGTCGCTGATGGTCGAGGTTTCGCGCCTCGGACAACTGGTCATCGAGTCGCAAGAAGAGCTCGACCATCTTCGTGCAGCTCAGATGGAAGCCGAGGCGACCAAGTCCAAGCCCGCGACGCCAAAGAAGCGCGCTGCTGCTGCTGCCAGTCGGCTTGCCGGTCGCAAGCGGTAGATCCGCGAGACGCGTTTCGTTTTGTACTGTTATTTTTTTTTCGTTGTTTTATTTGAAAAATACAATTGTATGTGAGTGATTCTCTGTATATTGGATGTAAAAAAAGGGGGGGGGGCGGGTGTGTGTTTTTGGAGGTAGCAGAAATGGCTGCTTGAAGGTGCTGTTCCGATAACTTGGAGCACTTCCTGAATCCCTACTCAAGCATGCTCGAATGGACGTGAAAGGACGATTGTGTACTTGAGAGCATGGTGAAGAATGACTGACGAAGGCTCAGGAGGGGGGGGAATCGAGCCGCTCATTGCGCGCGTGCAATCATTGAGCTGCAGCGATTCCAGTTTCGTCCCTCTTGAGTTGTTCTGTTTCACAACACCCCCATCTTCCATTTTCGTCCCCATCTCATCTCATCTCATCATCTCATCATCTCATCTTGTCGATCAGGGTATTTAGGATGTTGAGGCTTTCAAATCAAATTTACCTCGCTTTTCATTCTTCAATTTTTTTTTTTTTTTTTTTTTTGTTTCTGAATCCTTCTTCTTTCATTCACAATCCAATTCTTTTCTTTCACTCCATCCAACAATGCCACCGTTTGTTCGCGAGGCTGCCGTTGTCGCTGGCGGTGCGTCTGCCGAGCCGTTTGCGCTCGAGGCTGATCGGATGCTGTCGTCTGTGCCGTCGAATGACCAGCGTTACTTGCCCGGCAAAGGGATGCGACCGCGCACCGAGCCGCTCCCCGCCGCGCAGTTTGACTGGTGAGCTCTCGCTTGTTTTCTTGTTTTGTATTGTATTGTAGTGCTCTGTTGTAGGATCGCGTGATTGTGTGAGTGAGTGAGTGAGTGAGTGAGAGTGAATGATGATGATGATGGTGTGACTGCTTTTTGAGGTTGAGGTGTGACACATGCTGCTTTGTTGGGGCAATGCCGAATAGTCCCTCTCTCTCGCTCGCTCTCTTCGGCGTGCGTGCGTTCTTGCTGCACAGATGGAGTGATTGAATGAAGATGAAGCAGCAGCAGCAGCAAGCAGCAGCAGCCAGTGCATTAGAAGCGAGTGAGTGAGTGAGTGAGATTGAAAGCAGCAGCTGCAAAACGTTGAGAACAAACAGGCGACGGCAAAAATACGAAAACTCAACAAAAAAGGGGAAAGGCAAAAGGCATTTTTGAAAAGGGAACGGCAAATAACCGCCCCAACAGTCAACTCTGAATGGAAGCATTGGCCATTGCCAATTGCCATTGCCGTTGCCGTTGCAGTGCATTGGAAAACACGGCACACAGCCAGTTTTAACCCACGAAACGAAAAACAAAACCCCAACCCCACCCCCAACAAGACGAACGCAGCACTCAAAGAACGAGATCGAGGGGCACAAAAAGTTGATCGTGTGCTGTACTTCACTCAAACCCATGCTCAACCTCTCAAACATCAACTCAAACGGAGATCAACTCAAACATCAACTCAAATAGAGCTCAATACAAGCAAAAATGAAGACAAACCCCCCCCCTCCCTCCCTCAACAACAACGGCAGAAACAAACCCTATTGTCGCTCACCCTGCACCCCCACCCGCCTCCTTGCGCTTGCCTTCATCACAGGATTGTCGGAAGCGTCCTCCTCATCACCCCGTTCATTGCCATCTGGGGCATCATCAACGTCCCGCTCCAGACACCCACCCTCATCTACACCGTCCTCCTCTACTTTGCCTCGGGACTCGGTCAGTATATTCATTCAATTTGAAAAATTTCCAAGAGTTTTGGCTTTTTGTTTCGCTAAAACCCTTGCTTTGATGCTCGAAAATCGTCTGTAAACAGGCATCACCGCGGGATACCACCGCCTCTGGTCGCACAAGGCGTACGACGCCGCGTGGCCGCTCGAGCTCTTCCTGGCGCTGTCGGGCGCCGCGGCCATGGAGGGCTCGGGTCGCTGGTGGTGCCGCAACCACCGCGCTCACCACAAGTTCACCGACACCCCCAAGGACCCTTACAACGTCCGCCGCTCCCTCCTCTGGGCCCACATTGGCTGGATGCTTGTCAAGCAAAACAAGAACGAGGTCGGCTACGCTGACATTACCGACCTCGACGAGAACAAGATTCTCCAGTGGCAGCACCGCAACTACCCCCTCCTCGTGCTCCTCTGCGGCGTCGCCGTGCCGTGGCTGACTGCAGGTCTCCTCTGGGGCGACTGGTGGGGCGGCTACTTTTACTGCGTCATCCTCCGCCTCGTCTTTATCCACCACTCGACCTTCTTTGTGAACAGCCTCGCGCACTACCTCGGCAACCAGCCGTACTCGGACATGCACACTGCCTTTGACTCGTTCATCACTGCCGTTCTCTCGCTCGGCGAGGGCTACCACAACTACCACCACGAGTTCCCCCAGGACTACCGCAACGGCATCAAGTGGTACCACTACGACCCCACCAAGTGGTTTATTGTGGCCTGCTCGTACGTTGGTCTCGCCTACAACCTCAAGTTTATTCCCAAGAACGAGATTGACAAGGCCAAGCTGCAGATGTCTCAGGTAGGGCTTCATTGAGTTGCTTGTTTATTTTGGGCGTTGGTTTGCAGCCGCGACTCACGTTCGTTCTGAATTCATCCAATCTCACAGAACGCTCTTGATGAGCACAAGGCTCTGCTCGAGTTTGGCAAGACTCTGTCCAAGGACTTGCCCGTGTTCACTCGCCAGCAAGTTCGCACCGAAGCCGCTTCTGGCCGCTCGCTTGTGATTGTGTCCAACCGCGTGTACGATGCAAGCAAGTTTGTTGACGTCCACCCCGGCGGTCGCCAGACACTGCTCAAGCACGTTGGCGAGGATGTCACCCCTCTGTTCCGGTAAGCCGCATCAGCATGTTGGAGTCGAGAGAGGGAGAGAGGGAGAGAGAGAAAGAGAGAGAGAGAGAGAGAGCTTCTGTCGTCGAATGTGCGAGTGTCTGTGACTCACCCGTTTCCCTCTCCCGCTCCCTCTTTCTTGCATTGACTTGTTTTCAATCTTTCTGCTGCTTAGTGGCGACACTGGCGAGCACATTCACTCCAAGTTTGCAATTGCCACGCTGAAGCGCATGCTTGTCGGCCAGGTTGCTCAAGAGTAACCACCTTCCGGCATTCATGAGGTTTTTTTTTTCATTCTATTCGTTTAGTCAACTCTCTCTCTCTCTCTCCCCCCAATTATCGAACATGTCTTGATCTGTACAGCAGACCCTGGACGAACCTTTTTTTTTTTTTTGTTGGTTTGTTCCGTGCGGTCTTTGTGTTTTCTTTTTTATTTGTTTTTCTGTGCCTCATTGTGCTTTTAGCAGTTGCTCTCCGCCCAACTGTCATTTATTGATATGCAATACAATTGTCTTTTGTTCCTCTTGATTCCAGTTGGGTGCTGTTTGCTCAGATCGGCGTTGCTTCCAAACGCGGCAATGCTCAGTCCGCTCTTTTCCCCTTTCTCTTCAGTGCTTTCCCCCGCTCTGCATAATTTTCATTGTCGTCGATTGTCCTGCTACGATGGCGTCCGTCATTCCTATTGATTTCACCGAGTCGCAGTACCGCGACCAGCGCTTCAAGGGCGAGAAGGAGGAGCAATCGCGCAAGCTCGCCAACTCGACGACGCTCTATGTCGGCAACCTGAGCTTCACCACGACCGAGCCGCAGATGGTCGAGCTCTTCTCGAAGTGCGGGCCCGTTCGCCGTGTCGTCATGGGCCTCGACCGCATCAAGCGCACCCCCTGCGGATTTGCCTTTGTCGAGTACGTGCCGAGTATGCGAGTGGGGGGGGGGGATTTGTTTGCGTTTTACAGGAAGATGGCTACGCTGCTTCTCACTAACTCGCCTACCCGTCTTTTATGTTTTTGCTTTCTTCAATCCCTCTCCATTTTCCCCTTCACCCCCTTCCCTCTCCAACCCCCCCCGGCCGACCTCAGGTACTACACGCGGAGAGACGCCGAGGACTGCATGAAGTACGTGACTGGGACGCGGCTGGACGACCGCCCAATCCGCACCGACTGGGACGTCGGCTTTGAGGAAGGCCGCCAGTTTGGCCGCGGGATGAGCGGCGGCCAAGTCCGCGACGAGTTCCGCGATGACTTTGACGAGGGCCGCGGCGGGTTTGGCAAGGGCACGCCGACAGGCGGCACGGGCGGCGTTGGCGTCAGGCCAGGCGGGCCGTTCAACGCGGGCTACGGTGGCAGTGGCAGGCATCACCACCACCACGGAGGAGGTGGTCAAGGTCATCAGGGGTATAACGGAAGCCAAGGAAGCCAAGGTCAAGGCCATGGATACAACGGATCGCGCGGTGGCTACGGCGGCGGTGGCCAGCAGCAACGCAACAATCGAAACAACCACCAGAGCAACAACTACCAGAGCAACAATAGCAATGCTGGAGGACGCTATCATCACTCATCATCATCATCATCAGGATGGGGTAACAACTACCAGCAGGCGCCATTGTACGCGCAGCAACCGCCGCCGGCTCTGGGATCTGCGTTTGCGATTGCAGAGGCTGCTGCTGCTGCCGCGGCCGCCGCGTCGGCAAAACGACCACACGAAGACGCCAACAGCCCCAGCGACAGCGCTAACACGGTCAGCACCACCGCCGCCGCAGACGACAGCTCGGAGCACGCAAGCAAGCGGCAGCGGATGGGCGACGACGGCGAATCCAGCGCAACCAGTCAACCGATTTTCGACCAGGCGACTGCTGCTGCTGCAGCAAGCGCAGACACTGGCGATGATGTTGAAGATATGGTACAATACGATGAATAAAGCGTGAGCTTTTGAGTGCAACTGATGTGTGTTGGCTAGCTACGACGAGCGACTTTGAAAGCTTGCGCTGTTGATTCGACGAGTGCAAGAAGCACTCCAAAGCTCTACAATGAATCGGACCCGTATTTTGCACAATCACACAGACACATCATAATGCCGATGATGATCGTTGAAAAACTCTGCCCGCCCCCGCCCCCTTCATCACAGCTTGGGCGTCAAAGGAGTCGACTTGTTCAAGAAACCGTCGTAGGACTGGTAATCCACACCGCGAGCATTTGTGACGCGCATCACAGCCGCGTTTTTGCTGTCGTCCTCGACAATCGCAATCATGGACGTTGCGATCAGCTCGGGGGAGAGCAGCGGACCGGTGGCAGCAACCACTTCGCCAAACACGGTTGGGAGCATGGTTTTGCCCTCGGCGACCAACGCAGTGTCAGTGAATGATGGGCAGATTGCATTGACGCGAATGTTCTCGTGCGCCTGACCGAGCGAGCGCGAGTACTGAATGACTGCGGCCTTGGTCGCCGCGTACACGGGTGCGTATGGCATGGGGATGAGTCCACCCATCGAGGCAGTGTTGATGATGACACCGCCGTTTCCATGCGGTGCCGACATGTACGTGATGGCCAGGCGGGATCCTGCGACAACCGCCGTGAGATTGATGTCAATCACGAGCTGCCAGTCGGGCTCGCGCGCAATGCCTGCGTTATTTGCGACAATGTCGAGTCTGCCAAACAGCTTGAATGTGTGCGAGAATGCGTCTGCAAAATGTGCGCGATGTGTAGATGTGTAGTAGTAGTCGGAGTAGTCGTCGAAGTGAGATTTTTGAAGGGGGTTTTTTTAATCTCGTTCTCTGAGCTATTCTACGCAAATTCTTACGCTCGAGCTCGGCCTCCTTGGTCACATTGCACTTGATAAATGCGGTGCGGTCGCTGCCGTACTTTGCGTTGAGCTCGGCGCTGAGCTTTTCGCCAGTGTTGGTGTCCAGATCGACGAGCGCGACCTGCATCTCCAATAATAAGAATAAGAATAATTTGCAGCGTTAGAAAACACATGAGAATCTCAGAAATACCTGACTTCTGAGTCGCGATGATCAGCCCCCACCCTTTTTTTGCATTGTTCGTAATGTTGCTGCACATCATCAACCATCATGATGCACCTTCACTACTATTGTTGTGCTCTATAACTCTGGCGCTTGATCGCTTGATCACCGGGTCATGGATTGTGATCTTCTTCTGACCAAACTCACGCTCATCACTCACTCAATCTCACTCGCTCGCTCTTCCATTCTGCACTCGTTTCAAACCCAATCAGCAAACTTCAACACAACTCTTCGCTCATTCGCAGTCCACTCGAGTAGGCCAGTGAATCACCATTAGAACGCTCCGACTCCGATCGCCGCCCGCGCTGTCGCTCCGCGCTGTCGCCCCATTCAAATCTCGCCACCACCACGTTCGACCTGTGCTCCCCCCACCCCCTGCCTTGATGTTGCATGGGAATGCCGTGGTTGCGCACGCCTATTTGTGCTTGCCTTTGCACCGCGCTCGAGCAGCGCAATCGCAAACTCGCGGCCGATTCCGTTCGCTCCGCCAGTCACAAGCGCAACCTTGTCTTGAATGTGCATGTTGAACGAGATTAAAGAATAAGAGTGAAAAAGAGTGAGCTCTCAATATCGAAATAAACGGTAATTCAAAAGGAAGAAAACGGGGGAAACACGGAATATCAATGCATTGAACGTGCCAGTCAATCACAACAGCAAAACTCTTTTTGGTAGACCATTCATCGAAGATCTACATCACAACACCAGTATCACAAAAACAAAATCAAAACAATAACGAGAACAGAAACAACAACAACGAGAGAACAACGAACATGACGCCGCCTCGGATGGGAAGCGACCCAAGCGAAAAACAACAGCAAACGGCAATCACAGCCCAAAACTTGAGCTCGCTCCAAAGTCCACTACGAAGCGCACTTGCTGCAAAACATTGCATCATTGTCAGACGTGTAGATCGTGTCGCCGGGACCAAACAGGGTTTTGCACTTGGAGCAGCACATGCAGTCGCAGTGGCACGGATTGTTGTTGCGCAGGAAAATGGCCTGCTCTGGTTGAATGCCTTCCTTGCAAATGTTGCATTGAAGACAGGAAATGTGAAAGTAGTCGTCTGCAATCTGGAAGGCCTGGCCGCTGGGAATGACCTCGGTGCACTTGGCGCATTTTCGGGAGAACAAGGCCTTGTAGTCCTTCTCGCAGTACGGCTTGTCGTTCTTGGAGCAGTACTCGTTGGTCAGCTCCCTCTTGCACTCGGTGCAGCAGAAGCAGGTGGGATGGTACAATCGGTCCATCGCCTTGATGCCCTCGCCAAAGACCGGGTCGTGGCAAATGGTGCACGATTCCAAAAGCAGTGAAACACGATTCGCGCACGGCGAGCAGTACATTTTGTCGTACTTGACAACGAGCTTGTCGCCCGGCGCGATGCCATTGTTGCAGTTGGCGCAGGACAAGCACGCGTGGTGGAAGCTCTTGCCACCAACACCCACGCAGTTGCCCTCGATAAATAGGTTGCATTTGCCGCAACGCACGTTGAACACTGCACGGTAGTCTGACGGGCAGTACCGTTTTCCGTCCTTGAGATAGAAAGCCTCTGTGAGTGGTTTGTGGCAGACTGCAGTCGGCCGGTCAAAAGAGAGAGAGAGAGAGAGAGAGAGAGAGAGAGAGAGAGAGAGAGAGAGAGAGAGAGAGAGAGAGAGAGAGAGAGAGAGAGAGAGAGAGAGAGAGAGAGAGAGAGAGAGAGAGAGAGAAAGCAAACAAAAAACAAACAAAGCGCACAGTGAGAATTCGTACAACGGTACAAGAACATTTTTCTCCAGACCCAAGCGCTGTCCATGTAGACCTACCATCGCAGTCGAAAGAAAGCTTGACTTTGACTTTGTGCTTGGGTGCGCCAGAAGAATCCGCTCCGCCCAGGCTCGTTCTGCTGGCGGAAGAAGAAGTGCGAGCGCCAAGTTTCGGAGAGCCCGGAAGGGCCAGCATGGACGCTGTCGTCCCCGCTGGTGACAAGCCGGCGCCCTCGGGCTCAGGCACACTTGAAATGCTGTGCTTGAGCAACTCGCGCAACAACATGCTCGAGTGGGTGTCGGATTTGAGCAAGTCTGTGGAACCGGCAGAGACAGCAGAAGAGCTGCTCGCAATGTTGTTGGACGAGGTTCGCGTTGTCTTGGGGGAGCCAGTTTTGAGTGAATCGTCTGCCGCGACTGCTGCTGCTGCTGCTGCTGCCGCCACCGTTGTTGCTGCTGCCGCCGTTGCTGCAGTCTGGGGAGCCAAGGCTGCGCGCAACTCTGTAAACGAGAGGTACATGTCTTCTCCTTCCGTGACATGAACGTCCAAGGTGCCCTGGCCTGCCTGAGCACCATTGGCCGCATGGGCGCCGTCGCGCATGAGAGCGCCGGCCAAACTACGAATCTCATTCAAGGAAATGTACATGCCATCGTCGTCGTGCATGGACGGCGTGCCTTTGGCCTGCACAAGGCGGCGAATGTCGTCCACAGTCGCGTACAGGGCGTCGTCTTCGATGACTTGGACAACCTCAACCGACGGGTAGACAGTGCGCTGAACGCTGAAAATGTCGCCTGACTGCGGTCGCGGCGCGAGTGCGGGTCTCGGTGCGACTGGAGGCGGAGGAGCCGGGTCCGCATGGGTGAATGGACGCTTCAACGTGGAAAAGGAGTCGTCCATCAGGGTGGATGTCGGACGACTGCTGGCCGCATTATGATTGTTGGTATTATTATTGGCACGAGACTTGGCGAGGCGGGCGGTGACGGTGGGGTTGTTTTCCTCATCGGACAGATCGTCTACGGGGATGGAGCCTGGTGGGGCGGCAGCATCCGCAGCAGCAGCAGCAGCAGCAGCAGCAGCAGCAGCAGCAGCAGCATCCGCAGCAGCAGCAGCAGCAGCAGCAGTGATGGGCGACGAAATGACCATTGGCTGCTCTTCTGGAGCTGGCTCGTCTGCAAACACCTTGGAAATGCGAGCAATCTTCTTGGCGTCCTTTTCACGCTGCTCGCGATCGCGCTTTTCTTGTTTGGTTTCCTTGAGCGTGCCCATGGGCGACGAGGGAGAGGACGACGGCATGATCATTGCTGCGGGAAAGCTGCCGACCAGCCCCGAGGCAGAAGACGGCGAGCGTCGCACCGTTCCATTGGATGAGCTGCCGTCGTCCTTGGTCTTGGTGCGCCGAATCGTGAGCTTTCCAAAGAAGCCCGGCTTTGACGTTTCAGACATCGGGTTTCAGTGGGATGTTTTGAGTTGTTTCAGAGCAAACAGAATCGTGCTTGAGGAGTTCTTGTTGGAGATTCACTTTCCGATGCAACCAAACTCGTTGCTGAGCAACTTGGATGCTGCTGCTTTTGGTGTCAATGAGCGTCTGAGAAGTCTTGCGTCGCCGGGTTTCAGCGACTTTTGAGAACTTTTGAATCCCTGTCTCAAACAGCCACACAACAACCGATAGAGAGTGAGCATCGTCGTGTATCATGATGATAGGGAGGGGGAGGTTGCGTTGTGCGACGTGTCATCGATTTGAGAGAGAGAGATGAGAAACAAGCAGTGTAAAGAGTGTGCAAGGTTGGGACGCTGCGACTGTTTGCAACACCACGGCGCAGAGTGCTGAGTGAGTACTAGCGTGAGTGAGTGATTGAGTGAGTGAACAGCGAGGGAGTGAACAGTGAGAAGAGGAGCGCGAGCGAACAGCAGTCGGACCCTGAAATTGATAAAAAATCCCCCTGCCATTGCGCATTGCAAGCACAATGCACACCGCCCCATTCCCCCCCTCTCTCTCTGTCTCTCCCTCTCTCTGTCTCTCACAGTTCCCAGCAACAAGCGAGGGGGGACTTCCATCTGGGCCCAGACATGCTTCATGACTCAGTTCGTCGCACTTTTATCACTCTCCACCTCGATTTGGGCATTCTCGCTCGCTTCTTCATCATCATTCGCTGCTTCGAACGGCTCATCGCTTCATCAGCATCATCGCTTCATCATCATCATCAGCACAATGCAATGCAATGCAAAACACTGCAAAGAAAGAACGAAAAGAACGAAAGAAAAGAAAAGAAGGAGAAAAAAAAAAAAAAAAAAAAAAAGAAAAAAAAAGTTCGAGTTGCCAACGAAACGAACATAAAAAAAAACTTACACGAAAATAAAATCAGTCGATGAGAAACAATTGAAAAAACAGACTGAACTTAATCATAATCAAAAAACAACTAAAAAAAACCAAGTGATATGCATGTGAAAAAGAGTTTCAATGAGAAAGAAAGAGAGAGAGAGAGAGAAGTGAAAGTGAAGAGTTGCGGAAGAGGACGATGAAACACTCGAGAACTGCAGTCGCGCCCAAAAAAAAGGCACATTGGCGATTTTCGGAAGAAGTGTGATCCAATGTTTCGCGTGGCATTTAATACATTTCAACAACAGTACTCATCACAAACCAACATAGGGCGGAGGAAACAGCCGAAGGGGTTGGATGAGAGAGGGCAAAATCACGAAATTTCACAACAAGTGTTGTCACAAGTGACACTTCCCGCTGCAATTCAACCTTAGTACTTGGTGTACCAACCCTTCGCGCTGAGGCACTCTTCAATCCGTTTCGGCATCGAATCAATCAAGGCCCGGCAGTACTGTGGCGTGACATGTTTTTCCGTCCACTTTTCGATCGCCTCCCACAGCTGCTGCTTGTTCTGCGGATGAAATTCACTCAGTACTCCCTTCTGGATCTCAGCCCACAGGTTCTCGATGGGGTTGAGGTCGGGGCTGTAGGGCGGCCAATTCAAAACTTTGATATCGGCGTCCTCCAAGTAGTCAATCGCCGGCTTGCTGGTATGCACCGCCGCATTGTCTTGCATGAAGATGAACGTGCCTCCCATCTTCAACCGGTTCATACCAGGCAGCAGGTTCTTGTCTAGCATCTGCGCGTACTGCTTGCCGGTGAGAGCCTCATCGAGCGGCACCAGAGGAAGGGGCCCGCGCGACGAGATAGCACCCCAGAGGTAAATTTCAGTTCCTCCATGTTGGACCGTCTCTTTGACCATGTCGCGGGTCAGCGGCGCGCCCTTCTTCCGCCACACCCGGCCACGCGGAGTAGAGGCATGCAGCCTCATGTGTGCTTCGCTGGAGAACACGACCTTGCGCCAGTCAGCCACAGTAAAGCTGCGATGGTCAGTGCACCAGGCGAGTCGTTCGGCAGCGTTCTTTTTGTTCAGCCTGGGCTTCAACGCCCGCAAAGTATTCACAAACTCCATTTCGTGCAGTGCCCGCTTGATGGTTGAGGTACCCGGGTGTCGGCCATTTCTCGCAGGTAAGATCGAAGCGGCAGTCTTGGCTGAAATGGCTGGGGTGCTCGAGACAAGGTGGCGGAGTTGGCGGGAATCTCGGTCGGTCAGCACGTTGGGGCGCCCAGGGCGACGTGCATCAGCTGCCGCGATACCATCGGGGTATCTATCAATAATGTGGTAAATTCCACGCAAAGACAGGCCAGTTTGAGTGGCTATCTGCTTGACAGGAACCTTCTGAGCGCGAAGATTGAGCACAGCTTGACGCCGATGCACGAGCTGCAGCTGCTTGTTTTCCGCCGTCTTCCCTTGTGGACGCATATCTGGGATGCAAAAAGAGTGCACCGGAGTGGAACGCGGGCGGCGGGGACATGCACGGCGGCACCGCTCTGAGAAAACCGTTTAAAGTCGTTTCCCGCCAAAATCACGGCTTGAGCCATTTTATGAGAAACGACTGGTTTGAATTTTCAAATTGTGGACAAACTTGGTAATCGAGTAGGAACTACTGAGAGCAATATATATTAGGCAATAGGCTCGCGCGCAAACACGCGAAGGAGGGATGGAGGGCGGATTTGTGCAGGCGCGACTGTATTCCGACAGGAGCATAAGCTGGATTGGCTGCTGAAACAGGCGGAGGCTGACCAAAGCTGAAGCGCTTAGTCTCTGGCAATCCTCCCGCTCGGGTGTGTCACTGTTGTGATGTTGATGATGGTGATGATCTGCTCACTCGATCTCGTCCTATCCGATTTCCATTTTCGAGTTCTCCTGCTCAGTCTTCCTTTCCGCTGAGCTCTGAGCTCGATTGACCAGTCATGCGAACTCAGTCACTCTTGGTGGTCATCCTCATGGCAGCGGCGACCACCCTCCTCGCTCACTCGCTCCCGTCCGCACTCGCCATGGACGCAGTGGACCCTTCTTCTTCTTCTGTTGCTGCTGCTCCTCTGACTGCGCCAAGCCGACGCACGCCGGTCATCATCGACACTGACATTGGTAAACCACTGCAATTGCCGCTCCTGCCACAGCGAAACCGCACATCAAACCCATCAAACCTTGTTTTGATCAACTTGATCATACTCACGACGGACGCACTCGCATTCTTGCAAAACGACGTCACAGGCACAGATATGGACGATACGTGGGCCATTGCAGTCGCACTCGCGTCGCCAGTCATCGACGTCCGCCTCGTACTCGTCGCGACCCACAACACGCCCGTTCGCGCTCAGATTGCAGCGCAGTTCCTCACTCGCATCAACCGCACTGACATTCCCATTGGCATTGGGTAAGCTTATCATCAAGGACCCCTGCTCCATGAGAATTCGCATCCTCTGAGAATGAAGGCGAGGCTGATTTCGTTTCGCTGCTTGTCTCAGAACGCAGTACGACAACATGACGGTCGAGCTGCAAGGCTGGGCTGCAAACTACAGCCTTGACTCGTACCCTGGCAAGATTTACTACGACGGTGTTCAAGGTGAGGACCAAAGTATTTACGCCGGAGTTGTGTACTTCTCTGCCGGGTTGTGAACGACCTCTCACCATCATCTGACTTTACCTGTGACAGCAATGAACGACATCATCCTCGCCGCTGAAGTCGAAAACCCCGTGGTCATGCTCTTGCTTGCGCCCTGCAACAACATGGCCGAGGCCGAGCGACGCTTCCCTGCCGCGCTCCAGCGTGTGTCTCGCGCGTTTGCTATGAGTGGCAGCATCTACCGCGGATACAACGACTCCTTGGTCCCAACCAACGAATACAATGTTCGAGATGACCCGGCGTCGTCCCAGCTCGTGTACAGCTTTGCCAGCATCAACCATTCCGCCAGTCTGCCCATCTGGTCGCTCTTCACTGCGCCGCTCGACACCTCCGGCCTGTACCAACTGGATGGCATCTTCTATCAGCAACTTCTCAGCGCAGCCAACGGGTCTCGTCTCATCTCCACCGTCCTGGAAATGTACAAGATCTGGCTTCCGCTCTGTCCGTGGGCCAACACCGAGGGGCCCAAGCCATGTGGTAAGACCGGCACCCAGCGAGCAACTTTGTCTTGTTGCTGGTTGTTTTTTGCCTTTTGCTGCTCGTTAGTCGGTGACCTTTGACTCAAATTTTGGCTCGAAACATCTCCCCAATTCACACCTTGTTCTAGACCCGGCTGTTCGCTCGTCGGTCTTGTACGATGTGATTGCCACGGTCATGCTCATCTCGGCCACACCCGAACGCTATATGGAGTACGACCAAGTCACGCTGCAAGTCACCGACACTGGCTTCACCACCCCAACACCGAACGGTCCCGACCGGATTACGGCTGCCCTCAAGTGGCTCGATATGGATGCATTGTCTGCAGCTCTTGCTCAGTGCATCATCAGTGGGTGTCAATTGATGTAGTAGAATACAGTACAGTCGGTTCGTTTGGTTGTCAGTGTTTTGTCCTGCCCGCCCCCCCTCTCTGTCCCTCCCTTCCCTTGAAGCGGTCGGTTTCCTTTGTTTCTTTCATAATTCCATATTTTTTGCATACTTCAGCACTATTTTGCTTTCCCTCCCCCGACCTTGTGATCTCTTGGCATTCAAATACTTGTTACATCACCCAATCCAAATCTCCAATCTCCAATCTCAGTCGTTGTTTTGTATGGCATTTCGTTCAACGCTATTGCGTGTCGCATCGCAGCACTCATACTTTGTCCACTTGAACCAGAATCTACTCCTCCGATATTATTATCATCACTCCATCATGAGCGCGTCATCCAGTCGAGGCGCGTCATCGTCGGCGGCAACCAGCGGTGCTTACAATCCGAATTTCGCGCGCGCACCCAAGCCTGAGCCGCCGCGCACCAACGCCCAGCTCGACAGGCACTATGCTGATATTGGGCTGACGGATGCTCCGCTGATGGCGCGTCCATTCAACCCGGTCGCCTTCCGTGCCTGGTTTGAGTACCACTCGGCGACTCGCAAGGACGCCCTGCGCGATCTCCGGTATGCACAAAGCACACCATCCAATACTTGAGACGACTGGTAGTCTATCTCAGTGTGTGCCGTGGTCTTAATGGGGGGGGGGTGGAGGACTTGGGGATGAGTGAACGAATAAACCCAAATTTGTCTGTCTCAGATTTGGGAGATTTGGTGATGTAACATGGTGCACATCACGCCAGACAAGCCAAACCGCGTTGCGCAACAATTTTCAATCAGGTCGCCATTTTGATTTTGCTGATTGCCCACACGACGACAAACGCGATGGTGCCGAGACAAGAGATCAGCAACTTGCCGTTGTGTTGTTCCGTCAGGAGCAGAGCTCAACCCTTCGCAACAAAGCAAAGGTCGCTCTTCTTCTGATTCAAAGTGTTTTCCGTTGTCTGGTTCTGACTTGACAGCGTCTACGTGATGCGTGAAACACTCCAAGCGTGCTCAACACAAGAATACCGTCTTCCGAACGGCGACTTTGTTCAGTTGCCGGGTTTGGATCTGAACACTGCGACTTCAAGTGATGGCGCCGCGAGTACCTCGCCAGCTGTGGCGCACCCGCTTGCGGCGTTCAAGCCAACCTCTGTACCTGCGTCCAGATCCACTCTGACGGCTGTGGAGCGAATTCAGGCTCAAGCGCGCGCCACCGCGTACTTTGACATCCGAACCTCGCAGGAGATTGCCAACTTGCTGGCAACTGGGACGACAGACATCCAGGATGCTGCATTGAAGGCGGCATCCGAAGTTGAGGCTGTCGCCGTGGCTGCCAATGCCTTGAACCTGGATGCCGACGACGAGCCCGCGGACAGGTCCAAGCGCGGTGCTGTGCCGTACTTTGAGAAGAACAATCGCTCGGCGCCCCGCGGCATCTTCACTGTGGGCCGTCCTGCTGGCAAGTTTGAGAGGCCTGCCAAATGCTTTGTCTACGGCGGCGACTGCCTCGAGCTCGGGCTGCAGCTGAAGAACGACCTCCACCTCAATCCTGTTGTCTTGAACATGGCATCGCACAAGCGACCGGGAGGCGGTGAGTACTACTGCTGCGCTGTTTCTTTTGTTTTGGGAAAGGGTGTTTTCGGGCAATGAAGTGGTGGTGGGTTGGTTTTGATTTTGGGCAACGAGTATTCACTCACGTCTGTCCTTCTCTCGACCACGCCCAGGCTACTCTACTGGTGCTGGTGCTCAGGAAGAAAATCTCTTCCGCCGAACCAATTACGTGCAATCTCTTGGCAACAATGGTACGTTTGTGGCGCAACTTTAGAATTCATGTTCGTCCATTCGACTGACGCTCAACTTGGCGCCACAGAGTTTTACGACAGCGAGCGTGCGTGGCGCTTCCCGCTGCCCGAGTTTGCCGGAGTGTACAACCCTGAGGTATTTGTGATGCGTGGCACTGAGCAAGAGGGCTACCCATTCTTGGCCGCGCCCCAGACCATGGCTTTCATTGGCGTCCCTGCGTACGCTCGCCCAGACCTTGTCAATGCTCGTCCCAGCAAAAAGCAACTCAAGGCAGGCGCGGAAGCCCCTTCAACATCCACCCCAGAGCCTCGGCTGACTGAAAAGTTTGCCGAAAAGACGCGCCAAAAGATGCGAACCATCCTCGCCGTCTCGTGCGCTGCTGGACACGACTCGGTCGTCCTGTCTGCGATGGGATGCGGTGCATTTGGCAACCCGCCCAATCACATTGCGCGTCTCTTTGAAGAGGTGCTGAACGACCGTCGCTTTGATTTCATGCATCGATTCCGCGTCATCTCGTTTGCCATTTTTGACGACAAGAACTCGCGTCTGTCGCACAACCCTTGCGGCAATGTGGTGCCCTTCGAGGATGTATTTGGGTCGCGCCTCGATGCTGAAGGCGTTCGCGCACTCCGTGCAGAGCTGTGATTCTACCTGAGAATGCTATTGAAGAATGGCTTGACTGAAGGTACTAGTATTGAACAAGGAACAAATAAAAAAGGAGGGAAATACAAAAATACAAACACGGCTACTTTTCAAAGTACTACATACAGAAAAAAAGGAAGGGGGGGGGGGAAAGAGCAAACGAGGATAACACAAATGGTTACTGTGCAGTGCTTGGGGCAGCAGGAGCAGACTCGCATCGTTGTGTGTCTTTCAGCTGCGCAATCCAGTCATCTCGAATTCGCTTGCTAGTAGCCTGAGCAATGACAACAAGGTCGCCGGCTGAGATCTGCATCAGGTTGGTGTTTTCTACAAGCAGAACGGACAGCCGAGTATTTTTTTTTTTTTGCAACGTCAAGTTAGCATCAAACGGGATAGAGGACGCCAATTCGAAATCTCATCCGTCAAATCAAATGAATGTCACCACTCACCACCAACATCGGGCAGCGGAACGACGTGAATGTCGCTCAGCGCAGACTTGGCGCGGAAGCCATCCGACACTCCTTGCTTCTTCTTTTTGCGCTGAACGAACAGAGCCAAATCCGAGAAGAGATAAACAATGATTGTGTGACCGGGCGTGTACTGGCGAGACCCAGAGAGGATTTCCAGCTCGATGAAATGGGTGTCGGAAATCAGGCGTCGTTGAGGTTGCAGCAACTCCTATTGCGCCAACCCAAAGTCAGCAACAGTCGACAGTTTGATGCACGATCAAAAAGAACAACGAGAACAAAAGCACTCGACTCACAAATCCTTCGGGAAGGCGTTTGACGTCTTTTTGGATGGCAACCATCATTGCGCGGGACTCTGCTTGACGCTTGGTCTCGTTGATAAAGTTGGCGAGTTCTTTGACTTGCTTGACAGCAGCGGTGATGTCGGCGTAGTCAACATGCTCTGGATCGGTGCGCTTGGCAAGGTCTATTCGACGGGAAAAAACACGTCAATGAGTGAGAAAGCTGCCGAAGCTGAATTTCAAAAAAAAAAGGAAGAGCAGACCCACCTTCAAGCAACAAGACGTAGCGAGGAATGCGTTGAATCGGAGTAAGCATGTGTTGGAGCAAACCGAGGCGTTTGCATTCAGGCCTTGATTCAGTTTCCTGACAAGTAGACAATTTGCCGAGTCCCGTTAACACCACTCGACAAGAATGCCATCAAATTCAACACCACTACACACAAAGCACGTTTGATGAATTGCCTTACCTTCAAAAAGGCCTTGAACGGAGCCGAAGTTTCAGTCAGTCGCGATATCAACTCGGTGGCCATCGGGAAATTGCTGACAAAGCCAGTGTAAACCTTGAGGTAAACGGCCTGCGTTGCGAGGGTAGCGTGAGCAAAATAAAAAGGATCAACAAGCATCTTGACACCCGTGTCATGGCAGAAACAGCAAGCGTACCATCTTCAAAAAGATGTCGCCAATCTTTTGAACGGCCGACCAGTTCTCAACACGCTCGGCCAGCTCTGCCAGGAGCTGCTTGTTGATGTTAACAATCGATTCCAAATCGGGGAACATTTTCTTGAGATCGGCGTTGGTCACCAGCGGCTTGCCAGTCTCGATCGTTGCTCGCAACGGCTTGATGAAGAACTGAGTCGTACGACGGCATGAGCACACACACACAAAAAAGAAACAATCAACACAGCACCTACTCCTGTTCGCTTACATCCACCACCATGACAAGGTTGTTCACGTAGGATTGCTCGGTCGCCAGAAGTTCCTGCACAATGTTGGTGCGTTTGGGGTGGAGGGTGCGGATGCGCTCCTCGCGGGCCAATCGCACAGCCTCGCGGGCTCGCTCTTCTTCCTCGCGAGCCTCGCGTTCTTGGCGCTCGCGGAGCTCCTGCTCTTCCTGGGCAAGTCGGGCGCGCTCCTCCTCACGAGCCTTCTCGAGCCGTTCCTTCAGCTCTCGCTCCTCCTTCTGACGGCGCGCCAATTCCTCTTCACGGCGGCGGCGTTCTTCGCGAACAATCTGCATTGTAAAACAAAAAAAAAACAACAAAAACCAAACAAACAAAAACCAAACAAACAAAAAACAAACAAACAAAACAATCAGTCGCTGCACACTACCAAAGCAAAATAAAGGCAGAATGCCCACTGCTTACATTCATCTTGCCGCGGAGAGACGCCATCCAGCCTTCAAACTCTCGAGCACCTTCGAGACGGATGGACCATTTGGTACCGTCAATGCCAAGGATGTGGAAACCGAAATAGGCGTGCGAGTTTTGCGCTTCGGGCGAATCCAGGGCGCTCACAAACGCACCACGACCAAGCGCCGTCACCGTCTGGTCGCTCTTTTTGGTGCTCAGCGTGCTCAGGCGGTTGGCGGACGCACCACCACCACCACCACCAGCGGCGGGCGATGAGGTCGAGGACACGGTGTTGTTTGCCGATTGCTCTTGCAAGAGTTTGACCGTTCGCTCGTCCACCACAATGTCAGAGCACTTGTGCAAATCAATCGTTTCGAGCGCAGCGGCATCATCGGCCGTGCGATAGACGGTAATGATCATTTCTTTGACGCGCGTGACAAAGTAGCGACGCACCCACTTGACAGCAGCAGCTGCCGAGGTCTGGGACTCGCTGGACATGGACGGAGTCAGCGAATACACTGAATGAAGGGATGTCGACATGGAAGCCGGCAGCTGTGCAATGGTGCGCATCTGCGGCGGCGATCCAGGCGTGCTGCTACCGCTTGTGCTGTCGTCCCCTGCGTGGGCTTGCATTTGCTCGAACGGATCATCGACATCATCGTCAAACACCGTCGAGAAGCGAGCAATTTGCTCGTGGAAGTGGCGACGCTCGGACAGCTGGCGCTTGAACATTTCCTCGCTTTCGTCGGACGTGGGCACGAGCTGGTAGACGTATCCTTCGCGTCGTGCCGCCGCAAGAAGATCTGTCTCGGCTTGCACGCGCTGGTCGACGAATGCCTCGTGGTTGTAAGGCAGGCTTCCGCCAAAGTCGCTCGGCAGACTGGTGGGCGGGATGATTTTGGCGAGCGAGGCGTTGTTGTCGACCACCTCGAGCTTGGCGGCCAAGGGCGCAGACATGACAGCCTTGTACGTCTTCATGGCCATGGACAGCCACCACGGAGCGTTGACGAGGTAGATGCGGCGCAGGCGCACGGGGTACTTTTCGTCCATCAAGCCAAACAACTGCGACTGCAGCGAGGCATCAAACTGCTTCCAGCTGGCGCGCGAGAGATCGACCACCACCACAATGCCGTTGCGCTGGGTGAGTGTGTCTGTCGTGGCAATGTCCAGCAGATACGATGCCAAGTCCAGAATGGCCGACAAGTTGGACGACGAGCTGGCCGAGAACGCCGGCGACGACGGGAAGCTCATTTCCTGCAGTTTGGCAGCGACGACGAGCACGGCAGCATTGTCCTTGTCGCGCGATCCAGGGAGGTACAGCGTGCCGTCCCTCAGCGAGTCCATGACATCGACGGCAAACCGCTGGGTGATGCCAAAGTGGTTCATGTAGACCGTGTACAGCGCGAGCGCCTTTTCGACGTTAAACTCGCGGGCAAACAGGAACTTTGCGAGGAGGACTGTTTCGTCATTGAGGACGTTTGAGTTGTGGCTGCTGCTTGTGGTGGCCGCTTGAGGTTGGGTTGCTTGGTGGTCGGAAGCAGCTGGAGTAGCAGCAGCAGTGGATGACAGGAAGCCCTTCTGGACGAGCTTCCGCCGCAGGAGCAGGATGCGGCTGGCCTCGTCGCGCGTGATGCCGAACGACGTCATGTACAGCTCTGTGAGTTGCTCGTCGTCAATGCCGGGCGTTGCTGTTGCTGTTGCTGTTGCTGTCGGCGACGGCGGGACCAGAATGTCGCCCAGTCCGTTGTTTGCGGGCGAGAGTGCGGACAGCGGCCGGTTTAACTGCTGCGGCCCACCCAGCGCGGACGAAGACGATGACGATGACGATGACGATGACTCGGCTGCCATGACTGATGAGCGAGTTGAGGGTGAAGCAGTGGACTGAATGGTTCGTTTTGCAGCAGACACAAATGTATGGAAAAAAGCCAAAAAAAAAAAAAAAAAAGGAAAAAAAATTTGAAAAAAAAAAAAAAAAGCTAAGAAGCAACAAACAAAAAGAAAAGTGAGTTGAATAATTGAATAATGGAAAGAACGAATGAATGAATGAGTGAACCATTAGATGGATGAATTGATGGATGAATTGAAATGGATGAATTGAAATGGATTGAAGGTGAGCGTCGGAATGGAAACCAAATCTGGGAAATTGGTTGGAATGGTGAAAAAAAAAAAAAAACCACTCCAAAGTGTTGAATCGACAGACTGAAGGTGCATTGCGGTGTGTGTGTGTGTGTGTGTGTGTGTGTGTGTGTGTGTGTGCATTGGGGTGTGTGGGGAACGACAAGGTGCAAAACAGCTGGAATCAGCAAATGCAATGGAGGAATTGAGGAAGAGGAGAAAGGAGCGGAGAGGGAATGAGAAATTGTGGTTGCTTAGCGTTAGATTCCAATGAACAGAATTGAAAGATCAAGATAAAGATGGAAGGATGGAAAGATGCACCAAAGACATTCATGTCACAACAGAAAACAAACAACAACAACAGAAAACAACCATGCAATCTAAAATCAACCAAAACAGAAAGTCAAAACCAATAATCGATACAGCTGCACCGAGAACTCCAGCGATTCACAGTGTTGGATTGCGCTTTTTCATTTGTTGGCGGGAGGATTCGGGGTCAGAATCACCTTGCCAACATTCTGACGGGTAATGATGCGATCAATGGCATCGTTCACGTTCTCGTACTGGTGAACAGAGTCAATCACAGGCTTGACCTTGCCCTCGTGGTACAGGGCAATGATGGCATCCACCGTTCGCTTGAGGATGGTCTTTTCGCTGGCAAGGGCACCCGCGAAAAACCCGCCCACCATGCGATTGTCCTAAAAACCCCCAAGTCAAAAAACCAATGTTCAAAATCAAAAAGGGATCAAGTGAGCAAGCTAGGACACAAACAAAACAGGCAACGATAACACCATCATCATCGTCATAATACATCGAATCAAACTAAAAGCACACCACTACGCATCATCATGGCCAAAATCTCACCTTCATCAATCGCATCGGATGAATGCTCTTCCACTTCCACCACTCGGAGGCGACGTGGAGCAGGCTGCGCGATTGACCGTTGAGGAAGGTAGAGCCACCGTACGAGATCTGGCGGCCAAGGGGCGCGAGCAGGTTGTAGCCCTTCATGAAGTGCTCAGAGCCCAGCGGGTCGAGGATGAGGTCGACGCCCTTGTTGTTCGTCTCCTGTTGGACGATGGGGGCGTAGTCGGTCGTGCGGTAGTCGATCGGAACATCCACGCCGTTCTCCTTGACGACCTGGTGCTTTGCCGCAGAGGCCGTGCCAAAAATGCGAACGTTCGGAACGGTGCGCGCGAGCTGCGTAGCAGCAATGCCAACACCACCAGCCGCCATGTGAACCAAGAGGCTTTGGTTGGGGCGCAGGTTGCCCATATCAAAGAGGCAAATGTACGCGGTAATGTACGTGACGGGAATAGCAGCGGCAATCTCAAAGCTCATGGAATCTGGAATGGGCCAGACGGCGTCCGCGTCCGTTTGCAGCAAATCGGTCCAGCAGCCAAAGTTCTTCATGGCCATGACACGCGTTCCGACGGCGATAGAGGTCACGTCAGGGCCGACCGCCTCGACGACGCCTTAGCAGAGCAAACGATCAAGATGATGGTTGGCAAAATGCGTTGGCCAAAAATGTGTGGCACAAAAACCCAGCGAACGACTCACCTGCACACTCATAGCCGAGCACCACGGGTGGCTTGGGGCATCCGTCGTACAAGCCCTGGCGCGCCATAATCTAAACCAAGCGAGGGGGGGGGAGGCAAAAATCAATAGATAGACGAGTTGAGTGCTTGTGAGGGTGAAAGATAAACCCAAAACGAAGACTTACTTCGGCAAAGTTCAATCCGCTGTCGACGTTGATGAGATGGAGAGAGAGTCATATCCGACATGACGAGCATCGTAATGAAGAAGAGTAACAACGTGCAGAATGAGTATTGCGAATCGTCCATTTGGCAGCACAAGCGCTGTGCATTGCCGCAGTCGAATTTGGTCTGCGAGTGACAACGCCACCGTCCAACGGAGCATCATACAGCACACGACCGCAGCAAGCACGAGGCACAAACCCAGAGAGCAGGGGGCGGGCGGGAACTTACGCAGCGTGGACGCGAACGAGCACTTGGCCTGGCCCGGCCACAGGATCCGGCAGCGTCTGCACTTGGAGGCAGCTGGGTCCGCCGAACGAAGTAAGCATGATGACCTAATTCATAGGCAAGCGTGCCAAATAACCACATCATGCCAGCCCAGTCCAGTCGGAGTGCAGAGCAAAGCGGAACAATAGAACGAGCGAGGGTGAGGCTTTATCAATATCAATTGGCTGCAAACGTCACGTTCCGCTCAGCTCCAGCTCCAGCCACAGCCAGCCAGCCAGCCATTCAGACCAGCAAAGTGTGCGTTACAAACCTTCATTATTGTGTGATGATGTGCGTTGGTTGCTTTTCGCTGCTAGTTGTGTTAGTCGAGTGATTTCAAATAAAAAAAAAACAGAGACTGCTGCTGAGCAACTGAGTTTCGGTTTGGCCTTTTTAAAAGAGATAAAAAATGCGGAAGCATTTCAACCAAAACGACCGGCGGAACTTTGAAGATCCGAATGCGAAACGGAGAATTTAGTGGGACAAGGACGGGAGGTTGGACAACAGCACGGAATATAATAGCAATGGAAACGAGAGGCGGGCTGGGGGTGGGGAATTGGCATGTGGGGATTGGGTGGCCGAGCGGAGGAACCAAAGCAAAACCAAAAGTGAGTGAATGTGACAACATGACATCCCGAACCTCCAGACTCTCTGCTGTTGGTCGTCTGGAACCTCGACCCTTCAACACACTGTTTGGTTTTAACGCAAGAGAACAAGAGAGCAACACACCTTCCCCTTCAGCGATTGAAACCGGATATCGATCGGCCGACGACAGCCAAGCTGATGCCTTGCTGCCCACGCCAGTGGATGTGTTGGGTGTGCTGATGAGATGATTGCGCGTCAAGACAAGTGCATGATTTGTCGTGTCATCCCGAGTCATCACTGTTTTGTATGATGGTTGATGATGCTGGACAGTCAGTCAGTCCTGTTCTTTTTGGTTTTCCATCTTCACCCACTCAATCCAACTTCCAACTCACTCACCCAAACTCACTTCCACCCGACTCTCCACACCCTCTGCAACTTGCACTTGGATTTTCAGCGTGTGCAACAAAACATGTCGTCCAAGCAACCCAAGGAGAAGAACATTCAGGTCGTCTTGCGCTGCAGGTAACAACGGACGAAACGAACTGTTTTTGCACCAGTTTCCATTCGACCCTCCTGAACTCTTTTTCTTCACCCTGCCCCAAACGCCGCTTCACTACACTCCCCGTGCATGCGACGAACACGCGCATCGATTCAGCTTTCATACTTGACTCCATCTCGCCTTCTTCCGACAAGCAAACGACCCAACGTCGCAAACGCAAAATGCGCGCCGCCAAAATTTGAAACACTTTTTGACAGTTTGAAACCAAATAAAAAACGCAAACGGTTTTTTGTTTTGGTCGGCTTTTTGTTTGTTTGAGTAACATTGCGCGAATGCACCGCGTTTCCAGCAGTGGCGTGGATGATTAGATGATGCTGATAGGAGAAGGGTGGAAGGCTCTGTTTCATTGGATGCGACATTGACAGGCGCGACAGGGCGAAGGGAAAAAAAAAAAACCCCAAGCAATGGAAAAAACTGTTTCACCGCGCCAATTCATACTCTGAATCCCACCTCCATCTCGCCCGTGTGTGGATGGTTGCATCGAACAGAGCAAAAATCTATCAAACCAAACAAAAAGGAACGGCGGGGACGTGAAGTTGCTCACTTTGGAAACCAACTGAATCTTGAAAAAAACGTCGTTCTCACTTTACACTGATCTGCTCTGCTCTGCTGCTGCAGGCCCCTGAACAACATGGAAAAGACCGCAGTCAGCCCGCTGGTCGTCGAATGCGACGAGACAATGCGCCAAGTCAATGTCAAGCAAGGCGTCGTCGACAAGAGCACCACCAAGACTTTCCACTTTGACAAGGTAACTGTCATGGTGCGACGATCAAGAGTCATCCAGTACTGACTGACTTTGTTTTGGGGCTGGTTCCATGGTTTGTTTTGCAGGTGTTTGGTCATGATGCTCGCCAAATTGAAATCTACAACGAAGTCGTTGCTCCGATTATGACGGAAGTTCTGATGGGCTACAACTGCACCATCTTTGCGTAAGCGTTGCGCCATTTCCTTGCCCCCCTCCCTTTTCTCTCTTTGTCGTGTTGCTTGCCAAGAGCAACAACGGCAAAAAAACCAAACCGATCGCAATCAAATGCCTAACTCGCCTCTCCCTCCGTTTCACACACTCCCACACACACAGCTACGGCCAAACCGGCACTGGTAAAACGTACACAATGGAGGGTCGTCGCACCGAAGGAAACTACTCATTCCAAAGCGATCCCGAGGCAGGCATTGTGCCCCGCGCGCTGCACAACCTGTTTGAAGTGCTGGAAAGCCAAGACGCCGAGTTTTCCATCAAGGTTTCATCGCTCGAGCTCTACAATGAGGAGCTTCGCGATCTGCTGAGCGACGCCAAGTCGGACGACCCCACAAAGCTCCGCATCTTGGAAGATGGCTCGCGCAAAGGTGCCGTCGTCGTTCAAGGCGTCGAGGAGATGAGCCTCAAGCATCGCAACGACATTTATGCCGTCCTGGAAAAGTGCTCTGCTCGCCGCCAGACGGCCGTGACTGCCATGAACCACGCCTCGAGCCGCTCGCATTGCGTGTTCTCCATCACCATCCACATGAAAGAGTCGACGCCTGAAGGCGAAGATCTGCTCAAGGTCGGCAAGCTCAACTTGGTCGATCTTGCTGGGTCGGAAAATATTGGGCGTTCGGGCGCTGTCTCCCAGCGTGCGCGTGAGGCGGGCAATATCAACCAGTCTCTGCTCACGCTTGGTCGTGTCATTACTTCGTTGGTCGAGGGCCGTGATCACGTTCCGTACCGTGAGAGCAAACTGACTCGCCTTCTGCAGGACTCGCTCGGCGGCACCACGCGTACGTGCATCATTGCGACCGTGTCGCCTGCAGCCATCAATGTCGAGGAAACCTTGAGCACTCTGGACTATGCCCATCGCGCCAAGAACGTCAAAAACCGCCCCGAAATCAATCAAAAGCTCACCAAGCGCTCGCTCATTCGAGACTATACTGTGGAAATTGAGCGACTCAAGCGGGACTTGGTGGCTTCGCGCGAAAAGAATGGATTTTTCATTGCCCAAGAAAACTACGAGGCCATGGAAGAGACGATCAAAACGCAGCGCGAGCAGCTGGCCGAGCATCAGACACGCATGGACGCAGTTCAAGCCGAGCGTGATTCTGCCGTGGGCCAGGTCGAGATGCTCAAAATGCGACTTGAAAGCACCAACAATGACCTGGCGCACACGCGCACCATCCTCGAGCGCACGACGCAGGAATTGCGGTCTACGGTCGCTGCTCTCGAGCGCATGACCACCGATCGCGACGAGCACAAGTATCTCATGTACGAACATGCCCTGAACGAGCAAACGCTTTCGGAGGAAGCATCGAGCTTGCTGGCCACCGTTCGCGCGTCGCTTTCCGACATTGACGGGCTCCAAGCGAAGCTCGCCCGCAAGGCCGCCGTCGAAACCCACAACCGCAGTGCTCGCAGTGAGTTTGCCACCGACATGGCGACGCGTATTGCCGACGCAACCAGCGCAGCAGATCGATGCATGACCGCGCATCGTGAGCAGATTGCGCAAATCACGCGTCATGTCGCGTCCGTCTCGGAGGCCACTTTATCCACGGCCAGCCAGGCTCTGGAAGGGCTTGCTTCGCTGATGGCAGACGTTGATGCGTCCACCGAGCGAATTGTGGGCGCAATCGAGTCGCAGGCCCGGGCAGAATCGGCTCAGCTCGCGGCCACCAACGAGAGCGCGGCGTTCTTCGCCTCCCGCGTGGCAACTGTTTGCCAGCAGGCCTTGGAGGGTCACTTGTCGCCCATTGTGCAATCAATCCGCACCGCGCTCGAGGAGCAGTTGCTTCAATCACAAGAATGGAAGGAGGCCGCCTGCACCGAAGCCAGCGCGATGGCTCGATCGCTCACGCAGTTGGCACTCGCCCAAAAGTCTGCCCTTGATGACCTTGGTCGATTCGTTGCAGAGAAGAGCGGCGACTTGGCGCGCACTGCCGACAACCAGCGTCAACACATGCAACGCCAAGCGGCCGAGCACGCCGAGCGGAATGCACTCCAGCGAGCCGCTGTGCTGGCGCAGATGACTGCACTTTTGGATTCCGTCTATGCCGACTCGCACCAAGCGGTTGCAGATTTGACCACTGGATGGTCAACTGCCCTGACCAACGCTGTGGTTGCCCATACCGAAATTCAAACGCGTTGCTCAGAGACGATGGCCAAAGCCACTTCCGTCTGCACAGCTGCCGAGCAAGCCAACCTCGTCGCCATCACGTCGATGCACGAGTCCACCACCCAGCGCCAACAGTCCATGGCGAGCAAGATCAACGACGTGGACGAGTCCGTCACGTCGATTGATACCGCTGTTCGCGCGTTGCTCGATGCTCGAAACTCTGATGCCAACGCTGACAACATCCCGTGCGCCGTCACCGCTTACGCTCACTCTGTCCGCGTTGAAACTGAAGCCCGCGCGTCCAGCTCGGCCGACCAGCGTGACGCCGACGTGGAGCAAGCCAGGCAGTGCTCCAAGAACATCAAGGCGCAGACTGAGACAGCCGTTTGCCAGGTCATTCGATCCGGCGTTCAAACTGGCGCGGCCCTCTGTGACACTCTGCAAGAGCAGATTGATGTCGCCCAGCACGTGGCCCAAGAGACGCACAGCGCCTCGTTGAAGGACTTGCATGGCATCGACAACGCTGCTCGCGACTTTGTGCACGCTGCGCTGCGAGAGGATGTGCCCACCGGCGATACTCCGCGCAAGCGTTCTTATGCCTTCCCGCAGCAGTTTACACAGACTAGCGACCATGCAGTTTTGCTTGATGCATTCCGCAAGAATGACGAGCAGGTTCGGATACAGCGATTATCCGACATGGGCACCAGCCGCGCTCCACGGCGGCCTTCCAAGCCGTTTGCGCAGTGGCGCATGAGTGACGTCGGTGACTTTGACGAAACTGTGTCCAACTGTCGCACTTCCTTCCGCTTGCCCTCAATCTCGAGCTGGAATGAGTTGCCAGGCTTGCCCTCGTCGCGCCCCATGTCCGAGCTGGTGAGCAAAGCCCAGCAAGAAGAAAAAGAAGAAGAAGAAGCAGAAGAAATGGGCGAGACCGCTGTGTCCAACGTTGGCATCCCAAGCCAAACCATCCCAAGCTCGCCGACCGCTGTTGCCGAAGTTGAGCAAGAGAACGACTCGACGGACGACGCTTCTCCGGTCGAAGTGCACATTTCAGCAACTCCAGTTAGCGCAGCCCCAGCTGCTGCCGCCGCTGCTGTGCTTTCTCCTATTTTGAGCAGCAATGCCCCTGCTCAGATTGCCGCTTCAACTCGGGTCGTCAAGCCAGCCACCACCGCTTCCAGGCTACCAGCACCGCGTGCCACCGCTCGCACCAGCGTGCCTTTGACATCGTCGACTGGCGCTGCGCCTGTTGCCGCTCGCAAGGTTGCTGGGCGCCTGTCTGCAAACCATTAGTTAGAAAAGCCTAAAACACAAAGTGACGCAAAGAACGCCGCCAGTTGAATTTTTGTTTTTGTTGATGTTATGATTTGGTTGTTTGAATTTGGGTGGACGAGCGTGGATTGTGCCAAATGAAAGTTGATTGTTCACACTCGCGATTAGCAGGCGAACAAAAGTGACAGGTATTGTGCTTGATGGACTTTGCCATGAACAAACAAACAAACAAACAAACCAAAAAAAAAAAAAAAAAAAAAAACTATCAAAACTTGTAATCACAACGATATTCGACAAGGCAACTACGAGCATGCCGGCGTGACCATCGATCAAAACACGACTGACTACAACCGAGCCCTAAGCCCCAAAAACAAAAACCAAAAACAAATTAAAAAAAAAATACAAAGTTCAAAAAACAAAAAATCAAGCGCTAGTCGCATCGAAACGAGCGTGGAACGACCCGAGCGTGATTTCGGGAACGAAGGCATACTAAGAATGTTCCGGCGCGAAGGAGCAAGGGTGAGAAAGGCGGACCACAGAGGTCGAGTTGCGCAGCTGCACTGGATTCAGCGTGAAAAAGTGCACAAGCTCAATCAAGGTGGAGAAGCGATCTTCAGAGCTTTCACCGATCGCCCACTTGCCGTCAACCACACGCAACTTGATGTTGTAAACCTTGTTGTCAGCCCACAGGGAGAGGGAATAACGGCCGTCAGACGGGCGGACAATAAAGCAGCCGTCGCGACGGTCGCGAGCGATTGCCGCCTCGGCTTCGGGTCGACCAATGTTCTTAAACCATGGTTGCTGTCGGATAAGCGCGTCCTGATCAACAGTTGGCGGAGCAGCGGCAGCGACGCTTGGAGCGGTTGAGGGAATGGCTTGTGGCTTCTGGGCGCGGAAAACGGGTGGCGCGGCAGCCTCCTCAAATAAGTCGCTCATTTTCTTGTGCAGATTGTTTGCACCACTAGTTGCCATGGATGCTCGGAAGCTGACCAAAGAGGTGGGGAAGAAAGAGCAAGCGCGTTGGATGAGTAAAGTTACATTTCAAGTTCCGACGTCCATGCCATGCAGTCCTTGTCAACCGCATCTCCACGCCCACCAACACCACCAACACCACCACCCCCGCTCCGTGCGTCTTTGCTTGATCACCAAATCGACAACAGACCTTCCACCGACGAACGAAAGCAAACAACAACGACAACAACAACAAACTTACCCAGGCATTGCAACCAATCCTGCTCCGCCCGCGTGCGGAATGGCAGAAGTGGTCGAGGGTGCCTCTGATTGAGCTTGCGGGCGGGCGGCGAGTGGGGCAGGCTCCTCAAAAGGCATCTCATACTCGTGCACCGCCGAATCTCCTTCGTCAAGGTGGCTGAGGGATTTTTGACGCGGAACGGTCGCGCCAATGCCCGAGCCGCTGGATGTGGAGCTTGTGCGCGACGGCGATGGGGAGGAGCGCGCCGAATTGGCGGAAATGGACGGCGTGCGCGAAAGACCACCGTTGCTGCCGCCGCTGCTGCCAACCGAGGTCTGGGAGGTGCTCTTTTGAGTGACCGCCGAGTGCACATGGCGGCTTTCATACATTGATCCATCATCAAACGGCTCCTCGTACTCATTCACTGGAAGTTCGGAGGGCGTTTCGTACAACGTTTCGGGTTGCCTGTCGTTGGGCACAACGTTGCCACCCGCGCGGTTGCCAACGACCGATCGCAGTTGGCTGGTGAGCGCTGCAACTTTGGGGATGGCAGCCTGGCTTGGCAGAGCAGCGGGGCGAGCCGCCTGCGCCTGTGGGGGAGTTTGCGTTGAGAAGGGAGCTGCAGCAGCTCGGCCGGGGCCATGAGGCTGTACGTGGGCCGCCGCGGTGGTGATGGGAGAGCCGTCTTCGAACGGTATCTCGTACAGGGCCTCGTTGCTGGTGGACTTGGTAACCTGGTCTTGCTCCTCTGAGGTGAGCTCGTAGATGGCCTCTGCCTTGGGGGCTGGCGCAGCGGAGACTGCCGATGCGGCCTTGTTGGCAGGCTTGACGACAGGTGTGGGAAAGTCATCTTCGGGCGAGAGCACCTCGTATTCGTGCACGTCCGTGTCGGGCTCGTCAGCACGCGGCTTGACAAGACCAATCACAGCAGGCGCACGTGGCGCGGAATTCGAATTGTGGCGCTGTGCGGCTCCTGTCGCCGCAGCAGCAGAGGAAGAAGAAGGAAGAGGATGATTGGCTGCTCCTTGGTTGGCCATGACTGCAGGGGGTCGAATGGGAGTGTGAGAACCTGCCGGTGGGGCACGCACTGCAGGGTGAGGAATGTCGAGCGGGGCTTCATAAAGGGCCTCTGCTGCAGCGGGCTGTGGGACGGCCGGGCTGTCGTCGCTCACAACATCGTACAATGGCTGGTTGTTGGGATCGGCGGCAGCGGCTTTTGCGCGTTGTGCTTGCAAAACATCCCACGGTACTCCGTAAGCGCTGTCGTCTTGCGTCGTGTTGTGTTGTGCAATGTGGCTGTTGCTGTTGCTGCTGTTGCTGCTGCTGGTGGAAGCTTTGCGCATTTCGACGATCGAGGCCAATCGCTGGCGTGTCATGGCGTCTGCAGGAACCGTGTAGCTATCTGGTTGAACTTCTTGGGGAGTTGGGGGCAAGGCGCCTCGGCCACCGGCTGGCCCGGTACCCGCCCGCGGGCCAGGCGAGCCTCCCGCCGGGCTCATCGATGAATGGGTGTAGTCTGACTCGGGCACGGTGGGCGGAAGGTTGCTGTGCCCGCCGCTGATCTTGTTGGCAAAGCTCTTGCCCATCACGGAAATGCGCTTGAACGCGTTGCTCTTCTCTGCGGCCTTCGGCGGGGCTTTCAAATGCGAGATTTCCTTTAGCAGTTTGCGGCGAGTCTTCTCGTCAATGTTACTATACGCCGAGAGTGCATGGGCCAGCGTGACCTCGTCGTACGCCAAAAGTGTGCGTCCGTCCACCGCAAGCGCTCTGAACGGCGCCAGGAACTCTGGCAACTTGACGGCGTGCTGCAGCCACACCGTCACCTCTGGGGTTGTCCAGTTGTGTGCATCCGTGCCTTGCTCCATGGTTGTTTTTTTCAAAATGGGAGTTTTTTGGCGGCGTTGTTGACTGTGTGAAGCGGGGTTTGTTCAGTGAAGTGAAGTGAGCGACGGTTGCATGGAATTTTGAGCACAACAAAACAAGCCATCAGAAACGACCACTCAAAAGGCCATTCAAAAAAGGTCAACATGACTGACTGTTGCAATGAAGAAGAATGAAGAAAAAGGATGAAGAAAAAAAAAAAAAAAAAAAAAAAAAGATGGCAAAAGGATGAAAAAAAGAAGTAAACAAACCCGAAAAAAACAAAAAAAAAAAAAAACATTGCAAGTTGAAAAAAAAAATAAAAATAAATAAAAGTAAAAAAAATCGAGTGCAAAGCTTGGCTGCAGCGCTCGCTCGCTCGCTGGCTGGCTGGCTTGGATTGCGCCCGACCCAGGGGCAGGGCACGACACACGCGGCACATCCCGAGAGAGCAAGCCATCCAGCGCAGAAAGCGACCGCACGAACGATCGATTCGCGGCGGTGGTGGTGGTACAACTTTTTTTTTTTTTTTTTTTTTTGGCGCCTGCCATGCGTTTGCTTCTGCGTCGTTGCAGCCACACGCCGAGCGCTGCTGCTGCCGCCGATGCTGCGCACACGCGTCGTCGTGCTCGCCAGCAACACCGCCATCCACAAGCCGCAGCGAGCGCGATCAGCATGCACCAGCCGTCACGCCCCGCTCGGGCCCCACAGATCAACTGTTGTCTCATTTTTTTGCTTTTGTTTCTTTTTTTTTTTTTTTTTTTTTTTTTTTTTTTTGCACTCCAGCCAACAAATCCAGACGCGTTCGGAGCCAAACCCCTCTTCGTCCCCCCTCATCGGTCGCATCCGTCGCGATGGGCACTCTCCACATGCGCCGACACAACGACGACCATTGGGGGCTGGGTGCTCGGCAGCGGGTGCGCGGCGCAGTGGCAGGCCAAAGAGGTGAACACTCGCGCCAAAAAAAAAAAAAAAAAGGAAAAAAAAAAGCCGACAAGTCCAAAAAAGGAGCTCAGAATAAAACATCAAAAAAAAAAAACATCATGCAAATAATGGGAATAATCACAAAACAAGACATGCATCTGGCACGTCTGCATTGCAGCGGCGTCCGCGCTGGGCTCATGTCACTGTTGTGTGTGTGCTCGCTTTTGCTCTCGAGCGAGAGGGGAACGCGTGACAGAGAGGTGGGACTCACTCTCAGCTCGCGCTTGTGCCCCCGCTCTCACGGATGCTGTCTCGCCTCCTCCTCCTGCTCCTTCTCGCTTTGTTCGCTTTGCTCGATTTGCACTTCTCGTAACACCAACCACTAGCGACTTGGATCGTGTGCAGTTGAAAAAAAGGCAACAACAACTGAAAAGCCAAACTCACCTCAAACTCTCAAGAAAATGAACAAAGACAAAAACGGGAAAAACAAGAACTGAGTCAATGACACTTTGTCCAAAAATGAAAGTGCGTCATCATCAGAAAGGAAGAACTGTCAAGTGCATTGAAAAGGGGTTGTCGGAACAGCGACGAGCAGGCGGATGGTGTGAAGGATGGTGAAGAGAGCGACCGAACGGCAAACAACAAACAAAAGCAACGAAAACCCGCAAAACCAAGCCCCACCTGGCTTGTTTGAGGAGGGATGGGATGGTACTGTATCCATCAAAAATCACACTCAAAGTGTCCTGACGACCTGATCCCCTGCGGCGATGCGCGGGGGGGGGGTTTGCTTTGTAACACAACGTCAAAAGCGTGGAGAGGGACGATTTAGCGCGTGCAATGCGAGCTCTACGGTCGTTCATCCATCAGCAAAATCGCAATCACCACACCAATAACCGACGCTGTTCACTGCACTTTGCGACCTTGTGACGTCGCGCCGATTCTTCATGCTGATGTCGCGGGTCGGTCGTCAAGGGAATCCGGATCAGTTCTCCTTTTGCTTGTTATTGTTATTCTTTTTTTTTTTTGTGGTTGTTTTCGTTGTTTTTTTTTGTATGTGTCGATCATCATCACCTGTTGTTTTGCTGCATGTTCGCTCTTCCATCGCACTTCCACCAAACGTTGCCATGCTCCTCGTCAATCCTCGTCATTCTTGTGACAAGCCTCGTTCCAGCAGCAGCGTCGTGCAGGGGGTGGTTGGTGCTTTGGAAGGAGCGCGAGGCGTGTCAGCTGTCTCCTCGCTTGCACTCTTCCACCTCAGCCTTGCCGTGGGGAGGGGGGACATCAGCGAGTGCCTGTAGCCAGTCTGGTGTGCTAACACGCGTGTGGTTGTGGTGGGCTTTGGGGCGCTGGGATCGCGCGCTGTCAAGCCTTTGGCTGTTCCCACTTTCTGCTGACACGCTGGACACCCCATCCGAGGCCCAGTCGCAGGCGGGGGGGGGGGGCGAGAGCAGCACACTCGACTGATGGTCAGCTCTCATGGATCTCTCCTTGGATTGCGTCGCCGACGTCGGCCACCCACGGCGAACGAAGGGGAAAGACTCGATGGTGCTTTTTTTTTTTTTTTTTTTTTTTTTTTTTTTTTGGCGGCAAAAGGTTGCTTACCGCTTTGCCGCGTTGATAATCACTTTTTGCGTCTCTTACTAAGGGTTTTTAGCAAGCTTCATTCCACCCCCCCCCCCTTGCCTCCTCCCCAAGAGCCGCTTTGCTGAGGCTTCCATTCGGGAGTCAGGCTTCCAAAAAAAAAAAAAAAAAAAGGGATCTAAACAAAATAATAAAAAAAAAATAAGGACGGCCTCAGAACGCCGCGCTCTGCTGCGAAAGACGCGATGCAACAACGAAGACAAGACACCAACGAGCGAGAAGTGTGAGGACTGGAGCTGGCAAGAACGGGATGGAATGGAGAGCGGCGCAGTGGAGACGGGGGGTGGGTGGAACAAACGAGTGAAACCCCCAAAGGAAAAAAAACCTGCCTTTTTTCGATAGCTACAACCGGGTACTCGGTTCGCATGAGTCGCCGTATAAACTCGTTCCATTTTAAAGACGTGATCCTACTGCGTTTTGCTTCACTCTTTTTTTTTTTTTTTTTTTTTTTTTCCCTTCTCTCTTGTTGTTTTGTGTTTCACTCCTTCTTCTTCTTCTCGCTCTGTCCGGCTTGTCGCCTGATCACCCCCCCCACCCACCCTGCTTCTTGCTCATCGCATTCCCTAACTCTGCCCCCACTCGACATCAACATCTCCAACCAGATCATGAGTGCAAGCGCCATTCCGCTGTCGAACGTCTCGGCACCCGACCTCAAGCGCGCGGGCTGTGCTCGATTCGGCTTTTTGCGCAAGCTCACGGGCGCGATGGGCAGCTGGAAGTTGCGGTACATTCTGGTGCGCGCCGGATGCGTCTACATTTACAAGACCGCGACGGCATCGAGCTCGCAGGAGCAGTACCCGCTGGTCTTGTTTGACTTTGAGGGCAAGTCAGAGTTCCGAAAGGTCCAGCATGTCATGCGCCTCGTGCCCAAAAGCCCGTCCATCAACCCCATATACCTTGCAGCAGCCTCGCTGACAGACATGGAGGCGTGGCTCAAGGTCTTCCGAACAGAAGCCGCGCGCTTTGTCCAGCGCCCATCGTTTGTTGGCGGCGCGCCCTCGACACCCCCCGCCCGTGCACCTGCACCACTCACCTCTGCCCGCTCGTCGCTGTCGCTGGGCGGCTCGCCTGCGCACGCGCCTCCGGTGCCTGGCCAAGGCGAAGGCTCGTACATTTACGACTTTGACAGCTACGACGCCGCACACGACTACCACGATCTCGAGCCGGGAGCAGAGGGCGATGCGTACATCCAACTCGAGGACGACGATGACGACGACGACGATGTCCACAACGGCGACTATGTCGATCTCGAGTCAGACGAGGAAGAAGGAGGTCTACATCCCTACGACGACGTCTTTGACGACGGCCAACCTATCGGCCACTCGTACCCATCGCACGGCGGCCACAACAGCCCCGCAGCGTTGCCGCCAGTGTCACGCGATAACAAGCCCCGTGGCGCACCCGAACTGCCGGCTCGTGGTAGTGGTGGTGGTGGCGTTCACACCCCGCCGCCGCTGCCAGGCAACCATCCAATGGCTCGCCCCGGCGGCGTCAGCGGCAGGGGTAGCGCTCCTGCTGTGCGACCACCACTCACCTGCGTGGAAGACGCACGGTGGTTTTACAGGGAAATTTCGCGCGAAGTCGCCGAGGCCAAGCTCATGACACAAGCCGCGGGCGCCTTCCTCATCCGTTGCTCTGAAACACAGCCGGGCAAGCATGTTCTCTCGGTTATGGGCTACGACCGAGTTCGGCATTACAAGATCTTTTCCGAGCGCAACTCGTACTCTATCGCCGACGACAAGACTTTCACCTCGGAATTGGATCTCTTGAAACACTACCACACCAGCACATTGCCAAACGCCACAGACAATCTGCGAATCTTGAAGGGCGTCGTGTCTTGAAGTGAGCGGTGGCTGTTTTTTTGCTTTTTTTGCTTTTTGTCTTGTTGGTTTTTCGTTTCCGGTTGAAACGGACTGGCACAAATGCTGTTTCAACACCACCTCCCCATCAGTCGTATTCCTCGATTTCAATTGCGTTGGCATTCGTTCTCGCTCGTTCTTCCTGTCTCTTCATGATGCGAACTTTCAACTTTGATAGGTCTTGCTTTGCTTTTTTTTTTCTTTTCACCCGTGTTTTCTGTGTCGAATGAATGCATTTAATGCTGTCGGTGTTGTACTTGCGATCGAGTTGTCCTTCGCCACAGATTTCTACACCACCAGCGACAGAGGACGGCAGCATGAGAAACGAGATGGGCGAAATCGCATGAGACGAACAAATCTCAGTTTCTCGAGCCAGGGGCAACGTGAACTTTTTTCCTTCTTTTCGATCTCTTATCCCACCTCCATAGGTGGTCGTGGATTGTCGGATTACTTTCGACCTGCAATTCAATTTCAATGCCTCAGTTCATTTTATTTTATTTTTTATTGTTTTTTTGTAGGTTTTTTAAGACGTTTTATTTCCTTACTAAATATCACCATCGCGCAGTACAAACACGTACCCAGCTCCCTGCAAATTTGCCTACAGAGTTGCTCACTAAAAAACGCTTTGAGTCCATCAATGTCAATGATTTTTTTTTTTTTTTTTTTTTTTCCCTTTTCCTTTTTCCCTTTTCCCGTCCTTTCCTCCGCACACAAGCGCTCTCTTCGCTTGGGACGTGGCTATTCCTCCTCCCCTCCGTTGTCACCACCACGTCCTCTGCACGTCGCTGTCTCTGTTTGATCCCCCTCTCCTCTCGTCTCGTCTTCATCAACATCTTTTTTTTTTTTTTTTCTCAAAGCCAAATCTTGCGGGGCTGGAATCCCAATCTCACCCATCCTCGGTCACCCCCGTCTCCCAACCTCGACCTCCCACCCAACCCCCCCCCAAATTGCCATCGAATGCCCTCTGCTGCGTCAACCCTGGGTCCCGTTCCCTGCTCTGGTGTTGCCCCCTGTCTTGGATCTCCAAAGCGCATGTCATTCTCTCGCTGTACTTTTTTCACCCGTCGCTGCTCTTTTTTTTTTTTTTTTTTTTTTTTTTTTTTTGACTCTTTTCTTTTTCGTGTTGCTCCTCCTTGCTTCCTCCTCATTTTGATACCCCCTCTCGTTCTGTCAGGCTTGTGTCGCTATTGTCAGAGTGTGTGCGTCTCGCTTCTCTGTCGTTCTGTCGCTTTCGTGTCTCTTTCGTTGCTTTTTCTTATTCAAGTCTTTTTTGTCTTTTTTGGCATTTGTTTTTATTTTTTATTTTTTTATTATTTTTATTTTCTTGTTGTTTTTTTTTGCAATGCAATTTCACAGTGTTTTTTTTTTTTATTTCTTTCCTTTTTGTTTTAATTTTTTTTTTTTTCGTTTGCCAGGTTGTGTTGCTTCGCCATTCCGGCTGTGCCTTTTTGGTCGACCTATTTACGATGAGATGGCATGGCAGAGAGAGAGAGAGAGACAGAGTGAACGAGAGTGAGAGAGATGGAGCGGTGATTCACAAAAACAACAACCAAAATCAAAATCAAAATCAAAAATAATAAAAAAATCATAAAATAAAAATTTGCGGATTATTACTCATTTTTGTCGCCTGTTTTGTTATGAAGAGTTGCATTTTGTATGAGGAGTCGATGAGATCAAATGTCACTCAGTTCCGTGTGTGTGTTTCGTGCCTTTGTTACAGACTTCCTCTTCTTGGGTCGGAAACTCCTTTTTCTCGGGCGAGACGAGAGCACAACCCGCTTCGTCGTGAACATTTCAGGCCGATATTCACTAGGAGGACTATTCCTGATTTTGACAGTTCCCCACGCAGCCGCTGTGCGCACAAAACAATGGTACTCCCTGCAGACGTCGACGCGTGGACAGAAGCGCACGTCGAAGCGTGGCTCAAAGAGCTGTCAGGCAGCACATTCGCTGCATACGCGCCTGCCTTTGTGCAAAACAACATTTCGGGCAAGCGATTGGTCAAGCTGACCGATGACAAGCTCGAGAAGCTCGGCGTGTCGTCGTTGGGCCATCGCGAAGACCTGCTCGAGTTTATCGGCGAGCTTGCCCAAAAGTCCTCGTCCAAACCCGCCACACCGACCGCGTCTGCCACATCATTCCCTCCAGCCGCGCTGGCATCGGCGCCTGTGGGGCGAGGACCAGCTGCGCGCGCCCCGCCTGCAGCCCTCGCATCTGTGCCGGCACCTGCTCGACCCGCAACGCTGGACACCCTCAATGCCGACATTGTCGCGCTTGTGCGTGAGGTGCAGCAGAAAAACTATGAAGGCGTCATCCAAGCCGCCGCCACTGTTGTGAAGACTGTCAAAGAGCTCGTGCCAAACATGCCCCAGTCGCTCGTTGCGCAGCTGAGCGACTTTATCGGTCGAGCCAAAGCCGTGTCGTCCGGCCAAGACGGTTCGATTGTCGTCCAGCAGCTCGTCGCCTCCGCCAAAGGTCTCATCCAGACCACATCCGACATACTTTCCACTGGCAGTCCTGTTTCTCCTGTCGGATCCATTTCCAGTTCGCCGTTGCCGACAGCCACGCCGCCTGCGGTACGTATTTGACGTTGCTTTGTTGTTGCTTTTGTCTTTCTTTTATTTTGGTGATGATTTTAGTGCTCACTTTGTTTTCCCTCCTCCCTGTTCCGTCCAACTTGTCATCCAGGTCGCTCCGGCCATGTCGGCAGCAAAGATCACAAAGACAGTCACGTTGGACGCAGTCGTGCTGACGGCGTTGAAGCTTGTCAACAAGCTCGTGCAGAACGCCAAAGCCAACACGACCCCGAAGGATGCCCTCGTGGACTTGGCCACCTCCATCGTGACCACTGTGAAAAAGCTGATGGAGGAGTGCGATTCGAACGGCCAGCGCGTTGCACTCATTCTCGGACTACAAGGCCGTCTCACCTCCTGTTTGACAACTCTATTGCAAGGCGTCAAGGGGATTAGCGGCACAAACTCGAGCGGGGGCATTGACGATTTGGGCGCGCAACTGCTCGTGAATGCAGGCATTGCGCTCTCGCGGACGGTGAAGGAGCTCATGGCGGCCCACGCAGCGCGACTGGAGCCCGCCGACTACCCTTGCGGCAAGTGTGGCCGTCGCATTGAGGACGACGTCATGCTGTGCAATGGTCCTGGCGCCTGCGATCGTTGGTTCCACCGCACCTGCGTGGGGCTGACGCCCGGCGCGTTCGAGTGCTTTGAGTGGCTTTGCGATTTCCCGCCGTGCGGCGCAAAGCGCGAAAAGCGAGAACGCGAGGAACGCGCAAAGGAAGATGAGCGCAACCGCATCATGGCGGAACGCAAGCGGGAGGAAGAGGAGCGCGCTGAAAAACGCGAGCGCGAGCGCAGAGAAGAGGAGGATCGTCGCCTGGCCAAGAAACAGGCCGACGAAGATGAGCGACAAAGACGCGAAGACGAGCGACGCCACAAGGAGGAAGATCGCCGTCGGCGAGCTGAAGCAGACCGCATCCGCCAGGCCAATGAATTTGAGCTTGAATCGCGACAACTGGAGGCCTCGGTGGCGATCGCACGTGGCGCCGATCCCGTGGCCACGCTTCGGCTGGGCCCCGCGAGTCGCGCCGCGGTAGGTACAATGCATGGCGCGCCGCCCTCGCCATTGGTGTCGTCGCCAGCATCCCTCGCGTCACTCTCGCCTCGAGCGGGCTCGCCAGCACCGTCCACGCCCACGCTTGTCGCCGTCCCTGATATGGACGCCAAGACTTTGATCGCGCAAGCCAGCGCTCTCGCTGACGCCCCTCCAGCGGCCGGCAACGAGAATCGCCCGCTGCTGTGCGTTGCACGAGCCATCTTTGACTACGATGTCGTCGGTGGCAGCGACAACGACTTGCTTTTTGCCAAGAACTCGCTCTTGCGCATCTACGCGAAGGGCGCCGACGCCTGGTGGGAAGGTGAGCTTGGCGGAAAGACTGGGTCCTTCCCGGCGTCCTTTGTCGAGGAGGTGAAGCTGCCCACCGCCGCCTCCAAGGTGTCGTCCACCGCTTTGCCACCGGCGTCACCTGGTCCCAGCACGCCCCGATCTCCATCCATGCCGTCCTTTTCCTCCTCCTCGCCCAACACACCCCCGCCTGGTTCTCCCTCGAGCTCCAGTCGTGTCGCGTCGCCAACGACCATTCGGAAGCAGCCGGCTGGCTTGCAGTCGAGCGCCATTGCGGATCCCTTCGGAGATGTGCCCAGCGCTCCTTCCAGCAGCGAGCCAACGGGCGACGAGACCGACCCGGCGTTGCAACTCAAGTTCTCCACCATGTCTGCAAGCGCCGCCAAGAAGCTCAAGAAGGGCAAGCCGGGCGAGGAGAACCTTGTTCGCGTCAAGCTGACCAAGAATATGATTAGCATGCCCAAATCCGAGTCATTCGAGCATGTTGCGCATGTCGGCTGGAACCCCAATGAGCAAAAGTTTGAGGTAGGGAGCCCTGGGTTTGATTGTTTGTTTGTTGGTTTCGGAACGTGTCACGGTTTTGGTTGCTGTTATTCGTAGTCGTGCCAAGGGGTTGTCATCCATATGCACGTTGCTGATTGTCTGACCTTGATTTCTTTTTTTGGTCTACCCTCGCATTTTCGCTGTCAGGCCGAGAATGTGCCCGACCAATGGAAGGAAGCAATCAAGGATCCTGCAACCGCCATCAAGCCAAAGAAAAATCAACCAACCAAAGCACCGCCTGCGCCGCCGAGCGCCCGATCGACGCCTGCAATGGCCCCCGTCGCACCCCTTTCGCGACCCAGCGGAAGCTCGCCCACACTTTCGTCGCCCCTCGCGCAATCATCTGCACCGGCGATGGAACGTCCGCGCACGCCCACCACCCCCATTTCTCCCGTGGCCGACTCGGTCGAAGCGGCTGAAGCGGTGGCTGTTCTCCCCGCTCGCAACGGAACTCCAAAGCCAGCAGCTCAGGAAGAACCTTCGCCATACGCAACTGTCCAGGACAGCGCTGCCGCAGCACCTGCAGACTCAATTTACGACGATGTTCAAAGCGTTCAGGCGGCAGTTGCGATGCCCGTGCTGGCCGCCGCCACTCCGGTCCTTCCTGCGCTGAAAACTACCACTCCAGCACCACCAGCCTCAGCGCCTCTGCCCAGCACGGGATCGTCTGCTACGCTCAAGCTGGATGCTGCCTCTTCGGCGGGCAAAATGTACAAGGCCAAGTATGCCTACACGGCGAATCGCGGCGATGAGCTGGCACTCAAGGCTGGCGATCGCGTCAAAGTGCTCCAGATCGGAAACGACGGGTGGGGTGTCGCACTCAATCAGAGGACTAGCCAACGAGGTGTTGTTCCCATGAATTACTTGAAAGAGGACTTTTAAAGCCACATTCTATGGTTGTGCGCCTCGGTTTCTGTTTGGTGGCTTTTTGTGTGTGCGTGTGTGTGCGTGACTGTTTAGCGTATGTGCACATCCACGGTTGCTGTCTCATTACAAATATTACTCTTTTGCTTTTTTTGTTTTCTTTTTTTTTATACATCCAACGCAAAACCCCTTCTCAGCCGCGTTTGGGGGTAACAGATGTGGTCCAACGCCATTCGCTGGGCATCAACGCAGACCGAGACAAGTCCCATCCAGCTCGAGCTGCCGATTCGAGCATTGTTTGGGCCAATCGCACAGACTCGAGTTGAATGCGCGCTGGTCATTGAAAAACAACACAAAAATGAGCGGATGGTGACAAATTGGAACAAGCCACGCCAAGTCTGGAACAAGCCACGCCAAGTCTGGAACAAACCTGAATTCCGAGATCGCAACGCGTCACGAAGAGCTTTGGTGTGTGCTGGGCCCGGCCTGGACGGATCGATCGCAAGCTGGAAGTAGGCCGCCGCAAAGCTGCAAATCTGATCACTGTTTGAAGCAGCGTCGCTGAGAAGGATGCGGGCTGTTGTAGAATTTTCCGAGTACAGAATGAAGGGATGGGCCAGCTGCGCGCCATGTTGAAACAACTCCTGACTGGCCGCCGAGCACGACTTGAGCTGCGCTCCAAGGTCGATTGTCAAGGGCTCTGTGAACGGGCATCCACCAGGCAATAGTCACTCATCCACAAACGGATCCACAAAAGCGAAACAACTTGGAAGGAGCTCTAACAGCGGGAACTCACCTCGAAACAACAAAAATCGCTCTTGTTCCGCAGTCAACCTTGGAGTGAGCGTTGTGGCCGCCGATGGTCTTTGCATGTAATCACTGGCGACAATAAACAGCCTCTGTCGAGAGATACAAGCCGACCGCAGTTTCAATGGTGAGTTCATGAACCCAAAAAAAAAAAAAAAAAAACCAAACAAAAGCCAAGTTGGGTGCGCGAACGCACTTCGCGATTAAACGTGTCAAAGACGGTCGCTCTAACACCCCGGTAGTTGGCAAAGAGGTGAAGCGACGTAAACGAGCAAAACAAGAGCCACACAAGGGTGGGATGGTCGGAGCCGAGGGCAGGGAGCAACCAGAGCGACACGAGAAGCGCCGCGAGATTCACCAGCGTCTCCTGACTGCCGTCCTTGGCACTGACATCGCCGTGGTTGTTGCGCCGCGCCTGATGCTGCGTGATGGCCGCCCGCGTGGCCCCGCCAGCGACACCGACGATGGATCGTAACACCGAGCCGAGGCAGGCAAACGCTAGAAACCACTCTCCAACCAGTGGAGACAGCAGTTCGACAAACATGGCCAGGTCGTTGAAAATGTCAGCTACGAGGCGCCAGCGCTTTGCGTTTGCGTCCAACGCTGGACCCTTTTGCCAAGCAAAGAAAATCCGTCCGAGCATCCCAACGCCGTCACGAAGCATCCAAGAGACTGCCGCAGCCGTCGCAGTCGCCGTTTCATCCCCTACGCCGACTCCCTTCAGCACTGCTAGTGTGGCCAGGCTGCCATTGATGGAACTGCAGAAAGCTTGCAGCTGCGCGCAGACCGAACAAACAAAACCAAAAACAAATCAGGGAAGAATTGCCAATCAAACAAAACAGACAGGAGAGGGATTTGTCTTTTTGAGTTGCGCACCGTGTCCCAACGTTGGTAGGATGCGTAATCTGCGCTGACGCTGTCTGGGTATCCATCGGGAAGGAACACTGCCTGCTCAAGCAAGCGGCAAGTCAACAACACAAAAGATCGATTAAAGTCAAAAATCAGATCCAGCAGCATTTCCAATCCCGCTCTCCACGTTGAACACACTGTAATGTACCAACCTTCAAGAGCTGAGCGAATGACGATGCCTCGGGATGCTTCTCGTCGACCAATCTGAGCAGATTGTCATTCTGGCCGTCGTGATCGTCCTCGTCGCCGTCCTCGTCGCTCGATCGCCACTTGTTGCTCCTCTTGCTCGAGTCAGCCATCCGTGCATCGTCTCGGCTGCTTGATCTTGATGGTGGTGATGCCATATACGTTCGCCTGGTTGCTCCGTCAGACTCGACGACCAGCATCCTCTGGTTCTTGACCATCTCCCGCACTGTTGCTGCTGCTGCTGCTGCTGCTGCTGCCGCTGGGATTTGCGCCTCGGCAGCAGTCCGTGTGCTTGATCTGCTCCTCCTCCTCCTCGCAGGTGAGCGTGAACGCACGCGCATCGTCGGCGTCGTCCGCTGCATTGTTGTCGTCAACCAAGATTCTCAGAATCGGCTCAGAATGCGGCTCTCGGATCTTGATTTGATGCGCTGTTCCCAATCTCAAGCCAGCCAGCTCAGCCAGTCAATCCTACAATGCTCTGATGTGATTCTTGGTGATCTCGTTCCCAGTGCAAGTGGTTTGAGAACTGAATTGGACTGAGCTGAGCTGCAAAGAAAGAACAGCAACGATCACTGTATTGCGTTTTCGACCACTTGTTTGACACTTCAGTCCTTCATTCTCAAACATCTTATCCCAGTCGTCCAACTTAGTATGGCGATCGTTGACGCTCAGCCAGTCGAGTACATTCCCGGCATCCCAAACCCGGTCCTGTACCTCGTCCTCGTCCTTGTCTTCCTGCACGTTCTCGCCCTCGTAAGCAAGACAGCTGAACATCCGATTCTGCTTGATGCTTGATGATGGAGGCTTGAGCGGTTTGGTCGTCCTCGTCATCCTGCTTTGATGATGACACGAGGCTGGCTGGCTGGGGGGGGGGGAACTCCGACCCCATTGCTCCATCTCACTCACATTCACTCATCTCACTATTCTCACTGTGTAAAATGCTGCTGTTTGATGGATGAATTTGCGGCGTGGGTCGACGTTCCGGGGCTTCGGGGCAGATGTTCTGGATTGTGCGCACAATGCGAGCCCAGCCAGCAACCAGGCCAAAGCAAGCTCGAGACTAGGAGCCAACATACAACACCACTGTACGATTCAAGAACACTGTGACACACAATCGCAAGATATTGTAATACTGGGTGACTCGCGATGAAAACGAACCAAAGATCATGTTTACAAGTTATCCACAGTATCTGCTGTTTACAAAATCAAGCGTTGGGCATCGAACGCACGCCGACAGCTGGCGAAGTCATGGTGACAGCGAGTGGCCAGAGCGGATGTCGAAGTCCTGGTAGTGATTGGCCGGCAAGAACCGTCCGATTGGTCCAGGTGGAGAAGACTTGTTGCGCTGGCTCGGCCGAAACTACGCGCAGTTGATGAATAAGCGCTTGCGCACGACGCAGGGTTCTCGCAATAAGCGCTGCTGTCGTGCACTCGGCTTGACGCATGCTGATTCGCTCAAAACCAGCAAGGCGCAGACCTCGACGGGACGAGGGCTCGGCCTCGCCATCGAGCGGAATCATGAGCTGATAGGTCAGCACATGCACCGGCTCCTCACCGGGAGGGAGCACGGGAGTGTGGCCCGGTTGGTTTGTGGACTTGGCAACGCAGGCCAAAAGTAGGATGGCTTGGCGCGACTGGCGACAGACGTCGATCAGATATCCGTTGTAGTCGATCACTCGCAGGCACTCCCTCCCAAACCCGAACTTTGGGTGGGCAGCCAGGTTGGCAAGAATGCCTTCGAGGGAAATGCGGCGTGTGAGAATTTCGCTTGGTTGTTCCACGAGTGCGGCCGGGGTCTGGAGACGCTGAAGAGGAGAGTTGGTGGTGTCGATCGCAGCGTGCAACTGGTCGGAAACTGGTCGTGATGCTTCGGTCCCATTGCTGCCTACAAGAGAGGCCTGTGGATCTGTCCGGAAATCAACAACTAGGAGCTGCTCGCCCGTGTTGAAGACATACAAATCGTCTAGCACAAGCGAGACGCCTGACGTGATAAACGAGAGAGGGGACGGCAGCGCAATCTCACAGACGCGATCGTACACGGGCTTTTGCGGCCCAACACCAGGCTGCTCGTCGGGAGTGTGGCTGACAATGCTCATGTAGCAATTGCGACAGGCAAGCCCGTCGGCGGCGTGCTCCTGCTCAAAACCAGTGATCACATATCTTCGGCCGCATGGTGATTCAGCGACCTGCAGTAGTAATGTCTTGTGTGCTGTTCCTCGAAATAGCGGGGTTTTGGAATGGCACGCGAGCGGCTGATGCGGATCAAATCGCCAAGTCTGGTGGGACCGGCAAACATCACCAAACAACGCGAAGGCAAAGTCTCGAGTCAATGTGCGCGCGTTGAAACAGAACAACACTACAGCATGACAGCTCTTACAACAAAGCTGTATGTAAACAGCGTGACGCTCTCAAAGAACGAAAAGCTGCTTTGGAGTCGAGCAGGCGCCACCTCGCTCATGTACGACAGCATAAACCGGCCATCGCCCGAAAAGCCCAGCAGGACGCAGCCTTGCACAATCTGACCTTCCGCGTCGTGAATTGCTCGAAGTGGAACGTTGGCACTATTTTGATCCGCAGGCAAATTTCGCGACCACAACCGAGCATGGTGAGTGAGTTTTGCCGAATCGCAGTGGCGGCCTTTTCAACGGCGTATCGACGACTATTGCTTGCTTTCTTGGTGAGCTGAAATACTGTGCTTCCATTGTCCCCCGCAATCTCAACTCCAATCCAACACTCAAATCTGCTCAAATCTGAAATCATTCCCGCCAAAATTTTCCACCTTGTTTCAGTTCCGAAACACTCACTTTGGGTACTTTTTCTCTTCTACGTGCTGTTCGATGGCTCGGACTTTGCAAATCCATTCACATGCCGTTTTTTCAAATAATGCTCAAGTCATCCTACCTCGGCAGCGGACGCGGGAAGAGCCGCGCAGCAAGGAGTCGCTTGGACGTGAGGGAAGTTGCAGGCCCGCTCAGCCGCCGCAGGAGCTCACTCTGCCGCCGCCGTCGCCGCCGCTCTGACCCTGCGCTGCTCAACGGCTGTGTTACGGCTGACGCTGCGGCTGGCGGCGCGGCGGTCTGCCTCAGTCGCGGCGGTGGAGCAGGCAACAGCGGCAATCCGCCGTGCAACTCGCGATACAGCAGCACATGCGGCAATGGCAGCGCACTCATGATTAGAAGAGCAAAGAATTGCAGAGATGATCAAGGTATGCTGCCAGAGTATGTTCGATGCAGATGGCAGTGGATGGTGTCCCCAATGCTGAGTTGTGTTGTTTTCTGAGAACGAGGACTGAGACAAAAAAAGAAAATCTGGGCAAGAACGAAGACTTTTATCCATGACAATAGGAATAGCTTATTTATGAAGGATCGGTCTGTCTGTTAGTTGAACTCTGCAACGGCAAAAAGAATCTCAGACCGCGAACGATGGGTCGCAGCAACGCATGAATGCTCGACGCCCTTTCCAAAACTCTGCTGCAGCTTGGTTAGGCCACGTAGCAATGGTGCATAATCAGTCTGCTTCCTCTCCAAGATGGTGATGAACGCGTGACAGCCGATCCTGAGTAAAATCAGAAAAAGCAAAAAAAGCGAAGAGGGAGAAGAAGATAAGGTTGGTTGCAACCAATCACACCCACCAGATCGATTTGGATGGCGTCGTGTCAGTTGCTGTTGTGCACAAACTCACCACATCACTTGGCGGCGAGTCAACGAGCACTGAACGGGAAGCGCCACTCCTTGGGTTTTCGTTTGTATCAACGAGTAGAAAAACGAGATGGACTCGAGGACAAGCTCTAAAAGTGCGCGCAAAGCCAAAAGTGAGTGGAAGCTGCATTAAGCATGGACGTTGCACGCAGTTCCAGCGAGACGTATACCAATGAAAAAGGCGGGATTGCCTTGAACGCGGCGGGAGGCAGGAAGCTCTCGAACAATGCAGTGGAACTTGATGGCACTCAACAAGAAGATTTGATAGACGTTCACTTGCACGTCTAACAGTGTGTTGAGTCGGCAGTCCAACAGCATGGCGTGGCACTTGGGCTTGAGAGACCTGGGCCGGCAATAAACGGTGGTAGGAGAAGGTGAGCTTTGTTGTTTTTGCTTTGCTTCCTCCACAACTGTACGTCGTCATTACTGAATCATTTTATGGCGCAAAGATCGGCCGGGATGTCTTGAAACATCGACAGTCAAGCTTTCGTTCAAATCTTTTGCCAGTTCCACAAGTGAGTCGGCAAACCGAAAACCCATTTGTTTGTTTGTCTCCATTTCGATTGGCACTACTTACAAACCCCGGAATAACGGGAGTAGTCCGCGGAAATAGACAAGGTCTTTGTATTCAACAAGAATCCACACCAGGGAAATTGATCTGTGACAGCACGAACGAGCGAAACGAGCCGTAAAGCATAACTTGTGGTGAGCATTCTAAAAGTACCAGTTGCAACAAAATCACGCTGGTCCTCTCACCTCGCTCCGCTTGAGGCAATTGCACGCCGGCAACAGCAAAGGGAAAGTTGATGAGGGTCTTGTCTGGGTTGATGGCAGCTCCATACTCGCTGAGCTCTGATGGTAACAAAGACATTGTTGTTTGCAAAGATGTTGTTGTTGACAACTGACGAACGGCAACTTTGAGGAGCAAGCGCTCACTTGTGTACATGGCAGTAATAAAGCTGACTGCATATTCGTAATCCGTTGTGACCAGCAGAAAGTCGTCTACAAAGCGAAGAAGAACCTGTCGGGCAGCATCACCACACACAAATAGTGAGTGACCTCCGTCACATCTCAGATGCAGTCGTTTCACAAAATGCATGCAACTGTACTCCTTTGTCGGCTGGCAACGGTGGCAATATCTGCGACTCAATATGCCCGTAATAGTAGCTGAACCATCGACCGTGAGCGCAAAATTCCAAAGTCCAAAACCTTCATGCCAAGAAACGATCGGTCAACTACCAACCTGCAAAGAAGCGTAGAGAGAAGCGACCCCTGAGAAATTCCAGCTCGCTGACGATAAAATCGCTTTCCGATACGAATAATGTTGTTCCGAACAACATCCTGCAACATGTCAAGCAGCTCTTGCTTTTCTTGAAAGGGATACACGACTTGATCGATCAGCAGCGCGTTCTTCATTTCATCCTTCGATACTGAACTGGCAAACTCGGAGAACTGTGCAAAATCGCCTGCCACAGAAAGCACCATTCCAAAACCACAGGAAAATCGTGAGTACACCTCAACGTGATTATGCCGCTTGCTCAGCAGGCGTGTCCTCACCGGCAACGCAAACCCGTCGGTTGTAACGACGTCGAGGTTTGTCGCCTGCAGAAACGACGGATACGAATCGCCGCATCATGTACTCGTCTTCTTGCAAGACACCGTCCATGACGGCCAGCAACTTGTCGTGGTTGACAGTATCGAACGCGCTTTGAATATCCAAACTGACAAAGTAGATTTCACTACCAGAGAGCGTAGGCAGCAAAATCGTGAGACTTCCCGCGCCAAAACACAACAACAGAGATGCTCTCGAACAACCAAACGTACGATTGTCGACCCTGGCCAATCCAATGGTTGACGAAAGGCAAAAGTCGCGGATAAATATCGTCAATTCCAAACAGCGACGCTCCAAGGGGAGCGGGATTCCGATTCTGTACTCAGTCAATGAGGAGTAAAGGCTTAATCCTCTGACGCCTCTGGCTCACTTGCAAACATCATGTACCTTCTCGAATGTCAGCACATGGAACAGGTTTTGCAAACGCACGTTAATGGACAGCCGAGGCTTGCCCGGGTGACCGCGCATCAGGTATTGTGACACTTCCTGGTTGATTTTCGGATTTTTTTCTTTTGGTCAGAGGGCTCCTTGACATGTCAACACACAAGCAACATGGCGTACCGCAGCTGATGGCTTACGCCCCATGTTGATAATTGGTCGAACACCTTTCGCTTTTGGCAAAAGTCGCAGATAGGAGAAGCCAAACATCCGCTTGGACAGAATGGACTTGGCTTCTTTCTGTCATGAATGGGCAGCGGAACGGTGAGCCTATAACGCTCGATTGAGGAAATCAAGCGCAATTCTCTCTAGATATCTCGTACTTTGGGGACATGCTGTAACATGGAACTGAGCAAGGGTTGCATCGAGAGCTTGGTAATGCTGCGCCAAACCGCTTGGCGATAGTAGAAGATGCGATTGCGATGAGGACCGCTTTCCGTCACATAAAAGTGCATCTGTCACAAAGGGAAAGCCGTCAGCGTGCAACAAGCCTATTCCAAGAAAACAACAAACAGACAGACTCTCGCTTTGCGCTCGCACTCGTATCAGCGGGATCAAAATGTCATCAAACAACCACTGAATGACAGACGCCAGCATGCCAGTCCGCTTGGCAAGATCGGTAGGGCCTGAACAATGAAATGGGCCGACTGGGGACTTGGCCAGTTGATTCGGTGGGGCGAGCCACGGAATGGCAGAAACTTGAATCCCATCCAGCATGGTTTGCAAGGCAATCTTGTCAAAGCGCCGGAGTCGCACAAACAATGCCAGATGGCTTCGAAACTTGGCCTCGTTCGCAGCAGAACCCCAGGCATTTTTGGGAAGAAGGGTGCTCGTGACTGCCTCGAGGTAGGCCGAGACCTGCGCAATCGAGTCAAACACAATTTCGAATCAATCAAGGCATCGAGCTGCAAGGGTTTTTCGTTCGCGCATTTTCACATGCAACCAACCTGAGCATAAGTGGAAAAGCTGTTGATTAATTCCCGATAGTGGGGACGGGGATTGGAACTCTGCGTCGTCGTCGCTTGACTCGAGGATGGATGACTTGATTTGGCTGGAATCTGTGCAAGCAAGACAAGACTTGAGTTGTTTGCGCTGCGATGAGACTCCGCGGACAGCCTACACCCTTGATGGACTCGTACCAGCTGAACGTGCTCGGGCACAGGACACAGTCGCTGGAGCATGGCTCCATACGACAAGCGCCGATGTGCATGGAGAATCTTGGCAACAAACGAGACAAGAGGAGCGAGGCGAGAAGGAACGCGCTGATGCTTTGACTTGATTGGGGTTTGGTTTGCTTTTCCAGCGGGCTCGCTCGCAGGATGTAAAATTCGCATGACGAGCTGCTCGGCACTCCTAGTTGAAGGTTCAAACCTATTGAGACAGTCTAAGAAAGGACAAAGGCGTGAGCTTTTTGAACCAAAATAAAATTGATTGATTCGATTGATTCGATTCTCGGGTTCTCCACCAACGTACGTGATTTCGGAAATCTGGTGGCCTTCACTAGCGAGTAGAAGATGCGAGATCGAGGCAAATATGTAGTCGCATAACTTGCAACCGGATTGGCAGGCGGCTGATCGGCCTTGTCGTCGGAAACGTCCGTTACATCAAACGGCATGTTCGAAGTTGACGGTGCGCTCGTGCGTTCCGTTGAATCGGACACCGGGACGACGTGCCAGGATGACGAGGACTTTGGCTGCTTTCTAGCAGGTTTATTCGCCATCATATTCTGCTTTGGTTGCTTTGAGCGCGCAGGTTGTGAAGGAGTTGCATCGTCGGCCGGAGCACCTTCAGGCGATACCAAAAACCGTCGAAGTGAAATACCAATGTGAGGTTGCTACGGCCAGCTACAAGAGCGACACTTACCTGAAACTTGCATGTAGCAGCCGTTGTTCAATCTGACGAACACGGATGCACTTAACAGCAGATGCAGCACGACGGAATCGCCCATCCTAATCAACCATCTCTAATCTTTGAGAAATCGGTGTCTCCATCATCCCGCTTGTGCTTCCAGTCGCCCGCTTACCGAGCAAGCAACAACTCCCACGGCAATGTCTTGAGGTAGTTTAATGTGGTGTTTGGAAAGTAGTTTTCAACGCCGTACAAGCTGTTGACCGTGCCGAGAACCTTGTCATTGTTTCGCATCTAATGTCAGACCACCAAAAAGTAAGTATGCCAAACAACTTCACGATTCAGAAGTCATTTCTTTGTTTGCTCAACCTTTCGGTAGCCAGGAGCGAGGACGTGACTGGGCTGATGTTCGCGGAAGAGCAACTCGAGTAGGCGGTTCAAAAGCTGAGTAGGAATGTCCCGACCACAACGATGGTGCCAAAAAAAAGTCAGCGTTATCCATGCTATGCACACGAGTTTCTGCTTGCTTATGTTCGACGGCGTACTTCTTCTTGTGTGCAGGACTGCGAAAAGTCGGCCCCGCGCTTGAATGGCGAAATCGGCACACCTGGAGAGAATGCCACTAGTGTTGTGGTCAGCAGGTGCTGGTACTCTTGAGGATCGTCCGCTCGAAGCGGCTGGGGAAGTGCGCGTGGACGCCGAAAGCTTGAAAAGGCAGAGCTGCTTGGCGCCGTGGTCGAATTTGCAGCGCTCAGTTGAGCCTGCTGTTGCACAGCGACCAGCTCGTTGAGATACTCGAGCAACGTGCAGTGGCGCTCAAACATTGCCGGAAGAAGACAGTCGCGCACTAAAACCAAAAGGTTGCCAGAAACAAAAAATGAGCGCTCAGAGTTGCAGATTCTCAGATTTTCACCAAAATCTGTCAACTTGGTAAAATTTGAGATTCAGCTCTCCTTCCTCCTCCCTCCTCCTCCTCCTCCTCCTCCTCCGAATCACCAACCTATATTGCGAGGACCATGCTGATGAATTGTCTTCGTGCTTGACTTGCGGTCCTCATTGGTGATCGAGTTGATGACCGGATTGCTCCGACCACGCGATGGCACCGCTCCCGCACTGAGCGCGTCCGTTGGCCCGTTCCTTGAGCGAGTCGATCCCGATGATTGTTGGAGGCAGCCCGCTGCCCCTCCTGAGACTCCTGGGACTCCTGGGACTCCTGGGGCTTGCAAGAGCGTCGCCGCCCCAGTCTCGATCGCCGTGCTCGACTCCATGCAAGCCAAGCCAAGCCAACTCAGACGCAAGCCAAAGCAGCGATGATGCTTGACTCGCTCGATCTGGCTTGGTTTGCAATAAGAATAAATCGGGAGCGGGGGGGCGGGTTTCTCGACTAAAAGTCACACGAAATGCAACGCAATGTCTGAGCGTGGAATTGGACTGAGATTTGCACTTTTCTGAACTTGACAATTTGAAGCATGTCAGTCACTAAGGGTTACTTGTTCCCTTTTGTGTTGTTGTTTTTGAATTGAGAGCTCAGTCTCCAGCTCCTTTTTGCTGCTCCAAACCCAACCACCATAAACTCCATTTCAATGTCGCGCGAAAAATGAATTGATAAGTAATTCCTGAAAATGACCACAAACAAACGTACAACAACAACACGACACAGAACGCAATGAAAATGGAGTGGAAAAGACAGCTTGGCCAGCCACAGCGAATCACTTGAGATGAACAAAGAGCAAAAGCTTGGCTCCAGTTTGCTCCATGGCCATCTGGAAATCATCGTCTTCGAGGATGGTGACAACATCGCCATCTTCATCCTTGTAACTAATCTCCATCTTCTTGCCTTCGGGCGGCGCAATTTTGCCACTCAAGGAGTCGTACAGCTTGGTGTACGTCCAGGAGGGCGATACCTTGAATGCAAACATTTGATTGTTGTCCATGCGCTGCACCTTGACGCGAATAGCGTTCGCGTCCTCGGCAGGTGATGCGGCATATGCAGACTGCGCTGCAGGTGCTGGAGCCGGGGCAGCCGCAGGCGCAGCAGGCGCAGCGGCAGCGACCGTTCCGGGCGGGGGAGCTGGTGCACGGAATCCGCCAGGTGGCGGACCAGCTTTGACATTCGAAGCCGCGTAGGTGGCGCCAGCGCCAAAGCGCGACGCGGCTCCTCCGGCATATGGCGTTGGCCGACCGGGCGCTGCAGCTGCGGCAGGCGTGGGAGCGGGTGCCGGCGCAGGTGCAGGTGCAGGTGCAGGTGCCGGTGCCGGAGCTGCATTGGGTCGCGGCGGAGGCACGGAAGTGGGCTTTTTGATAGGTGCGTACTGACCAGCAGACGCATTAGACGATGAAGGCGCCGCGTACTGCCCAGCGGATGCATTCGCGGGTTTGAGTCCCGCGGCGATTGAGGCGGCAGGCGACGTTCCCATTGATGATGGGGTGGATGATGTGCGTGCGCCGAGCGTCGACGCGATCGACGCTACGGCAGGAGAGGCTGTCGACGGGGTCGATGCAGCAGCCCCTCCGATTCGGCTACCAGCAGGCGCATATTGACTGGAGCTGCCAGTAGTGTTGCTGGCAACAGATGCTGGCAAACTGACCGCCACGGGCCCAGAGATGGTGGGACGCGGCTTTTCGTAGATCGGACCATCCTTTTTCGGTGCGGCGTAAATGCCGCCACTGGACGTGACGGAAGGCCCTCCTGGAACCGCGTTTGAGAGAGAGGACCGGTTGGTCGGCGGAGAGGAAGCGTAGATGCTGCTGGCTGCCGCGGTCGGCAAGGATGCGCGCGCCGTGGATGGAGAAGCCGAGCCAGCAGCATTCGTGGATGGTCCCGCCGGGTTGTCCTTCGAATGATCCATTGCAGAAGGGGGCAACGAAGAGCTAGGAACGCACGCACACAGCAGCAGCAGCAGCAGCACAAAAACGTACAGGGTAAGACCAAAACCAGAACAACAGCGACAATTCCGCTTCGCAACACAACTGATGGAGATGAGTACATACAATGAGGTTTCTTGGACATTGTCGTTCTTCAATAATGCAATGATAGCGCTGGTCTTGGCGTCGGATTGCGCAGCTTCGTTTGCAACCGCTTTCGCTACAGGGGTTGCAGCAGCAGGCGGTGGTGCAGCGGCAGCGGCAGCGGGGGTTGCGCCTGCTCGAGCCGAGGCAAGCGAGCGGTACTCGCCAGTCGGAGGTCTGTCACACCACTGGTGGTTAGGCAAAGCGCGGCAGACCTCCCCCCACACAAACACAAGCCCACGCAAATTCAAACAAGAACAAAACAAAAAAGCGACACGTACGGTGGACGACCGAAGGGCACAGGACTGGCACTCGTCGCTGGACTGGCAGAGGAAGGGATGTGAGCGGAAGGCGGCGTGGCGCCAGATTGGGCGGGCGCAGCACTCATGGCGGCTGCCGCGGCACGAGCTCGGCCCAACACATTTTGAGAAGCTGTCGGAGGAGGTCTATGGAGAAGCGCGAACGAGACAGCAAAAGTTAATCCACAATGGTTAGCCTGCCACCCTTTGCTTCAGAATGAGTCGGAAGCGCGAACTCGCGGCACAGACTTGACTTACCGAGCAACCAGTGGACCAGCAGGGCGAGTGGCTGGAGGGGGTCGAGCAGCGCTGTAAATTGGAGTTTGAGAGACACCCGGTGCAGGGCTGGATCCGGCAGAAGAGGTGGCGGAAGACGTGCCAGAAGAGATGGCGGGTGAAGTGGCAGAGCCAGCCTCGGGTTCTTTCTTGAGGCGAGATCGACTCACAGGAATGCTCGGGCGCCTGTGTCAATTGAATTCAATGGAGTTGAGGTGAGTGCAAAATGGACAGCCAACAAAAGCGCTCACCACAAAGCAATGACAGAGAAGGCTTACGCAGGAACATTCGTGAGCATGACGTTTGCCTCTGGCGCGGCAGCAGGAGTCGCCGGAGTACCCTCAGCCGCCGCAGGGCTGGCAGCGCTCGCTGCAGCAGGTGTAGCATCAGGCGTCACTGCTGCGCCTGCTGCTGCTGCTGCTGCTGGCGGTGCAGGCTCGGGCTGTTTGAGTTTTGAGCCCAAAAGCGCTGCTGTCGCCGGGCCAACCTTCCGGCCAGCTGGAGCAGCACGATTTCCAGCGCTGGGGGTCATGCCAGCTCGCTGAAGAAGCAGATCGACCTGGGCCTGTTGGCTTGGCGCCAGCGCGGGACCAGCGCCAAACTGAGTGCGCTGCGTCAATGCGGGCGGGGGCCCTCGCTGGGGCTTCACGCGGCCTTGAGAAGCTGCCATTGCGGGATTGGTAATGTTGGGGTTGACGGTGACTTTCTTCTGAGGAACCCAGCCAGTGGATTTGGTGACCAGAACCGCGCCGCCCCTAAAACGCCAAACCACAACAAAACAAAACAAACAAACCAACCAAAAAAAAAAAAAAAACGTTGGCGCTCGCACACATTTTCGACCAAACCCAAACAACCACCAGGTGCTTCGTCTTACTCTTTGGCAGCCTCGGCTGGTTTGGCACCGTCGGCCGGGGCAGCTCCGTCATTTTCCTTGCCCGTGGCCTCTGCCGAGGTGGCGTAAATCTTGTTAACGTCGCCAACGGGGCGGGAGCCTGGAGGCCGTCGCTCCTGCATACGCCGTTGAGCAAGCGCCATGTTGTTGGGTCGCTCGATGCGACGCTGCTTGACCTCGTCCACCAAGAACTTTTGGGCAATGTCGCTCTTGCTAATCTTGTCCGGCAAGGTGTACAGGCGTTGGCAGTACAAGTCAAGCTCTGACACGCGCGCAGCAGCAACGTCGTCCGTAATGATGACAGCCTGGGCTGGAAGCTCGGGGATGATGCGCGAGCTCTCGTCAGACACGCCGCCTTCTGCGGGGAAGGTCGTGATGAGATCCATGTGCAATTGGTAAAAGTCGCCAAACTTTCGCTTGACGAATTTGATAGGACCTTCCAAGCCATCGTTCTTGATGCGAATGGTAAAGAGCTACAGCAGCAAGCGACACAGAGCGGACAATGAGCAAGCAGTTGAACTTTGTGAAACAAGAATGGGTTTTTGTGTTCTCTGACATAGCTGCTTCCTTGAAGCTCCTGCTTGATAACTCGCACAGGCAGATTGATGCGACGCTCCTCAGCGCGCTTGTAGGCTGCAGGAAGCTCGAGACGCTCAGCCGCAGGCTTTGGAGTCTTCTTGGTGAAAACGCGCTTCAATCCACTTCCGCTTCCAGATCGCGGGCGGTCTGTATCAACAGCAGCAGCAGCAAATGGAGAAAAGCGGAGGGGGGGGGCGGGGCATGGATTGCAAAATGAGGGGTCTGCAGATCACAAAGACGCATCCAATCCAACAAAATACTGACTGTCGTTCTCGTCCTTGGCTGCTTCGGCAGCCGGCTCGGGCTCAGGTTCGCTCTCGCTGCTGGAGCTGCTCGAACTCGACTCTTCGTCACTGGATGCGGCAGCTGTTGGCTTGGGAGGAGCCTTGTTCGGTGGAGGACGGCGTGCCGGCGGGGCGCGGCGGGGTGCTGCCGGCCGGTCAGACGAGGATTCCTCGCCTCCACTCGCATTTTCGTTCGACTCGGATGTTGTTGACATGCTACGAAGCTTCGGAACGGCCTACAATGATCCGAAGAGAAGGGCGATTTTTAGCACCAAACAAATGCTCAAACAGGAGGAGGCAACCAACAGTATATTCCAACGGCTACGTACACGTGAAGGCGCTGGCGAGGTCGATGCGCTTTCGGCGGCTGCGGCAGCTGCAGCTTCAGCTTCCTCGCGCTCTTGCCTCTCGCGCTCCTCGCGCTCCTTGCGCTCCTTCTTTTCTTGCGCGCGTGCCTCTTTCTCCTTCGCTTTCTGTCAACCGAAACGTTCACCCAGACACAAACAAAGACAACGAATCGCAACAGTGAGCGGAAGGTCAATCAAAGAGATGGCAAGACAACAAAAAAACCCAATGAAAGCAGGACGCTCGAAACACGCGCTTCAACTGTGCGCACCTGCTCTTTGGCCGCTGCCTTCTGCTCGGCCTTTTCGCGCTTGAGCCGCTCCTTCTCTTCGCGGCGAGCCTGGTCTTCAGCATCGTCCACGGCGACGGGTTTGGAATTCTGCCGCTTGAGGAAGCCGGCGTTGCCATAGTACACTTCTTCGCTGCTGCCGCTGGTCGGACTTTGGGGCTCGCCGCCACCGTCGTCCGACTTGCGCAACATGCGACGAATGATGGTGCTGCGCTTCGATGACCCGCGCGCTGGTGAGTTGGCGTACTCGCTCTCGCCACCGCCTTCATCGAGTTGCTGCTGCCTCTTGGAGCGCGCAATGTCGGCACTGCCATAGCCACGAGAGTAGTCGACAGCTTCGCGTGCAGGCGACTCTGGTTCGTCGTCTTGCGGAACCTGCTGCGCTGCCCATTCCTGTTGCATCTTGATGAGGTAGTCGCTGGTGAGACCAACCAAATCGTCCACCCACTTTTGTCGCTCGGTGTAGTTTGGGGCAACCACAAGGTATTTTCCATGTCCAGCATGGATGATCTCAAATCCGTTCGCGAGCGCCTCGGATTGCTACCAAAAGACGAAAACGAAGAGCAGTTGATGTCAGAGATGGCACGACTCGAACGATTGATGATTCGAGAACAAGAACAGCGTGAACTGAACGTGCGTACCTCATCCAAAGTATCGTTGACCATGCATGCATCAAAGTGAATTTGGGCAATCAACGTGTTCTTGACTTTCGATGGCTTGGTGATGAGCAAAAAGTCGTTAAACAAGAAAATTTCGCGCTCCTCCGACTTGCGATCTGGACAAAGAAGGATCAATCCACAACAAACAAAAAAGTGAGGGGTTCAATGTGCAGACAAGCCATCAACTCGGATGGAAGGGGACGGCGGGGAGAGATGCCAAATTACAATAAAAAAAACAGCAGTCCAACGTCTCAAAACAAGTACAAGCTACAAAACACAACAGACATACCGGGACCAATCTCGCTGAACAAGGCTTGCCGAAGCAGACGACGAGAGGGAGCCACAAGTTCCAACGACTCGCCATCCTTGGTCTTGATGCGCTGCTGCAGATCGAGCATTTTCGCCGAGTTGCTGGCCGCACGCCCAGCCTCATTCACGACCGTGACGACCGTCTCGATTTTGGCCAGAGCCGCCTGAACCTTGCTGTAGTCCTTATGCGAAGGCTCGGTGTGCTTGAGAATTTCGCGTAGCAAAAGGGGATATTTGCTGCCGGGTAGATGCATCAGAGTGAGACACACAAAACAGCGAGTGAAACAATCTAGCAGGATGTTGCACGCATACCAAATTCGTTGGACAGGCTTGATCAGGAAGCTGGAAATGTTCTGTCCTTTGCACTCTTCGAGTGCGGAAGCGTTGTCGACAAAGGTTTTGAAGGCTGTGTGGAATGCAAACGCGAGCGACAATTAGCACAAAAACTAGCGTCCACACACACACACAAAAAGCGGCTTGGAGCAACACAAACAGTACGTACACTTGCTCTTGAGCTCCTTTTCAAGAATGACAATGGCGTGCTCATAGTTGGCGCAGTACAGCGTGTAAACTTTGAAAAAGTCGGCAATGGTCAGGAAGATTTGACCCACTTCTTCAATGTAGAACGCTTTTTGTTGAAGCGCCACGAGTTGCCTGTCCCAAAAGAAAAAAAAAAGTTGCCAGCCAGTGAGTCGGCCACACTCGTGAATGCTGCAATAACAAGGGCGAGAAGGTCCTTACCCAAGGAGCTCTTCGTTGATGGGAAGCAACTGCTCCACGTTCGAAAAGAGCACAGCCAAATTCTTGACGGACAGCAGCTTCTTTTTCCGCATTGGCGCTGGAGAGAAAAAAAAACAATTATTGCAATGAGCGTCAACATTGCGCGAGGTCTGCCGCGCGTAACATGTGGGCATTACCAATGTACACGGATTGGAGCACTTTAAGATCATTGACATAGTCGCCCTCCGTCTTGATTGTCTCGAAAATTGTCTCTTGCCGTTGAATTTGCTGCTTGCTCAGTTCCGCAAGCTCTGCTTCGGTCACGGCGTCCTTCCTGCGAAGCCCCAGAGCAAAGAGCAAAGAGCAAAGAGCAGGGGAAGGGGGGGGGTGTGGCGGGAACACAAACAAATAAGGACTCAAACTCTTTTCTTTCTTCGTATCGGCCAACTCGCCCCCCAAAGAACAAATTACCATGAACGAGACGTGGAGACGGGTGTGTGCATAAACACAATCGTAGGACTGTCAGGTGGTCGATCGCTGGTCGAAGATGCGCTACCTCCTTTCTTTGTGCTGGATGCGGAGGCTGCTGCGGCTGCGGCTGCGGCGCTGTTGGAAACGATCGACGGTCTGCGCATGCGATTGGCCCATGAATCGTACGCTTCATCGGCAGCTTCTTCGGAGCCTGGACACGATGGAAAAGCGCCAAGGTAGGTGAGAACACCCACGGTCGAGCTTTTCACCCGACATGCCAAGAGGTCGCAGAGACACAAAACGCGAAACAAGACAAAAAAAGGGGGGGCTACTCACCATCGGCTTCGCCGGTAAAGACGACGCCTTCCACATCGGCAGTGTCATCGTCGCTCCAAACTTCGTCCTCGTAGTATTCTGCTTCTTCAGCAAACTCATCATTGTAGTAATCATCCTGGCCGGTCTGGTCGCTGTAAGCAGCTGGCGACGCGTCGAAAGAGGTGTTTGAGTTTTTGCTAAAGCGATTGGAGAAGATGCTGCTCGTGCTGGTGGGTTTGGAGAGAGCGGGGGCTGCTGCTTCCTTCTCGCGGCGCTTCTCCTCACGCTCACGCTCGCGCTCGAGCCGACGGTCCTCCTTCTCGCGCTCCTTTGCTTCTTTTTCGCGCTCCTTGGCCTCCTTTTCGGCCAACTCGCGCTCCTTCTTGGCCTCCTTGTCAAGACGCTGCTTTTCTGCGCGCTCCTCCTTCTCCAGCCGTTGTCGCTCGTTCTTCTCTTCCTTTTCGCGCAGCTTTTGCCGCTCGCGTTCTGCCTTTTCGGCAGCCTTGTCGGATTTGTCCGAGTCGGAAGAAAGGCTGGCGCTGGAATCCTTCTTGCCAAAGAGTCGCACCGAAAAGCCGCGCTTGATCGAGGTCGAGTCGTTGGACGTTCCAGACTGGAAGCTCGCCGTCGATGCCTCGCCATCGTTGTCTTCGTCCTCGCTCCATCTCTCGTCGTCAAAGTCGTCGCCGTCGCCGTCGCGTCCGCCTCGTTGCGGCTGCACCGAGTAATTTCCGTAATGGTGCTCGCCGTCGTCGTCACCACCTGCAGCACCACCACCACCGGCGGCTCCTCCGTCTGCTCGAAATGAGTTGGGGTTGACGTATTCGGTTTCAGAATTGGCGCGACCTCGCCAGGCCTTGACAGAGGCGACCTGCTTGGAGGTTGCTGCAGGCGACGAGTAAATGTCCAGCGAGTCTGCCGTCTCGTGCGCCCCACCGTCATGGCCAAAGTCGTCCGTCAGTGCCGCTGCAGCTTCCTCTGGTGTAATGTCTTCGGCATAATTCGCAGGAAAGTAACCTGGAGTGTGGGAATGCCAAGCAGCACAAAAAATCGTTTGTTGTTGTCTCATCATCCACCGCCAAAACCAGCCAGCGAGAGTGAATGGATGAGGGTAACACTGTACCTGCGCGGTCACCAGCATAGCCACAGCACCAGCCGTCGTCGCCTTCGCCGTAAATCCCGACGACTTGACCTGGTGTTGGTTTCAAGGCAACAACAACCGCAAGCAACATTTTGAGTATCAAGTGGCGTTTTTCGCTGGTTCTTCAAACACCCCCACCCCCCCTCCACCGCCTCCAAAGTGCATCATCCATCTCACACAGTTCTCCAATCCATCCATTCAGGTGCCTGCCTTTGTGGCCTCACAAAACCAAAACTGTGTTTTTGTATTTTCCATACACTAAATAAAGAAAAATCAAAAATAAAAATATAAAAATATTAAAAAATGTTTTAACAGAATTTTTTTTCTTTTTTTTACAGAGTTGGCTTTCAAATCGCCGAGCGCAAGCGAACGCGGCCTCTCTCTCTCTCTCAGACGACTGTGGGCTGTGCATTGCTGGGAGCACTGGCCTGCTGCCGAGTCGTGCGAGTGCGCGTTGAGGAGAACGATCCCCGGCGAAACGGATGGGGGGAAAGGGAAAACGCGTCACCCAGATCGACCCGCAGCGCAGCCAGCCTCTCTCGCACTCTGTGCAGCTGGACCGCCTTCTGTCTGTCTGACTGTCTGGCTGGCTGCTCCCATGCACCCACTCCAGCAAGCGACATTCGGGCGGGACAGGCAGCCTCTTCTGCTCGTTCTCTCGACCCTTTTTTTTTTTTTTTTTTTTTTTTTTTGGTTCGCGTTCTCGTTCAGCTCTTTGCAGCCGACCTTCCTTCCTTTCCTCTCGCTCTCTGAGCTTTCTTCCATGCCTGCCTGCCTGCCTGCCTGGCTGCCTGCCTGCCTGCCTGCCTGCCTGGCTGCCTGCCTGCCTGCCTGCCTGCCTGCCTGCCGCTTTGTAGAGAGTGGACGTTGAGGAACCGAGATTTCGGCCAACCATCCAAACCACAGCACAGTTCCCAACATTCAATTCAAAACACACACACACACACACGAACGAAATGCTGCGCTTCCAATACAAACCTTCATCCAGGTCGAGCTCGTCGTCCTTGGTCGCAGTGTACGAGTAGATGGCGCGAACGTAGCGAAGCACCTCAAAGCCCTCGCTCATGTTCGGTTTGTCTCGCGCGCGCAAAAGTCGTCAGCTCACAACACTAGTCACAGTTCACAGTTCACAGTCAACAGTCAACGGGGAGCGAAGGAAGTGGGGAGGGGAAGGGGAAATTTGGAACAAAAAAATGAAAAAGAACCACAAAAAAAGACTGCGCAACCAACTCGAAATTTTGGATGCGGAAATGTTGATGCTGATGCAAAGTAAAGTCATCGGATGCAATGCTATTAAATAGAGCGCATGTTGTAGTGGTTGTGTGGGGAAACTGGCTCGTTTTGCTGGCAAATGGGACAAAAATCGACTTGTGGGCCTTGTTTCAACCCTTTTTTGCAAGACAACAGTTCAACAAACACTTGTAGCCCCAAAGTCTCATTTCAGCACTTTTGACCAAAGAAACACAAGTAAAATCACCCTTTTATCAAAATAAAAGCAAAACTCCGGGCAAAAACACGTCCCAGGAGCGGAAGCATTCATTTGTTCTCGCGCAAAACTTTGTGCCGATCGTGCGCAGCACCCTATGCACAAAACTTTGACGAAACGTCTGGTATTTTGATTGAAATTATATTTACGTTGTAATAGAATGCGTTCTGTCGGATCAGAATGCTGTCCTTAATCAGGGATGCGAGGCGCGGGAACGCGATCGGAAATCTGCCACCCGGACCCGCTCGTGCTATTTCACTGACAACTGACGCGATTCTCGCATGCCACAACGATCTATCTATGATGAATAACGTTTCTTGAGCACACAAGCCGCGCGGTTGCTCCACGTTGCCTCTACTTGCATTTTCGATGTGGCTGAAACTCGGAGAAATTCTTCGCTTATGCACAACAAGATCAACGAAATGCACCAAAAACGACACACGCCAGCTCATCTCGTCATAATCGGGTCGTAGTCCGGCTTAATTAAGACCCAATGGTCGGCCTGTAGACTCTAGATTCGCTAGGGCGGATTCGCGCACCAAAGCCATCAGCCGGCGCAATTCGGCCTTGTTAAACAGTTCGTACAGCCGTGAAACACGGTGGCAGATCAAATCTGGAACTTGCATCGCGTGACCAGTTTGTTCGGTATCGTGCAACACCTGAAAAACAGCCATACAGAATTGCATGTGAGGTGCGCCGCTCTCAATTCACATCATACAACAGCCATGCGTCTCCCCCAAAACAAAAACACTCACCCTGTGTAGCAAGAAGGCCAGAGCCGGGATAAACTTTTGACGAAGAGAGTCCATCTGCTGTGTGCGCAAAGACGGGTTTCCATTTTGGTCCACTTCAGCGTATTGATCAAGCAGCCAGCCTGCAACGCCACACACAGACTTATTAGTAAGCATTCGCGCACACAGAGGGTGTGTGTGTGTGTGGAAAGGAAAACTAGGGGGACAAGACATGCGCTCTTGCGATACTCACCGCCCTTGAACATTAGGATTTCGCGCAGCAAGTCGACCGCCTTGTCCGTCAGCTCAATAATAAGTTGTTGCCACCTACAGCAAGTCAGAGTCACGTGGGTTGAGAATCGTAAGAATGGCGCGGGACAGACGAGTCATGTACTTTACAACCAATCAACCTTACCTCTCGTGCCGCATCTCAAAGCCTTCAATAGACTGCTGGTACTGTTCTTCGGTCGCGTAGAGCTCGGTGGTGAACGCTGGGGGCCTTGTAGGTCGGCCTGCAAATTTGGCCGCCCAAGCATCAAACATCTGACAAGACAAAACACAAAAATCAGTTCGACCCTTCATCGGTCTATCGTTCTGAAACTAAAACGCTTCCCTATATCCGATTGACACTCACCTCATAAGCAGCGACAAGCGCGCGATGCGAATGCAACTCGTGCGTCGCGTTCAACAAGTCGGGATACTGGGGCTCGAGCTCGGCTTCCGCGGGATCAATGTCGCCAAACTTGTCTTGAAGCAAGCCATCCAATCGGAAGGATGCCATGGCGTCGAGCAAGGCGTGGGCGGACGCAAACTTGTCCGCAGACAAAAAGCCGCGAAGAAGACTGTTCATCTGCAGTAGCGCCTCTTGACGTTGCGACGCATTGGCGCCGCCACAGAGCCATTGGATGGCATCAATGCGCTCTTGGTCGGCTCGCGACAGAACGGGTCGGCTGATGGGCGCATTGACTGCAGCCAATGTCGGAATGACAGACGATGATGCGTCGTGTTGTCGAACTGGAGTCTTGCTCAGAGCACTCGCATTGAGCTGCTGCGCTGCCGGCGCTTGAGGGAAGTTTGTCACGATGCGGGGCACGGAAGACGGCGGCGGGAGATGGCGAGGTCGCGAAGCACTGGCCAATGTCGGCGTCGCCGGGGAGGCAGGGGTCGCAGAGGCAGCGGCAAAGAGCTTGGACTTGAAATGCAACGGCGTTTTGGGCGTGGCTGCAACCAGTGGCAGAGGACCAGCCGAAGTGTCCATCGCTGCACTCGCGCTCTCGATAGGCCGCATCGCCGATCCCGGTCGAGAACGCACCGCGGCGGCTCCGCGTTGGCCCATGGGCGTGGCCATGACCATCGAAGTATTAACACTAGGCAATCCCGAGGACAGAACGGGGAGGACATCGTCGGCATCTGCAAGCGAGCGAATATTGTCGACAACTGCCTTGGCGATGCGAGCCACATCCAGCCCGTGCTGATCGCCTTGCGCCAGATATTGGTGACGGCGCTTGGAGGGGAAGGGCTGCAGGAACGCAGCATACAGGGCTGTTTGCAAGGAATCGTTCGTGATGAAGGACACGTACAGGGCAACTTGGTCAAAGCGGTGCGTGTCAATCAAAAACTCGACGTAAACGGCCAACATGCCGTCGACAACCTGGGTGTCCAGCTCAATCCCAATGTTGCGCAAATGCAGCGCGAGATGAATGGCAAAGCGAATGACATGCGCGGAGTGCAGAGCCCGCTGGCCCGACGTCAATGCCACCTGCTGCAGGTCGCCCGACGTGTTTCGGCGGCCCAGGCTGGCAATGATGCGAGACTTGAGCGAGTTGAGGGTGTCAATGTCGCCGTCAACACCGCACGACCGAGCCAGCGTGCTCAGCAACGCATCTGCATCGTTGAGCACCATCGCGGCGATGGCGCTGTGGAAGTGCTCGTTCGATGTTTCCCGAACGGCAGTGACGTTACTCGTTGCGGCGCGGCGCAAGATGACATCTGGGGTGAGGTCTGCATTGGTGGCTGCGGCGAAATGAATGGCACGCTGCTGTTGTGGGGGCCGCGACGCTTCTGCCAGCTCTCCAGCAGCCAAAGAAGAAGACGATACGCTGGCCTCGAGCTCGGTGAAGATGCTATCAAACTCGCCACTGGCGTCAACGGCAGCCAGCGACGGGAAGTTGGCGTACTCGAGCTCGATGCGATCGAAAACCAGGCCTCGGAAGTATGCCCACAGCCAGTCTTCCCATGAAGTACACTCTGGCAGCGTGTGCGACACATCGCCTACCAGCGATGCATACACGGCTCGCTCGAGCGACGAAATGCGAGTGTCGCTCGCCAGCATGCGGCACGCATGGATCCAGACCAAGCGACCGTCGGCCACTTCCGGGTCGTCCTGCTCTTCCGCCGGTGAGTTGAGCTCAAACACCATGGCCGCGTCGTTCCAGAGAGAGCTAGAGCCGAGGGTGGCTGCGCGCCACGCGTGCCCTGCTTCCTGGCACAAGTGCTGGGCGTCGCTGATGCGACCAGAGCGGATGAGCAGGAACACCAAGCGCAGCAAGGTGCGTTCGCGATCAATATCGTCATCTGCGAGGGAGCGCCCTTCACGCAGGGGACCGTCCGGATCGAGCGATTTCACCAGTCCAATGGAACCAGTGGTCGAGCTGGCAGAGGACGAGGCCAACGCCGAACCACCAAGTGCAAAGGATTGGTTGGTGGGGCGATCCTTTTGCTTGATGGCCTGCAACGCATGCAGAGTATACTCCCAGCCGTCCATCTGCGCCACACCGTTCATGGCCGCTGTCACATACTTGGCGTCGTCGCTCTGAATCTCGTCCGCCGCCAATGACTCGAGCCAGTGCAGGATGGTGAGATTGCGACGGCTAGCCGAGTCTGTGCGGAAGAGCGTGCGCAGAATCGAGCCATGGCCGGCGAGGCGCTCCAAGTAGCGACTCTTGAGGGTCTCGCGCTCCTCCACCTCCCACTCTTCAACCACAACACTCGACTCCAATCCGCTCTGATCTTGCTGCTGCTGCTGTTGCATGCGCTCCAGAGCCAGTTCACGGGCGGCGACATTGCGCTCGTCGGCCATTCGCTCGTCCAAGAACAAGAATCGTGCGAGTCGCCATGCGCTTCGCTCGTTCCGCAGCCACGTAAGTCTCTGAGCAAGGGTGCCGTAGTCTGCCGAGTACGGTGCAATTCGCGCGAGCTGTCGCTGGACGGACTGTGAAAGGGAAGTGAGATCACAAAAGGGAATGCCTCTCACAGAACAAGGAATCTCGCGCGGTACCTTAATGTTGGCGACGCAGATGGCTTCAAATTCGGCAAGTGCATCTGCTACGTCCGGCGTGTTTGCTTGCTGAATGGCCATGTTGGTGGAAAAGTCTGTTCCAACGACGCAAAAACATAAACAAAACCAAAAACAAGATGCATTCAGTTTGCAAGCTGAGGTTGCATTGTGTGGCCTCTTCATTGAGCTAGTTCAGCACTCACCATTGACAATGTCGAGTGGCCCTGATGCCAAGGTGGTGGTCACGTCGTCCGTGTCAATATCAAGCATGAGAGCGTTTCTCGACGCATCGGCGGGTCCTTGCTCTCCTTGAGGCTGCTGTTGCCTGCGAGCAAAATGGGCCGCACTTGCACCAGTTGCAGTCGAAGCCGGCGACATTGCCCCGAATGCCTGTCCCACGCGAGCATTGAACTGAGCAAACTGGTCGTGCGGTGCAGGCTGCGAGGTCGAGGCGATGACGGCGGTCGCCTGGCCGCCCTCTGGACCAGTCATCTGTGAGTACACTGACGATGCGAACGCAGCAGGAGCCACGGCACCACTGGCGCGCGGGGTTGCGCTCAATCCAGCGATCTCGGGATTGATCCGCACGCCGCGATTCGCGCTCGACGGCAGCCCGACGCCCGCGATCGCAAACGGAGCACTACTAGAAGGAGCAGCAGGAGCAATGGAAGAGCCCGAGCCATGGAAGCCACCGGCTGGGCGAGCGAACGCGGGCGAGGACGCCGCGCGTGGAAAGAGCTCGTCCTCGTCCGCGTAGCTGAACAAGCCGCGCTGGGGCTGCGACTGAGGCTGGGGCTGAGAATGAGATTGAGAATGAGATTGAGAATGAGACTGAAGTTGAGGCTGGCGGAGTGGTGTCTGGAATGGCTGCGAGTTGGACTGCGACTGCGACTGGGCGGCCTTTCGGAGGAAGAGCGATCGCGCCGACTCGCGCTGGACTGCTGGCGACGGGAGCGCAGCGTCAATGCCCATCCCAATGCCCATGCCTGGAATACCAGCAGACACAGCAGCAGCAGCGGGTGTGCGTCGGAGGGCGGAAGTCGACCCGACCGCGGGGCTGCGCAGCGGCAACGTCGACATGTGCAAAGCGGGCAACGTGAAAAAAAAGGACTGAGACTGACTGAGACTGACTGAGATTGAGATTGGAGCAACAAGATCCAATACGTGGAGCAACAAGATCCAATACGTGGAGCAACAAGATCCAATACGGATCACCATGGATTGGAATATTAGGACGAGCATGAATGAAAGAATGGAGGAGAGCGCACGACTGTCGATCCCTATGTTCGAGCAGAGCTCCACTCTCCAAACTGTTGGGTTGAAAAAAAGTTGCTATATTATGCTTTGGCGCGCGTCTCAGCGTCTGAGCTGCCTATAAATGGCAATCGCCTCAGTTTTCCATTCTGTTCCAGTTCCACTCCGACTCTACTGCACACACTCCACACTCGACATACACGCTCACTCCCACTCTCACACATTGCACATTATACAAAGAGATGCTCGCCACAGTGGCTCCGGTCGACGTCCACCTCGCTCGCCTCGTCTTCCTCCGCGCGACGCTGCTTGCCGACCACGCGCCAGTCGCTCATGCGTCCCAATCGACGCTCGCCCAGGCAGTCCACCGCGCAGCCACAGCCACTCCTGCTGCTGCTGCTGCCTCTACTACTTCTACTGCTGCTGCTGATGCGCTGCATGTTGGCGCCTTCCTGCTGCCTGCTGGAACCGCGCGTCCCAATCTGCACGCGCTCGCTGCGGCCGCTCCGTCGCTGCTCCACGAGATTGCCCGCGCAGTGACCTCTACCGCACACACGTCCAGTAGCAATGCGAGCCTCGCTTCAATTGCGGCGCGGGTCGATGCGCTTGTGGCTCCAGCCGGGCTCGTTGGCGCAGGTTCGATCGCCCGGCAGCCGCTCCCATCGGGACTCGGTGCTCAAGGCCAAGGCGCACAAGCAACCAACTCCAACAGCAGCGATGCATGGCGACTCTGTCACATTGCAGTCCTCCCAGCAAACCGCGAGAATGGTAAAATCTACTCAGCACCAAAACAGCTCAAACTGAACTCAGACGTTCGTCACGCTTTGGTTAAGCCTTGGTTCGATTCGGGTGTGACCTGTACACTTATGAGGGCTGTCTGATGATGCATGCAGAGCCTATGGCGAATTCCTTCATTGCAGGGCAGATCCTGCTTCGATGCGAAGGGGCGAGGTTTTGAGGGTTTTGAGGTTTAGTGCTCTGCGATTCGGGTTTTTGCAACTTTGCGTCCGTCAGTGTGCCCTGTGCCATGATCAGTGATGCCCAAGAAGATTGTCAATCTATTCAGTCAAAGCTGGAGGTGTGTTTTGCTGTCAATATCTCGAGTTGCACTGACCAGAAGACCTTCTTCATGCACTGCAGGTTACGGCAGCAACGTCGTCCGCGCGCTGCGGCGGCATGTGGAAACCAAGGACGGCAAGTACATGTGGTCAACGAGCGATCTTGACATTTTCTGGGAAACCATGGGCTTTGAAGATGCAGGCGCGCATCCGATTGACGGCACGTCTCAGAATGTCATTCTCACCGACATTGTCAAGTCCTTCTCCTGCCCAAGCGCGTTCTGCTAGCGCTGCGAGTGCTGCTTGTTTTTTTTGAGCCTTCGCCTATGCCGGTGGGGACCTTGTGTCTGTCTTGTAAATGCTATTATTGTTGTTTGTTTGTTCTTTTGTTCTTTTGGTCGTCTTGTACCAGTTCAAAAACAAGCTCAAGGAAGTTGATCTTTCTTGCTCTTATTTTCGTTCATCCTTCTGAATCGACTGTCCTTCTCTACGCACCATCGTAGTGGTTGCTTGCACCTTGCTCTGAGCGAGTGAGATGTCCGCCAACCTTTTTCATCCAACCCTACCCATCCATCCTCCATACCTCCCATGAATCCTCTTTTGAATTCCTATTCCTATCCAAGCACTCACTACCAATACTGTTTCGGTCCAGTCTAACAACCCACAATGTCAACGGCAGGACAGCTCCGCGAGCGTCGACCGGGCAACACGCCCGCCACCGCAGCCACCGCAGCCACCGCCGCCGCTGCATCCTCATCCTCATCGTCATCGGTCATGTCGCCAAAGACGGTCGGTCTTGGCCGCACAGAGCAGCTCGCTCGCTTTGGGACGTATCTCAACGTCACTTCTTGCACTGCAACCAGCGTCACGCTCAAGCACCGGCCATCCGCGCGGTCCTGGGTGACTCTCGGAGGTATAGTCAACCAAGCTCACCTCTTGCAGCATGAATGAACGGGACGACTTGCGAAATTTGTGTGTGCGAATGTTTCAACGCTCACCTGTTCTGCTGGCGTTTTCTATTGCTTTTGACCCACCACCATTACATATGTCGGAATTCTGAATCTTACACGGAACATGTCCAATGCATCCACACATGGGCTGCGACGCGGACTGTCTTGGGGATGTCATCCTTCGTGGATGTTCGTCGTTTACCAGCCTTCCTCTCGTTCGGAGTGCTGCTGTTCATGTTCAATCCGACAACGCTGTTCTGGCGAGTCGTGCAAGTGCTGTTCTGCGCCTTCCTCGGAGTCTCCAATATGGAGCTCTGGGAAGAGGTGATTGTTGATAAATCTGCAGGTACGTGTATGCCAGCTTTGACTTTGCGTTTTGGAACGCACACATCGCCTGACTTGTGCGCTTGACCTCCCCCGCTTCTGTCGACGTGCAGGCCAGATCAGCATGCGCCGGTACAACTTTATCGATTGGACACGCGCGCGCTATGTCGTCCAGATTGCAGACGTGGACGAAGTCATTGTGGGCCAACACGCGCTTGGCTTTGGCGGCTTTAGCCAGCTGTGCTTTCGAGCAGAGCTGGTTTTGAACACTGGCGCGGTCGTTCCTCTCACTGACACCTACTCGCTTGGCCAAGGCAAGAATGTGGACAAGATTGTCGATTTTCTGTCCGACTTTGTCGGCCTGGAGGTCGATCCCAATGAGGAGCACACTGTGCGCAAAACTGTCCGAATGCGTCTGGAGGACGACGACGCCGCTGCCACAGCAGCCCAGCAAAGCAGTAGTGACGACGAGAGCGATCCAGACGAGGACCAAGAGGCCAAGTATTTGCAGCAGCGCGCCGCCGACAGCCTGAACGCGACGAATTGACGTGCGTGTGCAGCGTTTTTTTTTGGGAACTCGAGCGTGTCACTTTGTGTTGCTGTCAGCAGGTCTTGACGAAAATCAAAGATGGAAGCTTGCATGCATTTTCAGATAGAATTTCATTCCAACGACAAGAAACAAACACCGCACACACACAAAACCACACAACGCAAAAGGCAACAAATCTCAGCAACTATGAAATTTAAGCAAAGGCTTGTCCCAGCAGTTTTGTCAAGTCTAGGAAACAACAAAAACACACAAAGAGGGAGAGGCGCCGAGTGAGAAACCAGGACGTTTCAATTTCGGGGTACGAAACAATCCACAATTCAAAGCCACCAACCACGTACTGTTAAACGGAATCTTTTCGGAAATGTTCTTGCTCTTGGCCTGGTTATCCTTGTTGACGCCGAACGAAACAGCGTCCCGCTCGACTGCCCACCCTTGCGCAGCGACAAACGAGTCGAAAGCTCCTGCTTGCAAGTCGAGGAACTTGGACAGGAGGAGCTGGTCCATGCTCTGTGCCGAGACGGAGAGGATGTGCGCAATAACTAGATGGAGGGAAAAAAACGGGGGGGGGGTTAGGCGGGTGAGCGACATAAGAGGAAGAGCGCGAGGATTTTTTTGCACCGATTTTTTTTTTCAGCAGAAGCAGCAGCAACATACACTTTCGGGCCTCGTCGGCAAAGGAGGGCATCAGCTGCTTGATCTTGGGGGTGGCGTTCACGAGTGACCAGAATTGAATGAACTGAGCAGCCTCGAGGTGGTGGGCGGCGGCGACAATGTTCTTGATGGACTCGTCCGCTTGCTGAGTCATGGTGATGCCAGAGTACGGCCAGGAGTCAAGAAAACAAAGCAACCGAGTGAGACACGGGGCATCTCAAACGCAAAAAAGATAGATTGAGAGTAAGATAAAGAAAGGAAAAAAAAAAAAAAAAACTCTGCATTAACACGTACCAGCTTGTCGGACAGCAGGAAGAGGCTGGAGGCATAATCGCCAGCCGGGAGGACGAGCAACATCTTGAGCAAGACCTGGGCAGATGCGTCAGCGTTGACCTTGGTCGGGTGGAACTGGTAGAGTCGCAGCAAGGCGAGGTTGGACTCGAAGTCGTACGTTCCGTCGGTGACCTGGATTGGCAGGGATTTTTTTTTAAAAGGGTTTGAGTTAGTAAAGCTTACGAATGATGTTTGCTGTTCATGTTGATGTACGAGCGATTGCGACATCGGAGCACAGACACAGAGAGAGAGCGACGATCTTCAGTTGTCTCTCTCTCCAAGACGGCTCAATGATCAATCACCATTTGAATGATTGATTGAATTTGGCCCCCCAAACACCTCCCAATGCAATCCCAAACACCTCTCAATAATGCAATCCCCAATGCATCCCTCCATACAAAATCCCAATGCAATGCCAATGCAATCCCAATGCAATGCAATGCTCAGCCATGTGCTTTTTCCGTCGTATACTTTTTTGTTTTTCGTTGGCTTTGATTTGCTGGACTCTTTGTTTCAAAAAGCGAGGATTTCCGAATGCAACTTTCAAGCGTGTGGATCTTTGTTTGACGAATGCGACAACAGCTGAGTGTGAGCGAGAAGTGAGAGACCGAGAGTGAGAGTGAGTGAGAGAGAGGAGGAAGCCGAGATCTCCAGTTCATCCTCTCTCTCTCTCTCTCTCTCTCTCTCTCTCTCTCACTCTGTCGCTCGCGTGCCAGTCATGCTGCCCCGCCCCCCATCTACTTGTCGCACACCTCTCGCTCTATGCCTTGTCAGACCGGACGGACGCGGTGGAGGGGGTGAAACTGACTCGTTTCCCAACATCCTCTGTAGCCTCCTCGCTCTGGCCTCCGCTCTCGCTCGTTCCACTGCTATATTACCTGCTCCTGGATGTACTTTTCGAGGCGCTCAATGTGCGTAGGGTTGTATCGATCAGTGCCCTTGAGCAGCTCGCGCAGATCAGCAGCACCCGCTGGCAGTGCAGGCGCCACTGGCAATGCAAGCTGCTGTTGCTGCTGCTCCTTCTGCTGCTCCTTCAGCTGCTGCTCCTTCTGTGCTTGCGTCGTCTGAGACATTGTGAAATAAATGACAAACACAAAGTATTTGAAAGAATAACAAAAGTAATAAAAAAAAAGGACTGAGATTTTGATTCTCAATGGAAAATCAATAGAAATTCAGCCATCCCTCATCCCTCAACCACCCCCCCCACGACTTCCCTCTCCTTCAATGCCACTCATTCCTTGTGTATACACTCTTTCTTTGTTGAAAACCCCTCTTTGTTGAATGCGACCGCTGCTGGTGCTGGTGTTTGCAGGGTTTGCATTGGCGCTGGCGCTCGTCCTCGCGCACTCGACCGTGGCCAACGACCTGCTCCAGCTCGCCAAGAACAAGGTCACTGCACCGCACCAAGCACAACGACAGGGCGGCGGCGACGGCGACGGGGACGAAAGCCCGCTCTACGTGGTCGTCTCGGGCTATGCCAACTTCACCCTGACGCTCGCGCTCATCCCGTCGGAGGGCGCCGTCGTCGAGCTCGTCGAGAGCCACACTGGGACCAACGCGTCGTGGGTCGCTTGGCACCCGACCAACCAGTCTGTCGCGTACGCCGTCCAGGAGCTCAGCCCCCAAGGCCAGGTCGTCACCCTCGCTCCCGTCGCGCCGCTCTCGCTCAACTTTGACGTCAGAGGCAACCCGAGCCCGTCCTATGGCGGCGCGCCGTGCCACTTGATGATCCACCCGTCGGGCCGCTTTGCGTTCGTCGCCAACTACGACGACGGCGTCACTGCCATCTACAACATTTCCGTACCCGGCAATGCAATCTCAGACAAGGCCTATGCCGTGCGGCAAGATGGGCAGAACGCTCACATGATGGCAACACGCCATCTGGGCAACTACATCTATACGCCCTTCCTGGGCTCGGATTACGTCGCGCAGTACACGTTCGACCCGCTGTCGGGCGAGCTCGCCCCGCTTGCGACCGCACCCACCTTCAAGGTCTTTGCAGGCTGCGGCCCGCGCCACATTGTCTTCCAGGCGTACTCTGACGTTGCATATCTCATCTGTGAGACCGGCAGCACCGTGCTGACGCTGGCAGTCGCGCCCACGGGCGAGCTGTCGCTGCTGCAAACGCTGTCCACCATTCCCGATTCCTTCAACGCGAGTCTCAACACTGGCGCGGAGGTGCACATCTCCCCCGATGGCCGATTCGTCTACTGCTCCAACCGAGGGCACAACAGCATTGCCATGTTTGCCGTGGATGCTGCCACAGGTCTGCTCTCCCCGCTCGGCTGGGAATTTGGCAACGGAGGCATCAACATGCCTCGGTCGTTCGCTATCGACCCCGTCGGCAACTGGATGGTGGTTGCCAATCAAGGCGCGAGCACAGTCACCATTCTGCACATTGACTGGATTTCAGGCCTTCTGCAAACAATGGGCACGTCCACTGTGCGTCTCAACAACCCGGCGTTTGTTGATTTCCGACCAGTGGTGTGGTAAAACAAAAAAAGTTGTTTCAAGTGCCTATTGTTTTTTTTTGGCTAAAGAAACCAACGTGAATCGAAGAGCAAAGTCAGGCACTTTTGTTGCTACAGAATTTGAATTTGCCGATCCGAAAGTTTTTGCTGCTGCGAAAACCATGCTTGTGTTATGTGTGTGTGTGTGTGTGTGTGTGCGGGATAGTAGGAATGTTTTAATGGAAGCACATTGCTTGGAGCCAGTTTTACAAATGCAAAATCAAAAGGACAAGACGACGGACAGAACGTTGGCGGCATGCAAACAAAAATTCAGGACGGAAGACACAAAGCAACACAGATGGAGATAACACAAAAGAAAAGAAAAAAAAAACGAGAGACAACACAACACTTGGGGGCTCGTGCCAAGAATCAATCTTGGCACGAGAGCAAAGGAGGGGAGAAAAGGAGACCATTTCGAAGAAACTAGAAAAAAAAAGTTTCGAAACGGCCTGACTAAAAGTCTGGGGTGGGGTTTACGCGGCAGAACGGGCCGCCGACGTGCTTGCGCCTTGCGATGAAGACGACTGTGCAAGGTCTGGCGACGAAGAGTCCGAGTCCAGTGAAGGGTTTCGGCTGCGACCAAACTTCATCTTGAGTTTGCTGAAAAATCCGAGAGGTTCGGCAATGTACTGCTCCACCGTCACGTCTTGACGCAAGTCGGACGGCAGTGGCTCGGAAATCCGGTTGTGCTCCTCAAAGACGGTCTCAACAATTTCGGCTTCCCAGCACGACGAGGCGACCATCGGGAACTTTGAGTAGTTTTCCGTGTCGTCCTCCGTCAGCTTGACATCCTTGATGGAATCAAAGCGATCAATGTCGAGAACATCCTTGGCGTTGACTTGGTGTGCCTGCAATGGCCCAATTCGATGGGAAGGGATGTGAGGAACTGAAACAAAAATCATCAAAAAGGGTTTTGCGCGAATGTGTCAAACTTACACTTGGCTTGCAAGGCGAAGGAATGAGACCCGCCTCGAGACGAACCCAATCGATCGACGCAAAGAACGGGTGACGCTTGAGCTCCTCGGCATCGCCACCCATGCAGCCCAGTCGCTTTGTATAGTCGCGCTCCAGTAACCGCATGCACAAATCTTTTGATTCGGGCGTAAAGTGAGAGTCGTACTCGATGACAGCCTCCAGCACGCGCTGCTGAAGCTTGTCCACTCGCAGCTTTTCCTTGCGGGCGCGGAATGGGCTCTGCAGAGAGGTGGAACGAGCAATGTATCGTGAAAGTGAATGACACGATTGTATCCCACAATGCCGTTGCCACCGATTCGCATCACAGCGAAGCAAACAGACCAAATACACTTACGTGACCACAGATCATGTCATAAAGGACGCAGCCGAGACCCCACCAGTCAGCAGACACGCCATACTTTTCGCCATTGATGACTTCCGGAGCTGCATTTTCGCACACGTTGTAACAAGTGCCATGTGAGCAAAAGGAGGCGACACCAATAACCACGCCCCGCAAAGGTTGTCACATACCCATGTATCCTGGCGTACCCACGCGACCCTTCACGACAAGTTTTGGCGGCTTGAGTTCGACAGCAAGGCCGAGATCGGACAAACATACGTGACCTTCCTCGTTCAACAACATATTCTCGGGTTTCATGTCGCTGGTTGTCGAAAATGAAAAAAAGCCGTTCGTTAGAAAAAACAACCAAACGAAACACGAAACACGAAAACCAACCGCATCCTCAAACCTTACCGATATAGCAAATTATTTTGGTGCAAGTGCTGGAGCCCGAGAATCATCTCGGCTGCGTAAAAGCGGGCACGCTCCTCTTCAAAGACGGTGCAGAAAGAAAGGTGGAATTGCAAATCGCCGCCGTTCATCAAGTCCAAAACCATGCAGAGCTGCTCCTTGGTGACAAACGCGTACTTGAGGCCGACAATGAAGCGCGAGTTGACCTTGGCCAACAGATCGCGCTCGTTCCAGGCGAGCTGTTCGCCCTTCTTCTTTTTGATTCGTTTCTTATCCAAGCACTTAACAGCATACATTTTGCCGGTATCGCGTTTCTGGCATGCATGCACCTGTAAAAAATGTTGCAAAAAAAAAAAGAGGCAAACAAGATGAGCTTGGCGAATCCAGCGAGCAAAGCCAAATAAAAAAGTTCTGACGCCATGACCAAAAACAGGAGGGAAACAAACCTCGCCAAAGCCACCCTTGCCGAGGACACGGTAAAATCGGAAGCTGTCGCGGTCAACCGGACGACGCGAGAGCCACTTCCATTGTAGCAGACGACTGTACCAGTGGCTGGCTCGAAACTCGTCGAACGGTTTGCCAGCCAGGTGCTGGCGCACTAAAAGCTCCGCGGGCTCAAACACTTGCGAAGAGACTGTTGACTCGCCCAGTTTCTGTCCAATCTCGCCAATTACTGCTTGCGGGACGACTGGCAATTGGCTTGATTTGGATAGTGAGTCGTACACGGACTTTGCCTTGGCACGCTGCTCCGTCTGAGGTGCGAGGCGGAAGCTCTCCACGTCGGCAAGAAACGTGCTGTATGGTTTGTACGCGGGCGAGCTGCCGCAAAAGTGTGTGAGGAAGAGGCGCTTGCCGATTTCGGATTTGCATACGGCGTCGAGCGTGAGTTCTGTAGTTTTGTTTTTTGTTGTGCACACAATGCACGTCAGTCAAGTCCCTCGCACCGCAGGCACGAAGCACAAGGAGGCATGCCAGTGGTGGCCAAACAACATACCTCCTGCAGCGTTGAGTTCTCGCTCGAGCTCTGCGCACTGCCGAATATGTGGAAACCGGAGCATTTCCTTCCATTTTTTGGATTTGCCTTTGCCTGTTTCCCCCCCCCCCAAAAGCAAGACGCACAAAAAGAGAAATGATGTGAGTGAGGTTTGTTCGATGCAGCGATCGGATCTGACGGCGAGAGAACCAATCCATGGCCCAAAAAATAAAAATAAAAAAAAAGCGGTAAAATATGATTAATTCTTGATAAAAAAGAAAAAAAAAGGGAGAAAAAAAAAAAAAGGGAGGAAAAAAAAAAAAAGAAAAAAGAAAAAAGAACAAAGATTGCTTTTCAAGTGAGGCGTGAAAAACCCTCTCCATCGCTTGTCCTGGCCTCGTTTGCGAGCACCCAGTTGTGAGCCACTGTGCGGTGTTGCCTCTCCAGCAAATGATGCACTCGGCTGCCGTGCGCGCGGTCGAGTCCTCAAAGCCAAAGTGCCTCCAATGCAACATAAGCTTGAATCCGCTCTCAAAAGAATAAATGTTTTTTTTTTTTTTTTCCCAATGTGAAAATGATCATCTCGATACGAATTCAAAGGCTTCGGAGCAAACCAGCCTGGGCGCCAGTTCGCAGACTCGGATACAAACACAAACAGCGCACTGTACCAGCACGTCCCCACGCCCCCATTGAGAGGGACTGAGCCAGCCATGGCCGCAGCGCTCGTCGCTGGGGAAGGCATGTAAGCGTCACAGCAGCAAAAAAAAAAAAAAAAAAAAAAATCATAAAAAAACATCATAAAAAAACCATCACAAAACCCTCTGGATTTGTTTGGCTTTTAGTAAAAATTGGGATAGGATCTACTGACTATCTCGCACGCCGCGACTACCAAAAGCCTGCAATTCCAGCCAAGTCGCCACCCTCCATTGAAATAAAAATAAAAATAAAAATAATAATAATAATAATAATAATAATAAAAAAACCAAAACATTGATTTTTTTTTTTCCATGTCGGGATTCGGTTTGGTCAGCGCTGGAAGGGCACTCCGCCCGTCCACAAGAGGGCAGCAGGACAACAGTGTGTATCCACCGTCCAGCGGGCGGAGCGGGACTCGGTGGTGACAGCGAACGTGTCAACAAAGTCGGATGTCAAAAAACCAAAAAACCAAAAAACCCAAAAAACCCAAAAACCAAAAAAAAAAAAAATCACAATGCAATGTCGGTGATTGACACTGTTCATGTCAGGGTCGAGAGAGGGGGAGCGAGCACGACGCACCTTCCATGGCTTTTATCAATTGCGTATTCGCCACAATGTTCTCAAGGTCCATCATGGTTGCTAAAAGGGAGAGGGAGAGAGAGAGAGAGGGGAAAGGCAGGCGGAAAAGAAGAGGAAGAAGTCGAAGAAAAAAAAAAAAAAAAAAAAAAAAAAAAAAAAAAAAAAGAGTGCAGATTTTTTGGTGAATGGTTTGGATTGAATACGTCGGGTGTGTGTGTGTGTGTGTGTGTGTGTGTGTGTGTGTGTGTGTGTGTGTGTGTGTGTGTGTGTTGTCTGAGGAGAATGGACTTTTCAATGGGGCAATGCATTTTCACCAACTCCAGCCTACGTCGGAAAACCCCTCACTTTGCACCTTCCAGAACCCCAATTGTCACAGATTTTCTCGTGTGTATCAGAAAGATTGCTCGAGTCCTGACATCGCACCGAGCACAACAAGACCAAAAACAACAACAAGGTTTTGCTCAGAAAAACTTTTGCTCGTGGCCGCGATACGTGCGAACAGAGCCGAGAGCTCGGTTTCCACGCTTGAGATGGTACTCGCGGAAATGCTCGGCAAGCTCGCCAGCTTTGGCAGGTCGGAAAAAGACTGGGTCACCGAGGGCAAGCGGGGTTTGCCGAGCCTCTCGCGAGCACGAGACCAGCGGCGTTTGCACTAGATGGAGAAGTCGAAGGAATGAGTTGACAGACAACAAACAGGAAGAGCGAATAAGTCATCGTCTTCTTACCCTCGCCAAAGCCTTCGTGGGCGTAGGTCGAATAGCCTGCGGGCAAGAAAGGCGTTGGCTGCTTGTCCGACGACGTGGCACCGCTGGCAATAAAGCCTCCGGATTGGCAGGTGACGGAGCGCGCGTCTGGCTTTCGCGTGACGAAAAGGGCAAATGCGAACGCCGGAATGCACTCATTGGCGCGGTAGTAGTCAAACAAGCGAGACTGCAGGATGCCCGAGCCAATCGTTACCTGTTGTTGCGAATTCAATGACGAGGCAGATAAGAGCTCGAACGTATTCGCAAACAAACAAACAAAAAAAAAAAAAACAACGAAAATTTGGCACGACGCTATTCTCCTTACCTCGGTCAAGCTTCGCTCGCGACTGGTTTCCGCCACGTTGCCAGAGCCGCCGCCGTTGAAAAACTCAAGGCGGATGTTGCGGCTGGAGAGCAGGGCAGCGACCTGTTGGCGCAGCGGAACAACGGCAAAGCGCATGGATGCTGCCTTGATCAAGCTCTTGATTGGGTTGAGGCAGCGTTGGTAAGCGTTGTTGTCAGGCAGGCCGGCGACTTGAGCCTAGGCGGAACGACAGAGATGCGGTCGTTCATCAGTGACCAAAGACCAAAAAACGAACAAACAAACAAACAAAAAAAAAAAAAAAAAAACAAAAAACATCGCATACCTCATAACCCATGACGCCAACCAGCTGAAGATGCGGAGACGCTTGCAGACGGGTCACAAGGGCAGAAAACTGCTGAATCGTGCGGCACGACGAGCGGTGGACACCAAAGTGGAGCGCTCCGCCGAAGAGTCGCAGGGACATGTCGACGTCGATGCAAACGCGCAACTTGAGCTGATCGACACTGGCGACATTGGCCGAGGTAGACGCCGCAGCAGGACCCGTGGAAACGCCTTCCGCGGCCTCGTGTGCGATGCGCTTGCGGCGAATGACAAACGTTTCGAGCCGATCGATGTGCTCGAGCGAGTCAATCATCAGCGTGAGCTTGACACCTGCGAGCAGCAAGTCGGCCGCAGCATCCAAGTCCTTCTGGTCGACGGTCGGGTATGCCACCAGCAAGTCCTTGTTCCAGGCGGCCAGCGCTGCGACAGATTGCTGCGAGGTCGAAGGTTTGACGGCTGCCGTCTCTGCAACGCGAGCGGCGTCCACCTGATCGGCCGCAAGCTGCTCATCTGTCAGCGAGGCGAGGAACGCGGCTTCCTGCACCGAGTAGCACATCAGACCTGTGATGGCGCCGTTGCTCGCCTGCACGGCCTGGCGAATCAGCCAGGGCACACGCAACGACTTGGTCGCCAGGCGCACACGCTTGCCGCCACTCAGCGCAGGCAGCGTCAGCAGTCTCGCATTGGACTCGAACACATCCAGGTCGACCAGCGTAAGCGGCGCCGTCAGGTCTTCATGCTACAAAATCGACATCCGTGTACGGTGGGTGAGTGCAAATTTGGCTAAAAAATTGGTTGTTTGCCAGAGATCAACAACAGCAGAGCAAATTGTGAATACGATTCAAAGTCAACCATCAACCACCAAGAATCTTGCAAATATACAAGTTCATCGTGTTTTGACGATAAACGTTGTATTCGAATTCAAGATTTTAAGATTGTTGGAGCGGAAACGGCCCAAATTTTCGACTTCCGCTTGACTTTTGCAATTTCCGCTTCAAACTCGACACTAAAACGCCACTTTTTTTGCTGATCAAAAATGGAATCTCAATCCAGAGATCGGAAAGCTCAACGAACAGCTGTTGTCGAAGCTGCCCTGTGTGGCTTCTTTTACCTTGAGCAGGGCGCGGAGCTGGTCGTAATTCCACGCTTTGGCCGTCTTGTCGCGGATGCGTCGGAGCCGGTCGCGCTCGGCCTTGGCGCCGCGGCGGGCGTACCAGCGTGCAGCAGCCAGAATGAAGACAACAACGCCGATGCGGCGCAGGAGGGTCTTGCGTTTGCGCGGCGACAGGAGCGTCTGCAGCACCGACGGCGGCAGATACGTGACGGCCAGATTGACAATGGTGGAGAGGACGTCGTCCATTGTGCTGACTTTTTGAAATGACGACTGCTGCTGAGCATTTGAGATAGTCGAGGATGAATAACCAATTCTCAGAAAGAGCGGTTTCATCATTGGGATCAGCTCTGCTCTCATCTTCGACCTCACTCTGAGCTGCTTCGTTTCAAATCCACTACTGTACTTTTACTTGTGCTTCAAATCACTCTTTCTTTTTTTTCATATTCATACCTTTCATACGCAATCATGCTCGCTGCTGTCGTGTCTTCTGCCGCTGCTGCAGCTCTGCGCACTGTGAGTTTGCATCCATTGAATCAAACATGCTTCACACCCCCCCCCCGCCTCCTTCGTTTTTCATTGTTACCTCTGTGATCCAAGTGTGTGTGTCTCTCTCTCTGTGTGTGGATATGACTGAGCACTGAGCACTGAGCACCTGGACTCACGCAATTTTGACCCCGTGCCCGTGCTCCCTCTCAATCTCAGCCTGCCTGGACTGTTGCTGCTGCTGCTGCAATCCGCGCATCGTCGTCCAGCGCATCGTCATCGTCCTCATCGTCGTCGCTGCCGAAGGGCATGGGCGGCGTGCGCATCTACGACAACGCGGCCGACGCAGTCAAGGACATTCCCCATGGCTCCAAGCTGCTCGTCGGTGGCTTTGGGCTCTGCGGCATCCCCGAGAACCTCATCAGCGCACTCCGCGACACCCGCGTCTCTGGCCTCACGGTCGTCTCCAACAATGCCGGGTAAGTGCTCCGGAAGGGTTGGAGAAGGGGTTACCATTGCGCAGTCCAGTCCAGTCTGCACACAGTCCACATTGCCAGCTATTCCATCCCCCATGATCATCATTCATGATCAAGCCATGATCTGCAAGACAATAGCGAGATCACACTCTTGCTGTCTAGCCATTCTCGTTTGATTGAGGGTTTGATTGCGAGATTCTCACTTCTACTTGTGTGTACATGGACGTAAAAAAATTCAATTGCACAGTGTCGACGATTTCGGCTTGGGCACGCTGCTCAAGACCAAGCAGGTCAAGCGCATGATTGCGTCGTACGTCGGCGAAAATGCCGAGTTTGAGCGCCAATACCTCAGCGGCGAGCTCGAAGTTGAGCTGACCCCTCAGGTACAAAAAACCGCTTTTTCTCATCATTCACCCTTTGAGGTGTTTTTTTTTTGCTCAGATCGGATGCTCACAACAATGCCCATCTTGTCTCCAACCCATGCTTTCGACCATTTCTCGAATACAGGGCACGCTTGCCGAGCGAGTGCGCGCTGGAGGCGCTGGTGTTCCCGCCTTCTTCACGCCGACTGCGTACGGCACGATTATTCACCAGGGTGGCACGCCTATCAAGTACAACAAGGACAAGACTGTTGCCATTGCGTCCAAGCCACGAGAGGTGAGTTCAGTCTCGTCGTTTCACACGCAGATGCATGTGTGAACATTTTTGCTCAACACATATTTCTGACTTTCAACACAAGTCGCGCGAGTTCAACGGCATCAACTACATCATGGAGGAGGCCATTACTGGCGACTTTGCGTTGGTCAAGGCGTGGAAGGCCGACACTGCAGGCAACCTCATCTTCCGCAAATCCGCTCGCAACTTCAACCCGCCGATGGCACGCGCCGCGAAAGTCACCATTGCCGAAGTCAGTCTCAATCGACAAACTGAAGGGCCGTAAGTGTCGTTGTTCCCTTGAAAAATGGACACTGACTCTGAATTTCCATTGCAGGTCGAGGAAATTGTGCCCGTCGGAACTTTTGATCCCGACCAAGTCGACGTTCCCGGCGTGTACGTGAAGCGCGTGGTTTTGGGAGCAAAGTACGAGAAGCGCATTGAGGTCAGTGACGATTTCTGCGCAGCTCTGTTTTCACCCCCCCAAAAAACCTGGCACTCATTTGGTAAACTCGATTGTTTCGCGCCTCCCCCTTCATCGTTGTCCTCAGCGCCTGACCCTGAGCAAGGAGGGAGGAATCTCCTCACCCGGTGGCAAGGGCTCCGAGATGCGCGAGCGCGTCGTCAAGCGCGCTGCGCAAGAGTTCCAGGACGGCATGTACGTCAATCTCGGCATCGGCATGCCCATGCTCGCCAGCAACTACATCAAGCCCGGCCGCACCGTCTTCCTCATGAGCGAGAACGGCATTCTTGGCCTGGGACCCTTCCCCAAGCCTGGCGAGCAGGACGCCGACCTGATCAATGCCGGCAAGGAGACGGTCACTGTTCTCCCCGGCTCGTCCTTCTTTGGCTCCGACGAGTCCTTTGCCATGATTCGCGGTGGCCACATTGACGTCACTGTGCTCGGCGCCATGCAAGTGTCCCAGTTTGGCGATCTTGCCAACTGGATGATTCCCGGCAAGCTCGTCAAGGGCATGGGCGGCGCCATGGATCTCGTTGCGTCCCCCGGCACCAAGGTCGTCGTCACCATGGAGCACACCTCCAAGGACGGCTCTCCCAAAATCCTCGAGACCTGCTCGCTTCCCGTGACTGGTCGTCGATGTGTTGACATGATCATTACCGAGCTGGTGAGTTTTGGAGAGTTTGGGTTTGGGTTTTTTTGGCTGCTTCTGGAGGACTGACTTGGTGCATTTGATCCTCTTGTGTCTTGTTAGGCTGTTTTCGACGTCGACGAGAAGACTGGCTTGATTTTGAAGGAGGTGGCGCCGGGTGTCACTGTTGAGCAGGTCCAAAAGTCGACGGGCGCCAAGTTCACCGTCTCCAAGGATCTCAAGGAGATGACTGTTGAATGAGCGTAGCATTGTGCCGATTTTGTGATTTTATCCCACTTTTCACACTGCCGACGTATTAATACAGTAATTTTAACGCCGTTGTGTTCTAAGACCGATTGCAATGAGTTTCGTGACAAATTTGTGCGCGCTTTGAGCATTCGATCTCGAGCAAGCTGGGCAGCATCCCGTTTTCATTTTGCGCTCCATCTCAGAGTACCTCAACACAGCTCCTTCTCAATCTCCACATTGGATCCATCTCATTCAGTTCCAGCAGACCTTTCCATTGGTTTACCATTTCTTTCTTTCTTTTTTTTTTCTTCAGTCTTGTTTCGTTCGAATTTTTCCTGTTTGAATTTGTATGTTTTTTTATTTATTTATTTATTATTTTGTATTTTTTGTGATTTTGTGTTCAGTTTGGCTTCTTTTGATCCCTTCGTCGACGGTTGCGCTTTGTGTTTGTTGTGGTCACTGCTGATCACACTGCTGCTGATCTGACCTTTTGCTGCGGCTGCTCGTCTCTGAACGAGGCTGCGGCTGCGGCTGAAATCTAACACTGTGGCAACCCTCATTTTTTTTAATTCTTTTTTTTTTTTACTATTTTTTTTTTTTGATTCGATTGAAGAGCGCGTTTGTTCGCTCTGTTCTTTGCTCGGTCTGCTTTCTGCTTTTTGGTTCTTGTGCTTTGACGTTTGACACTTGTCCTCATCAGCCACACTTTCATCGCTTCGGCGACCGTCTCAAATCAATACTGGAATTCACGGTTCAAATTTTCGTGAGATCCTCTTTTTTTTTTTTTTTTTTTTTTTTTTGATATTTCGGAGTTTCGACTTTTCCTTCGATTTTTCCATTCGGTCGGTCGGTCGGTTGGTCGGGTTTGCAGGCTGAGTTGCGTTTTTTTTGCTTGCCATTCGCATTGACGCTGCCAGTCTCATCACATCCGATGCCCAGGACGAGCAACGACAGCAACAAGCCCTCGGGAATGATGTTCTGCCCTCTTTTTTTTTTTTTCATTTTATTTTATTTTATTTTTTTAACAATTTTATTCCAATACCTGCCTTTTCCAGCTATGCAACAAAAAACAAGGCAAAATCAAAAAAAAAAAAAAAAAAAAAAAAGAAAAAAAGAAAAAAAAGAAAAAGAAAAAAAAAAAAGAAAAAGAAAAAAAAAAACGATTCAACTTTTTGTTTGTGTTTCATTTCGTGATCAACGAACAACGAACAACAACAAACAACAACAACGAAAACAAACATTCAAAAAGTCACAGCAAGCAAAAAAAAGAAAGTTTCACTGAACAAAGATCTGAAATTTTTTGAAATTTGTTGACTCGCTTTTTTGACTCGCTTTTTGACTCACTTGTGGCTGATCGTGATCTTGCCTTTGCAGAAACGACCATGAACAGTGACGACTTTTCCCAGGTGGAGGAGAACAAGGCGGCCCTCCGCCAGCGCCAGGACGACATGCAGCAGCGCACCTTCACCAAGTGGTACAACTCGTACCTGAAGCACCGCAACATTAACGTCAACAACCTGATTGAGGACATGCACGACGCCGTCATTCTGCTCAACCTGCTCGAAATCATCTCGTCAGAGAAGATTGGCAAGTACAACAAGGCGCCCAAGATGCGCGTCATGAAGCTCGAGAACGCCAGCGCCGCCATCGACTTTATCAAGCGCCACGACATCAAGCTGACTGGCATTGGTCCGGAGGATCTCGTCGACGGCAACCAGAAGCTCATTCTCGGTCTGTCGTGGATGCTGATTTTGCGGTATGAGATTCAAAAGTTCTCGCAAGACATCCAGGAGCTGCTGCGCTGGTGCAAGGCCCGCACGGCCGGCTACCCGAACGTCCGCGTCCAAAACTTCACCGAGTCGTTCAACGACGGCCTCGCCTTTTGCGCACTCATCAACAAGCACTACCCCAACCTGCTGGACTTTGACAAGCTCGATCCCGCCGCCAACCGCGAGAACTTGGAGCGCGCCTTTGACATTGCCGAGCGCGAGTTTGGCGTGCCAAAGCTGCTCGACGTCCAGGACATGCTCGACGGACCCGACGAAAAGTCAGTCATCACCTACGTCTCCAAGCTGCGCCAGGCGTTCGCCGACAAGGACAACGAGCTCACCGAGGCTGCCCGCCTGGCCGAGCTCCGCCGCCTGCAAGAGGAGGAGGACGCCCGCCGTCGCGCCCAGGAGGAGGAGGAGCTCCGCCGCCGCGAGCAAGAGCTCAAGGCCGCCGCAGACGCCCTCAACGCAATGTTCCCCAGCCTGCTTGCTCGCCAGGAGCACGAGGCCGAGACCGATCGTCTCAAGGGCCAGTATGGTCCTCGCGCGGACGATCTCGCCGAGTGGATTGCCAACAACGACCGCAACATGGGCGACCAGCTCGCTCACGTCAACGACTTGAATGGCGACGAAGTTCTCGCGGCCCTCGACAACCTCAACCGCTTTGACGAGAGCGACAAGCCTCCGCGCCACGACGAGCTGCTCGACCTCGGCCAATTGTACGACCAGGTCAATGCCCGCCTTGCCAAGGAGGGCCGCCCGCCGTTCGATCACCCCCACGGCATCAAGCAGCTGAACAATGGCTGGAATGGCATGGAAAACACCGAGCGCGACCTCCGCAACGCCCTGCTCGCGCGCGCCAAGCGTCTCGGTCTTGTCCAGCCTCTGATTGAGCGCTTCCGTCGCATCTCTGCGCGCCTCACCAACTGGCGCGAGACCCGCTCACCGCTCATCGACTCGACCGAGTTTGGCGACTCTGAGGTGGCCGTTCTCGGACAGCTGCGCGAGTTTAAGCGTGTTGAGACGGAGGTTGCCCCGCAGCTTGCCGCCGTCCGCTCGCTCGACAGTCTCGGCCGTCTGATCAAGCAGCAAGACAACTCGTTCAACGACGAGGTCGACGGCACCCTTCGCGAGCAGCACGGCTTTTACGACCAAGCCCAGGCACGCGCATCCAACCGCCGCGCCGCCCTGCAGAAGGAGCTCGAGCGCCAGCAACGCCTCGAGGAGGAGCGCACCGTGTACGGTCGCCGCACCAACGAGCTTGCGGGCCTCTGCGACGAGGGCGAGGAGTATGTCAACTACCACCTCGAGTCGGTCGACACTGCCGACATTCTTCGCCAGTACCACCAGCGTCTCGACACCTCGGTCGACGGCATCAACGCCAACGCCGCGCCCCAGGGCTTTGACCGCGAGATTATCAACGCGCTCTTTGTCCGCGTCGACCACATTCGCGGCGCCATCCGCGACCGTGCCGGCCACGCCGAGCAGGCTGCCCAGCGCGCGCAGACCGAAGCCGGCCTCAACCGCTCGGTGGACGCCATCAACCGCGACTTTAAGAACTGGCACAACGATGCCACCCGCAACGTTGCCATTCTGCACGACGACATTGCGACCCAGTCCCGCGAGCCTGCTCACCAGCACCTCGACGCGCTTCGTCGCAACCTGCCCGCTGGCCAGGACAAGGTCGAGCAGCTCCGCACGCACGCCCGCCAGCTGCGCGAGCTTGCCGACAGCCAAGCGCACAGCGGCTCGGCCAACTCGCCCGCTGCCCTCAACCTGCGTCAGAGCTCCCAGGAGGCCGAGGCTGCCCTGAGCAACGCCGACGCTCTCGTCCGCGCGCACCAGCAACAGATTGAGCGTCTGCAAGGCGAGGTTCAGGTCCTCGACTCGCAGCAGCTGACTGTTCCCAACCCCAATGCCGTCCGCCAGGCCCTCAAGACTCTCAGCAACCCTTCGAACGGCGTGCTCGAGGAGCAGGCGCTCCGTGACCGCGGCATCCGCGAGGAGCACATTGGCTACCTCAACTCGCAAATCCAGGCTGCTCCTCGTGGCGGTTTGGACTATGACAACTTTGACCCTTACCGTGGTCGCACTTTCACGCCAGCCACCCGCAAGGCCAGCATTTCTGCCGCCTCTTCGGCCCCATCCACTCCCCAACAACAGCAGCGTGCAGCTCCCACCCTGGCGCGCCAGCCCTCGCAGCCCTCCACCCCTTACTCGCCAGCGTCGTCGGCTGCGCAGCCTCGCGCCCTGAGCACTGGCTCGTACCAACAGCAGCTGCAAAGCCCCTCGTTCCAACCCGCGGGCTCCAACCTGTCGTCGCCAAGCACGTTCCGCTCTGGCGGCGCCAACAACCGCCTGAGCGCGTCGTACAACGACCAGCCCGTGTCGTCGCCCTCCTCTGGCCGCCCGTCGAGCACCTACAACGACAACTCGCACAGCCGCTCGCCCCGCCCTACTTCGTCCGTTGGCGGTTCTGGCATTGGCCCTGACGTTGTGGTGGATGGCACCCGCCAGTCGTCCCAGATTGAGGAAAATGTTATTCTGCATGTGACGCAATCCGACGATCTCCCCGTCATTGTCAAGTACGAGCTGGAAGTCCACAAGTCCAAGCGCATCGACTTCACCCTGTCCACCGAGGGCAGCCAGAACCTCGAGGTTGCCTGGCCGACCGAGGGCGACGGTGTCCGCGCCCAGACCTCGGTCAACCCCTTCGAGTGCCGCACCATTGCTGTCCTCCGTCAGGTCGACCCCTACGCCAGCGCTTCATTGCGAGTCAAGTATTCCTGGAAGAGCAAGGATGCGTAAACGAGTTGGGATTTAAAGCGAGAGCGCTGGTTTTTTGATTGCTCTTTTGTTTTTTTTTTTGGTTGGCTTTCCCCCCCCCCCTTTGTCTATTCTTGTTCTCTCGTGTCTTTCCCATTTTTTTTTTGCTTGTTTTACTTGTGCATCTGTGTCGGGTCGTTATTCTTCAGTGTGTTTTCTCGACATTGCTGCTTTCCCATTTCCGTTGTTGTTTGTGTACACTGTGTGGTTTTTTTTTTGTTAATCTAGCTTCTTCCCCCCAAAACTGTTCATGCGGCTTCCAACATTGGCCTTTGTTGCAGAACGGTTTCACGGCTTGGTTGCTTCAATCGATTTCCAATTCTCATTGCTGCGCTTGTTTCCATGTTACCTCGTTCCATTGTCACTCATCGACCATGTCTAGCTTTGTTTTTATTTGTTTTCCCTTTTTCATAAACTCGTTCCATATCATATCCACACAACCAGTCTTGTGTTTGAATTGCAAAATGTCCAGAATCGCATTCACTCCAACGCGGATTGCGTTTGTGCATCCCGACCTGGGCATAGGCGGCGCTGAGCGACTGGTCGTCGACGCCGCACTCGCCTGCACCAGCAAAGGCCACGAGGTGCACTTGTTCACGTCGCACCACGACCCCGCGCGCTGCTTCAGCGAGACGCGCGACGGGCAGCTTCCCGTCCACGTCCACGGCAGCTGGTTTCCGCGGAACATTGCAGGGTAACAACGGGCTGCTTGCGTTTGATCTTGCTGACAACGTCAATATCATCTATTGCATCATCATGGGGTTTCAACGCGATGGTCTGGTGGTGGATGGGGGAGGGGATTGACTGCGATCTGAGCAAATAATGCGCTGTCAAAATCTGAGACAACAAACAACGCACTCACTAGTTTCCACGCTGATCCAAATTTCGCGTTGACAGACGATTTTACGCATTCTGCGCCTATCTGCGAATGATTATCACTGCCATCGCTATGGCTTTGTTCTATCCACGGTTTGACGTGGTCGTTGTCGACCAAATTTCAGCGTGCATCCCGTTTTTGCGCATTTTCTCGCCAAAGTCCAAGGTGCGCGTGTTGGGCATTGATAATGCGATGTCACACGAGGCTGCTATTACTTGCAAATTTGGGTCGTCGCTTCATCTGCTTTGGACGATTTTCTCATTTCGATGTTCTTCTCTTGGTTGCTACAGATTGTGTTTTACTGCCACTTTCCCGATCAGCTCTTGACACAGCGAACCTCGCTTTTGAAGCGACTGTATCGATCTCCTATTGATTGGCTGGAGGAGCGGACGACAGGTGAGAAAGAAAGAGATTGTCAATTTTATCAAAGTGTAGAGACAGTTGTTCTCGACATTCGAACAGCAAATGGTGCGCAACACATTGCTCACACTCTGTATGCTGCTGCGTCACACCATTGTCTCAGGCCTTGCCGATACCGTGCTGGTGAATAGCAAGTTTACGGCTGGAGTTTTCAACGCCACTTTCCGTTCACTGCAGCACATTCGGCCGCAGGTTGTGTACCCAGCCATCAACGTTGCTGCTTTTGGGTCGGCAGATGATAACGGTGGCGGCCGTCCCCGCGGATTTGCGCGACTCGCTCTTGCCCCTAACACCACTTTCTTGTCGATCAATCGCTTTGAGCGCAAGAAGAACTTGATGCTGGCACTCGAAGCGCTGCTCGGACTGAAGCAGCAACTCACAAAAGCAGAGTGGGAGCACGTGCGACTCGTTTTGGCTGGTAAGCAGTTCTGCCGATTTTTTTTTTTTTTTGTGTGTGTGTTTCGTTTTTACGGTCGATTGACCCGACTTTGGGTGACTCTAACATGGCCTTTGTCTTGCTTCTGTAGGAGGATACGACGAGCGCCTCCCAGAAAACCGCGAGTATCATGCCGAGCTGCAGCAGTTTGCACAAGCGAACGGACTGGCAGACCATGTCAGTTTCAAGCGTTCCTTCAGCGATGAGGAGAAGATTCAGCTTCTTCGCTCCTGCGACTGCCTTATGTACACTCCGACCAATGAGCATTTTGGCATTGGGCCCTTGGAAGTAAGTGGCCTTCTTGCCAAGTTCGAAGGCTTGTTGAACTCCATCGCCCGTTGATTTGCGTCCCTCTGTGCCCTCATGTTTCGCGCCTCTGCATCTTCCGTCCAGGGCATGATCTCCTCGCGACCGGTTATTGCTGTCAACACGGGCGGGCCGCTTGAGACGGTCGTTCACAAGCGCACCGGCTTTTTGTGCAATCCCACCTCGGAGGCGTTCACCGCGGCCATGCTTGAGATTGTTCGCAACCCTGACGCCGCCGAGCAGATGGGCGTTGCCGGCCGTGCTCGCGTCCTTGACAAGTTTTCGTTTGCGGCCTTTGCCGATCAGCTCGAAGAGGTGGTTCAGAATTTGATCGAGGCCGGTCCTTCTCCTGCAGCAGCAACAGCAGACCGTCGTCGGCAGCCCTCGCGCAAGGCCAAGAAGCTCTGAGGTTTGTTATTGCTGCATCAACAACGTTGGTGTTGTTGTTTTGACTGCCGTGCTCGTTGCGCTGCGACCGCGAGTTCCGGATTGCCGTTTGTTCATTCATCCTGTGCCAAAGCACCTCTCAAAATCGAGACCAGTGTCATATTTCTTCTTCTTCCTCGCAGTCAAAAGCAACAACAAAAACCGAGCAGAGCGTGCGAACACAATGTTCGTACTTCATGTTTGTTTTTCAATTGAGATTGAGATTTTCAGCGATCTTTCCATCTTTTTTTTTTTTTTTTTTTTTTTCCATTCAGTTTTCCATTCAGTTTTTTTTTCTTTTCTTTTTGAATGTCGGCGACCGTCGCTCGTGCTGCTCACCACCACGGTCCGATCGGCGCCGGCGCAGGGTCAACAACCGCACCAGCAATGCAGTCGCAGCCGCAGCCCGGCGGCAAAGTGCTGAGCGGAGCCGCGTTGAGGCGCGCAATGAAGAAGAAGGATCGCAGGAAGCAGAAGGGCAAGAAGCACGGCCACGGCGCGACGACCAACGGCACATCCGCATCCGCTGACGACGACGACGACGACGACGACGACAATGCTGACGATGATGGTGGAGCGGGAGCCGGCGCAGAGGACGACATTGACATTGAGGTCGAGTACGTTGCCGAAGCGCCGCCAGTCGACCTCGCAAGTGCACAGTACGCAGAGTTTGCAAAGGCGTTTGCGCGATTCCAGCCACAGTCTGCTGATGCTGGTGCGGGTGCGGGTGCGGGTGCGGCGGCTGAAGGCGGGGCCGACGACCCGTCAACGACCGATGCTGCTGCACAAGCTGCTGCTGCCCAAGCTGCTGCCGATGCTGCTGCTGCCAAGAGCGCGAGCGAGCAAAAGTCTGCCGAGGGCGACGAGAACGACGGCGAGGGCGACAAGGCGATGAGCAACCGCAGGCGCAAGATGACCGAGCGCTTGACAGTGGCCGAGCTCAAGCAGCTCGTGCGGGCGCCAGACGTCGTTGAGGCGGCAGACGTCACTGCACGCGATCCGCGACTGCTCGTCACACTCAAGTCCGCGCGAAACACGGTGGCAGTGCCCGTGCACTGGCAGCAGAAGCGCAAGTACCTCCAGAACAAGCGCGGCCAGGAGAAGCCGCCGTTCGACCTGCCCGAGTTTATCAAGGCCACGGGCATCATGGAAATGCGCGATGCCGTCGCAGAGAAGGAAGCGGCAAAGTCACTCAAGTCCAAGATGCGCGAGTCAGTGCGGCCCAAGATGGGTAAAATCGGCATCGAGTTCCAAAAGCTGCAGGACGCCTTCTTCAAGTTCCAAACAAAACCCATCATGTCCAAGTTTGGCGAAATGTACTTCGAGGGCAAGGAGTTTGAGACCCGAGTCACCGACCGCCGTCCTGGCCAGCTCTCGAACGAGCTCAAGGAGGCGCTCGGCATGCCGATCTCGGGCAACTCGATGCACCTCTTCCCTCCGCCGTGGCTCATTCCCATGCAGCGCTACGGCCCGCCGCCGTCCTACCCCAACCTCAAAGTCCCCGGCTTGAATGCACCCATCCCGTCTGGCGCCAATTTCGGCTACCATCCTGGCGGCTGGGGTCGTCCGCCCGTCGACGAGTACGGCCGCCCGCTGTACGGCGACGTCTTTGGCACCGTGGCTGCCGACTACAACAAGACACTGAAGGCTGAAGACAACGAGCCCATCCAGCGACAGCTTTGGGGCACGCTTGAGGCCGAGGCTGCCGAGTCTGACTCGGAGTCGGAGGACGAGGAGGCCGAGGATGGCAACGACGAAGGCGCCGAAGGCGTCGATGACGGTGAAAACGAAGACGAGTACACGAACGGCGGCGCAGCAGCTGCCGACGACGAGGAGGACAGCGACGCTGCAGAGCGTCGCGCCCAAGCCGCCATCGCTGCCGAGTTGCACGGCATGGAAACGCCCAGCGGTCTCTCCTCCATTCCAGCGGGTCTGGAGACTCCCGATGTCATCGAGTTGCGCAAGCGACGCATCGAGAGCGCAATGGACCAGCGAGACGGCGAAGCAGATGCGGGTCGTCCAAAGTCGCTCTACCAAGTCATCCCCGAGAAGCGTGCCACGGTTGGCGGTTCCCTCATGGGCTCCGAGCGTGTGTACGATATGCTTGGTGCCACGACATCGCGGCGAACCGTTGGTGCAGGTAATTTAGCGTTTGGGTGATGGGGTGATTGGTACTTTTGTTGTCGTTCACCTTTTTGAGGGAGGATGTTCGCCGGATTGCTCACTTTTTCTTTTCTCTGTCTCTGTCCATGTGTCGTTGAAAAAATATCTTGTTGTCGCTCTAGGTGTGGACCTGGCGCTTGATCCGAGCGAACTGGAGGGCCTGGATGAGGACGCTTTGAGGGCACGATTGGAAGCCGCGCAGCGCGAACAGCCTGGCGGCGAACCAAAAGAGGATTTGAGCGATCTGGTCGCAGAACATGCCGCCCGACAGACTGTAAAGAGAAAGAAGGCCCAAGACACTGGCAAGTCCAAAAAGTTCAAGTTTTAAAGCGACACTTCGATTTTTGATTTTTGTTGTTGTTGAGCCGTATTTTTTTTTCTCCCAAACTGCATGTTCATGGCGAGTACACTGTTTATGCAGACCTTTCTTGCTTTGATGCATTGCTGTTGCGACGGAGGCAAGTGAGTGACCTCAGTCTTCAAAAACCTTATCCAGTCGTTTCGTTTCCCCCTCCCTCATTTCGTAGCACTGCGCGTCTGCATCTCTCCAGCCACTTGCATTCACGCTTCTTGTTGCTCTTCAACCATGTCTGGTGGCGGTCGTGGACAGGGTGCCGCCCCTGACGTCTGCCCGCCAACCTCGCCCAGCGTTCCCAGCAGTCTCCGAACGCTGACCACCGCTGCTCCCGTCGCACCATCACCATCATTGGCATCATCTTCGTCACTGACAGCTTCATATACCTCTTCCATGAATGCCAGCGGAAGAGTGGTGGCTGCATCCTCAGCCGTAGTAGGACCAGTCACAGGAGGAGGCCGGTCATCAGTTCGCTCCACAACTCCGACACGGACAGCAAGTCCGCCTGCGACTGCTGCGGGACCATCAAGCGCAGCTCTGTCAAGCTCAACTCTGCCAAGATCAGCCCCGTCAAGCACCGCGTCGTCGCGCCCATCGCAAGGCAGACTAGCCGCTGGTACCGTTGGTGTCGCTGGGTCTTCCCCGGCCTCGTCCCCGTCCTCGTCCTCGTCATCAACGTCCGGGTCATCGTCATCACTCGCTGCACCGCTCCAGTCACTCAAGGCGCTCTTCTTCAAGCCAAAGCGCGCGGCCGATTCGCGCCCGCTGGCAGCCTTCTTCAAGGCAGACCAGCAGCTCAAGAAGCTGGTGCGGGAGCTGGACGCCTTCGACGGATCGGTCGACGCAGAGACGTGCGTGCTGATGGTGCAGAAGCTCAGAACGTCACAGCAGACCCTGCTGAACATTATCAACGCTATGGTGGACGAGTGCACTGCTCAGCTGCGAACCAGCGCCAGCCGGGTGGAAGAGCCGCCGCTCCGATCGAATCGCGGTTACCGTGTCAAATTCCCAGAGGATGTCCAGGAGGACTTGAACCAAGGGTACTATGCTCCGCTGTGGTTTAACGCAGAGTGCCTCGAGGCCGGTGCAATCATGGCCACGCACGAAGATGCGTCAGAAGAGCTCAGGCAACCTGCCAGGCTGCTCGTCAACTCGATCAAGCGACTTCGCAACTCCATCGTCCAGTATGGAGCATCGTCGCCGTCCTCGTACGATCGGGCTCCCGGCATCTCATACCATCCTGCTGTGCGTGCTGCCCTGCGGGATTTCGACACGGCGTGGACCACC